AAGGGTTAGGGATTAGGTTTCGGGCTTTTATCACGAACTGACATAAACTATAATGATAAATATCAGTTTAGGTGTTGTGGAGGTTATTAAGTTTTTGACTGAAAATATTGAGTCAGTTGAAGCTAGACCAGCATGAAAAACCTTGAAGCACTGGACGGCCGTTCCTTCCTAGTACGTGACTCCTCAGCAGTGCGCATCCACGATCCCGCATCCCGTGAGATTCGAACCCAAGACCTATCAGTCTTGTGCACGAACGCTTAACCTCTAGATCACTGAGCCGGTATCTAATGGTGTTAATGTCTAACCTCAACCAATCCACAAGTTTGCGCGACCATCTTCGATTGTACTGAGGTAGATACCTATCTCTACCCGACACGGATTAGCTCTACTGGTCACAGCTATAATGATAAAACTCTATTTAGCCAAATGAATGAATGAATTTCGCGCCAAAATTCAAGATCTACCATCTTTAAATCTGATTGGTTCGTTCATAAATTACAGTTTCGTCTATTACGTTATAAAATATTGATCTATAAATGTAGAAGTGTTTTTGTAATTTAAGTGTATTCTCTTTTGTTTGTTTTTTTCTAGTTGATGTACAATGCACTAATAAATGTGCTTAGAAACTGCAGGAATTTGAATACAGTTCATACTTTTAAAATCACAATGGTTGATTTATACTATTCCGTTGCTATTACTCATAATCACTATTAATAACTATGTGTTGTTATATAAGGGGGAGCATGAGCAGATTCCAACACAGAGATTTATTAACTTCAATCCTCAATATCAACAATTAGAAGAAGTCTGTTAACATTGGAAAGTAGCAGCTAGGTAGATAACCTGTTGATAGTTGAAGCAATATGTACTATGTTTAAGTCAGTAGAGATACCGATATTAGGGGGTAAATCACGCTCAGCTGTCGAGTTCCATGAGTGGCGAGACTCTTATCCCGAATTTTACTTTGTCATAATTCAAATATGCTAGAATTGTCAATATATTTGTAGGAACTAATCCGGAAAACCATGATTTTCTCTTTAAAAGTTTCCCTAATTTTTGATTATGTATTTTTGCAAACAGTTGTGAACATGATTGACGCTCATAACTAATGGATTCTAAGATTAGCTGCAATATCAAAACCATGAATAATTACCATAGATAAGTAACAGGATGTTTTGAATTAAAGTTTCCTGCCGGTCAGTACACAGTTGTATACAAAAACTGTAATCTGGAGAAAACGGATGTTAGTACTTGAGGAAATATGAAGTTTTATTATTCGGTGTCATAATTCAATATATTATCAATGAGACATTTGTACTTATTTACTTATTTACTTACGCCTGTTACTCGTCGTGAAGGAGCATAGGCCGCTCACCAGCACTCGCCATCCCAACCAATCCTTTCCAGTTTTTTCAGTTATATTTATCCTTTTCAGATCTGATTCTGTTTCACAACGTAATGTGCTTTTTGGCCTTCCTCTCTTCCACTTCCCTTCAGGATTGAGTTAGGGCTTGCCTCGTGATTCAGTTTGATGACTTGCGTAATGTATGTCATTTGTACTATTACTCAATTCCCTTATGAGTAATATATTCCTTTAGTACATTTTTGGTAAACACTAGACAATGTTTACTGCTTATTTCAAATTGAATTTCTTTCATCAAGTTCCTAATACAATTACTAGGTTATACTGTCTTAATGTAGTAAGGTAAGATAAAATTAGAAAGGAGAGCATCACCGGGCGATGAGTACAACTTGATACATCATTAAAGTGTAATTACAGTCTCAAGGTAGCAATACTGAGAAACAAAACCAGTAACAACGATTTGAATATCTACATTCCTGAAAGAATCAACTCCATCACTAAGAACATCCAACAATATATTCATGGCTGAGAATTCTTTTTAATGTTATTTAAACCTAAACTTATTTAAAGGATTTTAGATAAATTAGTTTTGTGTAGATTAGTTTAATCTGTAACTGATGTCCGTTATGAATTGACCATGGTTTGGGTCCCGTTGAAAAAGAACGCAGAGAAATGAACATCTGTTTCCTCCTAATCTTGAACTCATCTATATCTATATGCGACATCAACATAGATCAATCTCAGAGTTTTCATGAATCATGGTGAGTATCTTAAAAACAAAAACAGAACTACTAAACTAAAGTTTAATCGTATCAACCTCGTGGTTCATTTTATTAAATACTAATCACGACAAATGATGAGGTCTAATGAGCACACTAATAAGGAATCCTAGACTAGGGCGTAACAACTGATAGGTCCTGGGTTCGAATGTCGCGAAGTGTGGTTGTGCATGCGCACTGTCACGAAGGAGTTCCATAATAGAACGAAATAACCGTCTAGTGCTTCCAGGTTTTCCATGGTGGTCTAGCTCCAATTGAGTCATGATCTCAACTATTAAAATTACTACAATCTCCACAAAACACCATTTATTTCTGTTCAGTCAATCAGTCAGTTACAACGTAGGACAAGACACGTATATGAATCAGTCACACTTGCCACACCTTACACATTGGCACAACATAACAAACAACAAATTCATAGAAGTAGTCACTTCAACCGTAGTAATATATAAAAGAATGATTGCATATAAGGATATAGTACAGGAAGAAAGAATTAGTTAGTAGAAGGAAAGATCATGTGAAGCGATTTTAATCTCTTAGTTTAAAGGAAAACAAAGAATGTATAAACCGACGTCATTGTGATCTATTCTGACCCATGTCACCAAGGGTCTCCAACCATTAGTTACGATAGTCACGTGGACCCCAAAAAAGTAGTCGGCATCTACCAACATGGGTAAGACTAGAAGTTAGTGACTTTGTGAATTGATGTCACGATTTGGTTTGTGCGCCCCTAACTTTCTTCCAACTGCCTGTAATACGAGTCAGCATTTCGCTCCGTGGTTATCGGTGTTCAGGCATACGTAACACGTGGCCCAACCATCTCAGTCGATGAAGATTCACAATTTGATCAACTGATTTACCATCATTCCCTAATACCCTGCATCTAACCTCACTATTGCTTACCCGATAATCCCAGCAGATGCGAACAATATTTCTAAGCTTTCGAATATCTTGTACTCTTAATGGCCACCTTTTGCAGCTGTAAAGTAGAACAGAACAACCTAAATTGTAGTCAATCTTGAATGAATACCATTCATTTATTTAAGATATTCTTACTACCATCAAATATATCATTATTCAACTGAAATCTTTCATAAGTAATTGTATTTACTATTACAATAATGATAATAGTTACCGATAGAGTTAGTACATATCATCATTAAGATATAAAGGAATTGTAACCAAGATGATTAGATGGTCAATAATATAACTAACACCAAGGTCAGGATTTTCAATACAAATGTCAAAACAGTTCTACTGTATGGAGAGGAAACCTGGAGAACTACGAAAGCCATCATCCACAAGATACAAGTGTTTATTAACAACCGTCTACGCAAAATACTTCAGATCCGTTGGCTAGACACTATCAGAAACAACCTACTATGTGAGAGAAAAAACCAGATTCCATTAAAGGAAGAAATGAGAAAGAAGTGCTGGAAGTGGATAGGACACACATTGAGGAATGCACCCAACTGCGTCATCACAAGACAAACCCTCAGATGAAATCCTCAAGGCCAAAGGAAAAGAGGAAGACCAAAGAACACATTACGCCGAGAAATGGAGATAGGCATGAGAAAAATGAACAAGAATTGGACAGAATTAGAAAAGTAGGCCGAGGACAGAGAATGGGTTGGAGAATGCTGGTAGGCGACCTATGCTCGATTAGGAGTAACAGGCGTAAGTAATTAAGTAATATATCTAAATGTATCTATGCATTATATTTTCATTATTTATATTTATTACATTAATCAATAATCTTTCCAATGATTTCATCATAATGATTACATCATACTATCTTGTTTATGCATTCCCAATAGTTAAAATGTAAATCCTCCAATACTGTAATATAAATTGATTATTGATTATTAAAAAAAGAAAAAAAATTTTTTTTTGTTTTTTTGTTTAGTAACTAGATAGAATTGATTATTTCCGAAAAAAAATGTTTTTTTCTTTTTTTTCTTTTCTTCATCTTTTTCTCTTTTCTTTTTAGCAAACAGAATCCATGAAAAATAGAGATATAGTTTGTAGTTAATCGATTAATTGACTTGATCCATTCATTATTTATCATAGATGAAAGTAATTAATATACATGAGAAAAACAAACATACATAATAGAAACATCCATTCAATAATGAAATGATGATAGAACAGATATTAAAATAGTTCTCAATTAAGAAAAACAAATCGTTTATAGACAAGAAAAAATAGTATATAAGTAGTATAACAATAAATGAGAATATACAAGTAAGAATAGTCGAATATATGCGAATACACTAAATTACAGAACATCTAAGTATCATACAATGAATACTTTAATCAATCAATCAATCAATCAATCAATCAATTAATCAATTGTGAGACAATTGATTGTTGTTTCATTTCCACAGTAATCATTCATTGTTCTCATTCTATTCTGTTTAATCTCTTTTTTTTAAACTTTCTGCTGGCAAACATTTCATTTTTGATTGATGGATGATATATACTACTTATATCTGTTGATATCAGTAGTACATGTCCGCACACACACACGCACTGCAATATGAACAGTAGTAGTTAGTCAATTATTTAACATCAAAATATGATTCATATACATATTTGTACAATAAAATGTATTCATTGTAAAATATCATTATCATAATAATAGTTCAAAGTATGGATTATGTTGGGATATAGAATGAGATATGAAAAAGATGAATAACAACTGGAGAAGATTACTCAGGATAAAGTTGGATGGAGAGTGTTGATAGGCGGTGGTCTCCCCTCCTCCTCCTCCTCCATCAGGAGTAACAGGCGTCATGAAGTAAGTAAGATCATCATCATCATCATCATCCTCATATTGTTTCATTATATTCTATTTATCAAAGATATTCTTCTATTAATTTATTATAATATTTATTAAATAATAAATCATTTGTATAATTTATTAATTGATTTTGTTTAAATTTTTCTAATAGAATTTCCCAAATTTGTTTATTCTTATGAATAGTATAAAGAGTGGATTGAAATTTTGGTAAAAACTTCGACAATATCCTAAATGAAATAAACAAATTCAATAATAATAATAATAATAATAATAATAATAATAATAATAATAATAATAGTAGTAGTAGTAGTAGTAGTAGTAGTAGTAGTAGTAGTAGTAGTAGTAGTAGTAGTAGTAGTAGTAGTAGTAGTAGTAGTAGTAGTAGTAGTAGTAGTAGTAGTAGTAGTAGTAGTAGTAGTAGTAGTAGTAGTAGTAGTAGTAGTAGTAGTGTTGGTAGTAGTAGTAGTAGTAGTAGTAGTAGTAGTAGTAGTAGTAGTAGTAGTAGTGGCAGTAATAATAATAATAATAATAATAATAATGGTAAAATTAGGTCAAACAAAGTGGAATGAATCAAAGGAATCAAAATAGAGAGAAAAATAAATTAAAAACAAAGAAAAGTGATGTAATTACTTTATTTATTGATTTATTGATTTGGTTATATAAATATGGGTAAATGGAGGTATCGATTACATACGCGCGCATATAAATCATTTGATTGATGTGTATGTGTGGGGTGTGATACTACTCGGGTGCACAGACGGTAGCAAATGGTTTTCTTTGAGGGGTGTGTGTGTTATGTTCCGACAAGCATAATGAATGGTAACTTTTGGGATTCGTTTATGGTTCAAGATTATGTGTATATTTTTATCGTATAATTGTTAAATAACTAAACTATCCGTATTCATGTCTCTCTTATCATAAGCTTTATTTTAATCTATAAACCGATATTACACGATTTTGCATTCTTGAATTACACCCTGTCTATTAATTACTACCTCTCACATTCACAGCCACATTTGGCTAAATCTTGTACAAATGTTATTTCACAATTTATGGTAAGGTGTGTTCTGTCTGGTTGGTGGTATATAAACCGAGTATGTTTGAAATACATGATTCATATCGTAGATGCTGAGATTGATGTTCTGGACTTGACTGGCTGGGCTAGGCAGAAAGGAGGACCAATCAGGACTCTGGACTGCTCGTACGGGTTTTATGAGTCATTCGTCTGATCGATAATTCAGTGTCCTCTAATTGGCGATATCGTTACGTTATAGATTAACAGGGCGCTCAGACCGCAAGTTATAACAGGGGGCAACACTCTTAGCCTTTGACCTAAAAGTTTCATCCACAAGGCAGTGGAATCACATTATGAGATACAGTTCCATGGTAGTTGTTGAACAATAATTGGTACATATGCCACTTGTTCTTTCAGGATCCTGGTAGCCCATGTGCACCAATGGTTTGGAATTAAGGTTTTCCAACTCCGCTAGGTGAACTCTCCGTGTTCACCAACCCGGGTAATGCACCGGACATTCGCTTTTCTTCCTCTCAATTTCGTAAACAACACCGGTGCCGCGAGAACTTAGTGAGTAGGAATTCTCCGGTAGTGGTTTTATACACGTGCCCATGTGAGAGCATTTCGATAGGGAGAGCTGACGTTAGGCTGTTGGAAGTGATTGGTTGCAAAGCCTGTTAATCTAGGTTTCATGATATTTGACATTCATCAGCAAAACTTAATCTAAACACTTGTCTTTGTAAGATAGTTATGATAAACTAATTTTTGCTATGTCTTGTATTAATATTGCTTCGTTAATTGATCATCTTGTTAACTGTTAATAAAACGCTTTAACCAAAATTAATCATAATCGGAACTGGTTGTAGTAAAGTAGACACTGAAATGGTTGGGCCACGTGTTGCGTATGCCTGAACACCGCTTACCATGACGCGCAATACTGACTAGTGTTGGGAATGGTTGGAAGAAAGTTAGGGGCAGACAAACCAAATTGTGGCATCAGTTCACAAAGTCACTAACTTCTAGTCTGAGCCATGTTGGTAGATGCAGACTACTTGGTTGGGGTCCATGTGACTATCGTAACCAATGGTTGGAGACTCTAGGTGACATGGCTCAGAATCGATCACAATGGCGTCGGTGTATACACTCTCTGTCATCCCTTAGACTAAGAGATTAAAATCGCTTCACATGATCTTTCTTTCTTCTTGTATTATATCCTTATATGCAATCATTCTTTTATATATTGCTACGATTGAATTACCCTACTACTATGAATTTGTTGTTCGTTATGTTGTGCTAATAATGAGTAAGGTGTTGTAAGTTGTACCGATGCATATATATGCCTGATCCTACATTGTAACTGACCGACTTATTTACTGTAGAATAGTTGCTATACTCGATAGAATTTGATCTGAACTAATAAGGACTTGGTACACATGATATTGATCACCACTCTGTGATCAATCAATAGTGAGTTGTGTTATACTCTTATCATAGCAATATCACAGATTGAACTCATGAGTCAGTTGAAGCTAGACCACCATTGAAAACCTGGAAGCACTGGACGGCCGTTTCGTCCTAGTATGGGACTCCTCAGCAGTGCGCATCCACGACCCCACACCACCCGGGGCTCGAACCCAGGACCTACTGGCTTCGCGCGCGAGCACTTAACCATTAGACCACTGAGCCGGCATCCAACGGTGTTAATGTCTAACTTCAACCAATCCACGAAGTTGCGCTACCGTACACCATTGTCTTCAGTGAGTTCCTATCTCACAACAGACCTGGTGGTCCACAAAACCCATTCTGATAATCATAGCAATATTATTTCATTTTATTCATGTAAATTGAGTTCACTTACTTAAAACATGGTAGAACAATTGAATCAATAAAATGTATTTGTAATTCTGGTATAAATGCATTCTCTCTATCAAATGATAATAATAAAGGGATTGTATTGTATGCTTTTTCTAAATCACCTTGATGAAAAAATTCATAATAAATGAATTTAGCTGTATCAAGTGTATTCAACCAATGTTTACATTGATCATTTAAATCACATGATGTAACTAGAATAGATAAAAGTAATTCATGATGTCGTCTATTGAATGGATCATAGGATACATTGGATAATTGAATGAATTCCGGGATAATTGAAATATGTTGATATAAATCTGTAGCTAATATAATATGTTTTAATAATAATTTAAATCTTTCATATTCCTATAGGAATAAAGGAAAGAAGAAGAAAAGAAAAGAGAGTAAAGTGTCATTCATCAGTTGTTTATTGTACTTACTTACTTATATCTGTTACTACCCAGTGAAGCATAGGCCGCTGAGCAGTATTCTCCAACCCTCTTTTTCTCCTTGGGTTTTCCTTTCTAGTTCTATCTACTTGTTGATCATTCTTCTCATGTCTGTCTTCATTTTTCGGTGAAATGTGTTCTTTAGTCTTCCACTTCTCCTCCTTTGACCTTGAGGATTCCAAGTGAGGGCTTGTCTTGTGATGATGCAGTTTGGGGATTCCCTCAATGTGTGTCCTATCCACTTCCAGCGCTTCTTCCTGATTTCTTCCTCTACTGGAATCTGGTTTGTTATCTCCCATACTAGGTTGTTGGTGATAGTGTCTGGTTAAAGGATCTAAAGTATTTTGCGTAGACAATTGTTAATAAACACTTGTATCTTGTGGTTGATGGCTTTCGTAGTTCTCCAAGTTTCCGATCCATACAGTAGAACTGCGTTGATATTTATATTGAGAATTCCGACCTTGGTGTTGGTTGACAGTTGTTTTGAGTTCCAAATGTTCTTCAATTATAGTGTTGTGGATGCGGAGGAATAGACCAATAATTATGATGTTAAGTCCAATGGTGTCCTTGGACTTTAAATGGACATTTCCTATTGGTCGATATCTGTTCACTCGTTGAATATTGTACAAAATGTTGTTTTCTATTTTTATGGTACGATGTGGTATGCTTGATTGGTATATAAACAAAGTGTGTTTGAAATACAATGATTCATAACTCAGAGGCTGTGACTTGCGTTCTAGACTCAACTGGCTGGGCTAGACAGGGAAGCGAGACCAATCAGGACACTAGGTCGTCCTTACGTGTTTGCGTGTCACTGTCCACTGTAATCGATCGATATAAACGCTGCTTATTAAAACCTGCAGTCACACACCCGTTACAACAATAGATATGCTGTTCTTGCTTTACCGATCCGCGCCTTTACATCCTACAATCATTTTCAATTATGGTTAGATATTGGTTAAACCCTTTTGATGCACTTACTTAATAGACAATGTTATTTGAATAGTAACAATCAGTATATTTCTTTGTACTGTTATGATCACTAGAGCACATGACAGACTCTAGCTGAAATGTTGACTGCTTAAATATCACTCAATGATTCATTCTCTTCTGGCATTTATGTATTAGCTTTTGCTTTGCCTTGCTGCGCCCTTATGCAACTTAACTAGAATCTTGCCTATGTATTTGCTCGGGCATATACTTATTCGCCTCTCTGCTTCAGATATACTTGACGTGCTTATAACTTTGTGATCTGCGCTATCCGCTAATAAATTGTAATTGTCGCTTCTCATTGCCTTCTGATTTTAAACACTGTTGAAAATTTATATTATGACGGTTATCGAGGTGATTCATTAGCGAAGCATTATGAACTGATGAATTGTTGAAACCGAGGAAGCACCGGACATCTGATTCACTTTATTCTTTGACATACTTTATTAAGTTAAATTAAACCGACGATTTTCTGCTCTCATGGTAATCACAATGGCATTTCAATGATGTCACACTTCATCGCTTTTAATTAGTATTTCTACTAAACCCTATTGAAATAAACCAAATGACAGTTATATTTGCAGTTATGTTGGTCGAAATTTTTGAAGTGATGATCTATGTATTGGACTATTTAACAAGTTCAGTAGTGATTTGCCAATAACACAGAATGAGGAACTTTCCATCTCTGGAATGAATGGAAGTTGACAAATAGGGACTACTGAATTTCGAGTCAATAACTTGTAAGAGTTCTGTTAATCCTGTGTTTAATTCACTGACTGATCATTGCTGTTCAGTGATGAGGAATATCAAAGTTGAATTTCTTAATTCTCAGAAGCTCACTTTTATTTAAAACGACCTAGCTGGGGATTAATCAAAGTCATTTGAAATTGCATACACTATTTTGTAGTCTGACAGAAACGTTACTTGACCTAAACTTCGTGCTACTTAATACTTGTCAAAAAGGTATACCTATACTCTTGATGGAATTGATGCTGCTTGTGAAATTCGAACCTTCGTCACTTAGTTGCATAATCTTAGATTTCATTATTGAGTTATTCAAAATCCGACATCCTGTTAAACTGAGTTCAAATACAAAAATACACATTAACTTATACTATTGTGTTTTATATCATAATTTGTGGTTGGATACCATTAGCAACACAATTCTGTGGGAGAGAACAAACCAACTTCCAGATGAAGAAGAAATTAGGAAAAGATGATGGAAATGAATAGGGCATAACATTACGGAAATCATCAAAATGCATCACGAGTCAAGCCCTAACTTGGAATCCTGAAGGTAAGCGGAAAAGAGGAAGGCCAAAAAACACATTACGTCGGGAAATAGAATCAGATATGAAAAGAATAAATAACAACTGGATAGGATTGTCCAGGACAGAATTGGATGGAGAATGCTGGTGGGTGGCCTATACTCCTCTACGAGGAGTAACAAGCGTAAGTAACTTTAGACTGTTTATGATTGATGATGTCGTTCAGATGTCGTTCAGAAGAACGATGAAAGCTCCACGACCAAACCATCCAGCTCAGAGAACAAAACTCCACCAAAATCATCCACCTGAGCTACAAATCTTCTCCACCATCATAAAAAAAGAAACCCTGAAACTAATGAAATGCAGTCATTTTTCTCACAGAATCTTGTTATTCTTTCTTTAGTATTCAATTGTATATTATTAACTGTATAGAATCATTCTACTAACTTTAATAAATATATAAGTAGTATATTATTCTAAAGAGAAAGAAATGAATGAAACAACTTACTGTTTTAGTCATTTGACTTAATATATTACAATCTTTCATATTTAATATTCTCATTGTCTGATCAATATGATGATGTTCTAGTATAGATCCTTTATAACCATAAACAGCATCAAGTGGAGAATGAATAAGTGTCTAATAATAAATAACAATAAAGTAGTATGATTTATTCATTGAAATATGATTTACAAATTAAGAAAATGATTTGTCAAAGAAAATCCGAACTTACTTTATACAAGACTAATAGGTTCTGGATTCGAATCTCACCAGGTGGGATCATGAAAGAGTACTACTGAGGAGTCCCATACTAGGACGAAATCATCGTACAGTGATTCTAGGTTTTCCAATAATGGTCTAGCTTCAATTGAATCATGAATTCAACTATTAAAATTACTATAATATTCACAAAACCCCTCTCTGATCCTGTATATATATTAGTCAATTCAATTGTTCCTATAGAGATCGTTTCATTAAATGTATAATCTGGAAAGTCTTAAATGAAAGTTGAGAACTTTATCCGACTTAACTAAGCAAAGGAAACTAAGATATCATGTGGACACAAATAATCTGTTGAGTAATCTATATGGTTCACGTATACTTCTTTAGTGTACAGCAGAATGCATTGATGAATATGAGCCAACAAATACAAGTCAGATTTCAGCCCTCGATATTAACTATAGGATAACTGAAATCTATCATAATGATGATATAGATAGTATACTCATTAAACAAACTGATGAGCATCTGAACTCAGTAGCTCAGTGTATTAAACGATAAGAGTTTCAGGAGTAAGGAGTTGAGTTCGAGCCCCAGTATAAATATCTATGTTAAAATCCAGAAAAAAAAATCAGTGAATAGGTACTAAATAACCTGGAACGTAGATCTTGAACTCCATTGCTGATAACAGTTCTTCTGTTCTATATAAACTCAAGACAATTTTAATAGTTGAATTCATAAGTTAATTGAAGTTAGACCACTATGGAAAACTTGAAAGCACTGGACGTCTGTTTCGTCCTATTGTAGAACTCTTCAGCAGTGCGCACCCACGGTCCAATGCTCCCAGGTTTCCCATGGTGGTCTAGCTTCAATTGATTCATGATCTGAACTACAAAAATTAATATAATATCCACAAAAACCCCTTCTGATATTGAAAGTAATGACAAGATGTTGTTGTTGATGCTGATGATGAGGTACATAATTGTCAGGATTAATTTAACTCCAGGTAAGAATAATAAAGCATCCATATAACATCCATCTTACTCTTGAATAGTTCAGTTCTTTTAATCTACATATATGGGAAAATATTCTTTCTTAGAAACAGTTTCGCATTTACAAATTTTAATAAAAATCATAGTATTAGAGAAAAAAAATTGGCGAGACTATAATTTATGGATGAACCAATCCGGTATAAGATAACAGGTCTTTTAATTTGGCGCGAAATTCATGGCTTCCGGAGAACTTCAACGGAGCCTCCAGAGGGCCAAAAGGAGCCGAATGGTCCTAGACAATCAGAGTATGATGGAACGTTCGAGAGTTCCAGCGTGGCGTGCTACTATTGGTCGGTAGCATAATATGACGTTAACGGATTGGCTGAAATATGATGTTGATTTAACAGACGCCAACATCTATAAATACCCTTGATTTTCTGTACAAAAATGAACCTTGGGATAAAGTATTTTCTCTCATACTTGTGTCTTCTCTCTGGTGTTCAAGTCGCTGTGTAGTTCTAGACTGCGGGTTACCAGATTAGCTTAGGAAACTAATATAGCATTCAATCCACACGACTTATCAATTCATTCATTCATTTGGCTAAATAGAGTTTTGGCAATATAGCTGATGTCAGTTCGTGATGAATACCCGCCCTCCCCCAAATCTAACTTCTCACTTTAATCATCAACTGTAAGTCTTAATTCTAATTCTTCACATTGGTTTCTAACCATCATTTGGTCTTAGTTACTAGGTGAACACTTTCAAGGTTAGTTTAGCGTTGCTCTGGATTGAAAGAAGAATAAGCTGAAAGGAAATCAATGAATTCACAATGTTCTATTACAATCATTGTTCTTGTTTTATTGAATTATTCATTTGAGGAAGAAGAATAATCATAAACTGATCTATTATTCCTATAAGAAAATGTTATGCTAGGAATTCTCCGTTAGTGCATGTCCACACTATCATACTGGTAGTTCTTGTGAAAAGTGATGATCTATGAAAAGCCAACTAAGTTAATCTAGTTGAAAGGTTAATTAATAATAGTTTACATTGCATGATTAAATGATTGTTTGAATAGACGAATCAAATGTAATGAATGTTATTGAGTGTGCAAACAAGAAGTAGGTCATTTAATTTAGTTTCTATAAACTTCTACTAACTAATGTATTTCTAGGGAGTAATATTTTCTTCGAATGAATTAAACAAAGCATAAAATCACAATCTTGACATTAGAAGCAAAGATGGATGGTGGCTAGCAGTGGAATTCATGATGTGCGTTTCGTCCTACTTGGGACTCGTCAGCTGAATGCATCTGCATCTCAGAGTTGATGTTCACTCTGGGATTCAAACTCAGTATCGCTTGCTTCAAACATCATCGCGTCATCCACTTAACTACTAACTCCTGATGATCTCTTGCTTGTGCATTGAGGTGAAGTTTAAATTCCTTTGGTATTGTTTACTTGAATCTTCTCATTGATGTTTAGCACTGCAATTGATTAGTCTCATATTAGCATATCTGCACCCTGTGTGTATTACATTGATATTGCTTTAATTCACAAGCATTATATGCAAAGATGGATGGTGGTTAGTAGTGAAATTCAAGATATGCGTTTCGTCCTATTTGTGACTCTTCAGTTGAATGTATCTTCATCTCAGAGTTGATGTTCACTTTTAGACTTGAACCCAGTACCGCTCATTTGAAACACTTAACTATTGAGTTCGGATAAGCACATCCAACTGACCCATTCCCAAATAAGATGTAACATGCATCCTTGATTCCACTACTAGCCACTATTGATCTTTGCTTAGAATGCCTATCAATGAAAGTCTATATCAAAGCAATCCACATTAGTATACACATATACTCATAAGAGATTCATCAACTATTTACTTGATAATGATTATTAAATCCTCGATGATCAATATCATGACATAATGCTCCAATAAATAATGCTAATTGTTCCATTTCATCTAAATATTGATGAATTAATGCTCTTTCAATAGTTAATATTAGATAAGCCATATGTCCAACTGTAAATGCATGTGTCCAATTATGATATGTTGGTTGACGATAATTATTCTTTATGGTTAATATAAAATATGCTAATTTAGATTGACATATATTCCATTGTTTTATAAAACCAAGATTATTGAACATAATCATGATAGCCTATAGAAACAAAATCAGAAGAAAAACAAACAAACAATTACATCAGAATGAGTTTTGTGGGAGGCATTGGACGACCGTTTCATCCTAGTATGGAACTCCTCATCAGTGAGCATTTACGATCTCACACCCCGTGAGATTCGAACCCAGGACCTATCAGTCTCGTGCTAGGCGCTTAACCAATCAGACCACTGAGCCGACATCCAATGGTGTCCCATACTAAAACGGAACGGCCGTCCAGTGCTTCCAGGTTTTCCATGGTGGTCTAGCTTCAATTGACTCATGATTTCAACCAGTGAAACAATCATAAATCATTAGTTAAGTAATGAGGATCACATATTAAACATTGTAATGAAGCAACTAATATCATTGAATAGTATAATGGAACATATGGAAGTTAAAATAACTGTCTACAAGCCAATATCAAAGTCAGAGTATTCAGTACGAACGTCAGAACAGTTCTAATGTACAGAGTTGAAACTTGAAGAACTACTACTACAACCATCATTAAGAAAGTACAAGTATTTCTAAATAGTTGTATACACAAAATACTCATCATCCAACATTGACCGGATACCATCAGCAACGGCCTACTGTGAGAGAGAACAAACCAGCTTCTAGCTGAGTAGGAAATTAGGAAAAGACGTTGGAAGTGGATAGGACATAAATTGTGGAAATCACTAGACTGCATCACAAGGCAAGCTTCAACTTGAAATCGTGAACGGAAACGAAAAAGTGAAAGATCAAAGAACATATTACGTCAGGAAATAGAAGCAGGTATGAAAAGTATGAATAGGAACTGGAATAAGCTCGAAAGAACTGGTTGAGACAGAGTTTGATGGAGAGTGTTGGTGGGCGGCCTATGCTCCTCCACGACGAGTAACAGGCGTAAGTAAGCAAGTAAAATGCTGAATTAAGATTGAGTATTTCATGAAATCAATTTTACTGGATGAATCTAAACAGTACATTAATGATAACATTTTGATTAATACAATCAATTCTGTTTTTTTTCATTGACTTCTCATTAGCTATACGTTTGAAGGGATTACAAGTGCACTTAATTTGAGAACGGAACAAATACTCTGTGACACAATAACCAATAAGCTTGCTATTCTGACGCGTTCCAGCCTCGGTAACGATAGAGAGGGAAGTTCATGTTTGGGAAAGGGAAATATATTGCACAAGCAGCCAGAAGCACGAGCAATAAAAGCAGACGCAAATTAAACGTATATATATACAACATAAAATTGTACTTGGGAAGTGTTACAAAGTAGCATATTAAATGATACAACGAACCAATAGCATTTAAGATCCTCTCAAGTGGGAAATATGATATGAGATCTTTTGGCGCGAAAACAAGAAATTCAACTTTTTAAAATAGAATTGCAGAAACAAGGTATTTACCAGGTGAGTTCTGTGGATCTAGCATCCCCATCAGTTAATGAGTTTAAGTAGTGTGAAATTTTGATAAATAATAACAAGTAAGTTGCTTTCATCTGGTTACTGTCTTCTTAGCAAAAAATGAACAAAAATTGGACAGAACTAGAACGGAAGGTCGAGAACAGAGTGGGTTGGAGACTGCTGGTCGTCGGCCTATCCTCCATTTGGAGTAACAGGTGCAAGTAAGTGAGTAAGTAAGTTGTTTTCATCACAGATTGATCTCGATCGATATACCAGTAAATACTAGGGAGTGCTGCATGATTATTTCGCTTTAATATGGGACTCATATTAAATTGCCCGAAAGTCCTAATTTCAATCTTTGAAAGAGTTATGAGGAGTATTCCTGAAGAGTTCCATGCTTGGACGAAATATCACTCAGAAACTAATATAATAATCTTCAAATCAAGTACAAGTTCTATAAAACTCGATTAACTAAATTATTAACATGCTTAGAACTAAAAATTCAATTATCTATTATAGAACAATAAATTATTTGGACAGATATTCAAGGGTTTTTATAACAACAACATATATACTACTTAATGCAACAAGGATATTTTAGGAAATACTTACTTACGCCTGTTACTCCTCGTGGAGGAGCATAGGCCGCCAGTCTTAAGCCTGGGTAAAGGAGAAGGGTTGGACATGAGGTTAGTGACCCCATCCGGTAGAAAACTAACTCTCTAAAAAACGCTAACCAGAAAAAATAATTCAAACCATTTAAACTCTACCCTAGGAGTTAGAAGGTTTGCATTTAGAAGAGTTATGACACCTCATGGTGAAAGCCGAGTTCCTTCGGAAGTCACATGGACGATGCCACTTTTAACAACCAGATCAACAAATTTTATAGGTACGTGAAACGTCCGAACAATGTGGGAGATCGGGAAGATCAGTCAAATAGCAACAGAAATGAGGAGATACAAATTGGCAGTAATGGGAATCAGTGAGACCCATTCGACCATTTTAAGAATAGGGGTGAGTGAAAAGTTTCTAAGTTGAACCTTCTAATTATTTTTTTGTTGTTGCTTTGTGATAGTTTCGAAGTAATGAAGCAATTAATCCTGTCAACTATTTATTGTTTTCTAGGAAACATAGTCAGCGTAGATTAACTTCCTTATGGAAGGAGTGGTTACTTGAATTAATGAATTCTAGTTAGCATCTTTTTAGCGAGTTAGTTTTCTACGGGTTGATGTTGCTAACCCCATGCACAACCCTTCTCATTTTTCCAGGCTTTGGACTGTCAGTAGCCCCATAGGGGCTCCAGGCGGAGTTTAATAATAATAGTTATAATAATAATATTGATTATTAATTAGATAGAGGGAAATAATCAATATTGAACTTACTACAGTAGAATCCCTTTCATTAACACTTCTTGAAAGAAAAGATATTTCATTGAAATTTGGATGTATTTGAGTTAAACTATGAATTTTATGATCAATCAGTTGAGTAATTTCATTATCCGAGATCTGGTATAACAAAGAAAAATGTATAATCAAAATAGAAATATGTGAATTCATATGTACATGAAGTAACTACTCCTATGTATCCGATGTTCACCTTTCTATGCTAATGATGTATGGCAACTTGGATCGATGTATATATGTGCCTAGTCCTACGTTGTAACTGACTGACTGACTGACTGAATTATAGGGATTTCGTTCTGTTACTACCAGTCACTGTACATGATTCCTTTCAGTCTAATGTACTTCCAACAACTCATTTTATGAAGACATCAAGTCATTTTGTGTTGTTGAGGCAGATTTCTATGATATTAAATAAAATACTGACTAGATATCAATGACTTGTATTATGAGTAAGGTGGAGAGACATAGGGTTTTCCTATGTAATCAATCGTTGCACTTTAACTTAACAGACTATTGAAGATTATATCATTGGCTGCTGGATCATCTTTCTTGTGCATAGTAATTCAGATGAGAGAGTCTAACTAGAAGTTATTTGGTAAATTACAAACAGTCAGTTCAATCGACGTTGAACATTAGAGTCTAATGATTGTCGATAAAAGTTTAACTATGCTTTCAATTAGAGTGTAGTGTCGGTTGTTATGTTAAGCCTATATACTTTATTCCAGCTTCTGGACAGACCGATTTACCATCCTTCTTGAGTCATATTTTGACCTTATTCATTACTCACTTATCACTGTTGTCTGTTTTTATATGAGCGCGTATGTGTGTACACCTTTTCCCACTCATCACATGTCTGTAGTATATTTATGAGTGACTGGAAGTATTGATGAAGTTGGCTCTCCACTGTCCGTCCTTTCGATTCGCTTTGATCTCTCTTCTTCGCTTCATTCGCTGCGATTCTCTAATTGTCTGTTTCAATCAACGAGTGTACAAAATATACGTATTCAAACATTCATTCTTTTATTTGACTTATTTAATTTCGTTATTCACTAATGTGAATTAAGTCGAGGATAGCCACGGTGTATGCGCATTGAAAACCATCATTTATCAAATACAAATGAAAACTATCTAACTTCAGTTCACTTGGTGTTGTTTACTTGAATTGCATCAATATTGCTTTAATTCACAAGCATTCTAAGCAAAGATGGATGGTCAGTCAGTCAGTCAGCTACAACGTAGGACCATACACATATATGCATCGTTCCAACTTGCCATACCCCATTAGCACAGCAAGATTAACACCGGGTTCATAGGAGTAGTTAAATCAAGGGTGGTAATATGAAAAAGAAAGATTGCATATAAGGACATAGTACGAGAATAAAGAATTAGTTCTTAGAAAGAAAGATATAAAGCGATTTTAATCTCTTAGATTAAGGGAAGACAAAGAGTGTATACACCAACGCTACTGTGATCGATTCTGAGCAATGTCACTCGGTCTCCAACCATTGGTTACGATAGTCACGTGGACCCCAACCAAGTAGTCTGCACCTAACAACATGGCTAAAAACAGAAGTCAATGGCTTTATGGACTGGTGCAACGTTTTGGTTTGGTCTCCCCCAACTTTCTTCGAACCATCTCCAATACCGGTTAGCATTGCACGTCGTGGTAATCAGTGTTCAGGCATACAGAACACGTGGCCGAATCATCTCAGTCGATGAAGATTCACAACTTGATCAACCGATTTACCATCATTCCCTAATGCCCTGCCTCTAACCTCACAACTACTTACCCGATAATCCCAGCAGATGCGAACAATATTTCTAAGACATCTGTGGTCAAATACTAGTAGCTTACGAGTATCTTCTACTCTTAATGGCCATGTTTCGCAGCCATAAAGTAAAACAGAACGATCTACCGCGTAGTGTAGTCGTCGTTTTATTGATAGACGGATATCTCACCTTTGCCATAGGTGACGTAGGTTGGCGAAAGCCAAGCGAGCTTTTCGAATCCGTGATGAGATTTCGTCAGACACCGACGCATTAGAGCTAATCAGAATTCCAATATGAGTGAAGTTGTCAACGCATTCGACTACTTCACTCCCTATCCTTAGTTCAGGTGTTGACGCAGACCAGTCCTGAAGCAACAACTTGCATTTAGAGGGAGAGAAACGCACTCCAAACATTCTGGCATTGTTGTTTAGTGCTACCAGAAGACTCTGTATTTTATCAGCGTCTTTACGAAACAGGACTATATCATCTGCGTATTCTAGGTTGATAAGTGGACCTCCTGGTAGGAGATCAATGCCCGAGAATTCAGTCGACGAGGACGTTGGATGGATGAATGGTGGCTAGCAGTGGAATCCAGGATGCACATTTCGTCCTATTTGGGACTCGTCAGTTGGGTGTACATGCATCTCAGAGTTGATGTTCACTTCAGGACTCAATAGTTAAGTGAATAACGTGATGGTGTTTCAATCAAACGATACTGGGTTCGAGTCCCAGAGTGAACATCAACTCTAAGATGCAGGTGCATCCAGCTGACGAGTCCCGAATAGGACGAGACGCTTGTCTAACTTCAGCTTATTCAAATGATCGACAATAAAAATCATGGAAATAATAAAGTTGAAATCTCAGTAAACACATTAGTCAGAAATAAATATTTATATGAACATTTTAATAAGAATATATATATAGTTCTTACTTTCATATGATAGGCAACCAGTTCAGAGTTTATTTCATTTCTGTTTCGCATTATGTGTAGTTCATTGTTTAAGTAAACCTAAAAAAATATTGTAATTGAACCGAATCAACATTTGATGAGCAACAACAAAGTAATGATTAATTAACACAGTGGTGAACAACTATTCGAAGTATCATAGAAGTTCTGATAAAGATCCGTGAATCATGGATCTCATTCATATAGGATTTGAAACCGATATCATAAACGGTATCAGATATTTGTAGCACAATATGATTAATCAACTCAAATTATAAATATGAGTAACTGAATTGTCAGTAAGACATTTCTCAAGGGAATAGATAGTTTACAACTGATTGATCACTGGGTGGTGATCAATGTGTTGTTTGTTAGGTCCTTAGTGCAGATTGAATCCTATCAGACAAGTTGCAATGTGGCCACTAGTCTAGGTGACTTGACATTCCGTGCACTATGTTGAGATAAGATGGTGATTGGAGGTAGTCAACAGGAAACCCTGAACCTAGGTACTCGTCAGCAAGGTGTACCTGCAATCTTGAGGGAACTGGTGCTCCCTGACGGATTCGATCCCGTGTCACCCAGCCTCACAGTCAGAGACATTACCACTGGGCTATCCGGGCCGCGACTGACCTTCTGCAGGACTGAGATGTAATCGCAACTGATTGATCACTGGGTGGTGATCAGTGTTATGTGTGTCAGGTCTACGGTAACGCATCATATACTGATATTCTTTTCTTAATTAAAAACAAAATGTATATTAAGTGTATGTCTATTTTAAAAATAGACATTGAAAATAAATCACATTTTTTCTTTAATGGCGTCTAGACGTATTTTATTTATTTAAACACATAAACATTGGTACAAAATGGCACCAAAGAGATATGCGCCACATAAATCATTCGATTTGTGTGTGGGCTGTCATACTTCCTAGGTGCCTAGACCGAAGCAGATGGTTTTCTTAGGGGACCACACCTTGAGCCTTTGACCTAAAGGTCTGATCTACAAGGTAGTGGAGCAAGATAAGGAGATCCGATGCCATGGTAACCGGTGACCAACAATTGGTTCATACATCATTTGTTTCTTGAGGATCCTGGAGCTAATGTACAGGGTTTTTCAACTCTCCTAGATAGATCTTTCGTATCCATCAACCTGGTTAAATCGTCGAACATTCGCTTTACATCCTCCTCTCCACTTCATTAACAACAACAACAACGTAATTTATTCAATGTTAAATATTTTCTACTTAGGCACATTTTTTATTTTCTAACGATAAATAAATTCATGAAAAATGATAGATTGTTTACCACAATTGATTGATCACTGGGTGGTGATCAATCTCATACTTGTCTAGTCCTTATTAGTGCAGATCGAATGCTATCGATCATGTTGCAATGTGGCCACCAGTCTAGGTGACTCGACACTGCGGGCACTATGTATTGAGATTAGATGGTGGTTGGAGGTAGTCAACAGACTGGTGGCCACATTGCAACATGATCGATAACATTCGATCTGCACTAATAAGGACTAGACAAGCATGACATTGATCACCACCCAGTGATCAATCAATTGTGATTACATCTCAGTCCTACAGGAGGTTAGTCACGGCTCGGATAGCTCAGTGGTAACGTCTCTGACTGTGAAGCTGGGTGAAACGAGATCGAATCCGCCAGGGAACACCAGTTCCCTCAAGATTACAGGTACATCTTGCTGACGAGTGCAAAGTAGCACGAAAACCGGGTCCAGGGTTTCCTGTTGACTACCTCCAACCACCATCTAATCTCGATAGATTGTTTACTTTTAGAAGAAGAAGAAGAAAAAAAAAACAAAAACATGTATCCATTTAAGTAGAAAAAAAAAGGGAATTTTCTTTCCTTTTGAAAGGATAAAATAAAGTTACATTAATTCCACATGAAGTTGTCCATTTCAATATTGGGAGAGGCGTAGGTGGTGGCGGTGTTGGTGATGGTGGTGGTGGAAATGGAGGGGGGGGAGAAAGGAAATTAACACCAATATTCTAAAGGAATTAACCATTTCCTGAGGTCATCATTGAAATAGACAACAACTTGAGAAAATGAAATAGTTAGGTCAATATTATTTCAACAATAAAATGATGTATATGCTTGTTATCAAATGATAGATTAATATCAGAAGAGGTTTTGTGGATATATTTTATAGTAATTATAATAGTTGAGTCAATTAAAACTAGACCACCATGGAAAACCTGAAAGCACTGGACAACCGTTTCATCCTATTGCTAGACTCCTCACAGCAATGCGGATTGACGATCTCGCTCGTGGGATTCGAACCCAGGGTCTCATATCCCTGAGGAGTCGCACAAGAGGATGAAACATTCATCCAGTGCTTCCAGATTTTCAATGGTAGTCTAACAATAATCCATTCATGATCTCAATCAAAAATGAAATCAGATGAATTCATGCTATTCTGTTAGAATCTACAGAAATAAAAGAATCAAAACATTTAAATCATTAAAGAGAATGAATTCAATTTACTTGAGGCATTATAATCATTAAGAAATCAGTAATATAATTTGATAATAAATATTTCTCATATTTAGAAAATCGTTGATCATTGTTCAATTTATGAAATTCTATTAGGGTTAAATGATTTGGATCATTATTATGGAAGAACAAATGGATCAAGTATACACTAAAATAAACAAATAAACAAACAAACAAACATTAAAAGCATATCACTATTATGTAATTGACATTTGATGATGAGATTATCATTTATGGATGACCTTCGAGCAACACTAGACTGACCTTGAGTGGCACAACTGATTAATCACTGGATGGTAATCAATGTTATGTGTGTCAAGTTCATATTTAGTGAAGATCGAATGCTATCGACCAAGTTGAAATGTGACCACCAGTCTAGGTGGCTCGACACTGTATGCATTATATATTGAGATTAGATGGCTCGGATAGCTTACTAGTAACGTTTCTGACTGTGAATTTTGCTCCAAAATCCGAAACCTGTCATCTTATACAGCTGATTGGTTTGTCCATAAATCAATCATTCTTTGTTCTCGTTCTCTTTTCTTTGATCATTTAAACGGTCTGCCACCAGGCATTTCACCTGAGATACTACTTAAATTTGTTGACATCAATAGAATATACTACAGTAAAGTATATTTTATTCAAATCATTCATTGATCCTATACTAGTGGTTACTCTTAATAAAACATGAACGTTAATGAAGATATTGATGTTTGTATTGATTGTTGATATGAAACGTTTTTATTTGGTGGATGAATAGTTGAATGGTTTACGAAGATGAATTCTGCATGAATACATGATATCGTTTGTATGAAGTAAATCCATAGAACAGGTTCTCTACTCCTTGTTGAAAAGCATCGGCCGACAACCAGCACTCTCCATCCAAACCTGTTCCAAGCAATCCTTTCCAGTCCTTCCTAGTTACTATGCATCCTTTTTATATCTGCTCCGATTCCCAACGTAGTATGTTCTTGTGCCTTCCTCTTTTCCGCTTCCCTTTAGGATTCCAAGTTAGGGCCTACCTCATGTTGCGGTTTGTTGATTTCTTTAATGTGTGTCCTATCAATTTCCAACGTCTTTTCCTAAGTCCTTCATCAGTTAATAGTTGGTCTGTTCCCTCCCACAATAGGTTGTTGCTGATGATATCCGTTCAACGTACATTAGGCATCTTGAGTAGACAACTATTTATAAATACTTGTACATTTTTGATGATTGTTGTAATAGTTGTTATCCAAGTTTCAGCTCCATACAGTAAAAATATCTTGACGTTCTTATTGAAGATTCTCATTTTGATATTGGCCTCCAAACAGTTGTTTTAAGTTACACATGTCGTTCAACTGTTGGAAAGCTGCCTTCGCTTTGCCGATCCTCGTCTATGAGTCGGCATCGGATTCTCCTTTTTCACCAATAATGCTCTCAAAGAGTTACAGCTGGTCCCAAGTCCGGATAAAGAAACAGGGTTGGGCATGTGGTCGACAATCCTATCCCATAGAAAAAAATCTTGCCAAAAGTACGCCAACCAAATTAAACAAATATTTAACGATCTCGGTATTTATTTCTCATAGTTCGCAAGTGGGGTGAAAATATAATTTGTTTTCTGTCAATATTTTGATTTACAACATAGTGTAATAATCATATCATAGCAACAGGAACATAGGTCATACAGTTGCTCACTATAAACCATCAATTATATTTCAATACTAGTCATCAATCAATAAAACTCCACCTGGAGTCCCTCCGGAGGCTACTGCCGGTCCGAAGCTCGGATAAAGGAAGAGGGTTGGGCATGGGGTTAGCGACCTCATCTCGTAGAAAACTAACTCGCTAAAAAAACGCTAACCAGAAAAAAATTATTGATCAATCAATAAACTGAAGTATAAACCATGAATTGTAGTATTTTGACTTATAAAAATCCCTAAAAGTTTTTAGTGTGTCTTCGATTTTAAGTTATGGATCTATGCTAATAATAGTGGATTCTGGTTTTTAAGGGATTTTCGGTGAATACCAGTCTATGGTAAAGGATCCTTTCATATTTCGGACGTTTTTATTCTATGAATGTTGAATTCATGGAATATATGTATTGAATTCATCTCTTATCAATATCGTTAACAGCTTTAAATATAAATAGCTTCGAATCCCGTGGGGCAGGATCGTGGACGCACACTGTTGAGGAGTTCTATACTAGGGCGAAACAGCCGTTCAGTGTTCTCATGTTTTTTACATGATAGTCTAGCTTTATTTAACTCATGAATTCAACTATTAAAATTACTATAATATTCATCATTTTATATCACTGGTTCATATTGTTTAATCTAATAGTAAGTATTATTTTTGATGGAGTTTTGTTCTTTGAGCTGGATGGTTTGGTCGTGGAACTTTCATCGTTCTTCTGAAAGATATCATCAGCACAAACTTTACTTCTATCCGAAGCCTTTGATGATGATGTCGTTCAGAAGAACGATGAAAGTTTCACGACTAAACCATCCAGCTCAAAGAACAAAACTTCATCAAAATCATTCACCTGAGCTACAAATCTTCTCCACTATCTCAAGTAAGTGTTATCAAAATCAGAACTTACTTTAAATCTAGTTGATTAATAGATTTAATGATAGAATCTATTGAATCTATTGTCAAAGTTGTAAGATCAATGTTGATCTCTGTTAATAAATAAATAAAAAGGAATGATCCAAAATGAAATGAACTTGAATTCAGGTTATGTCATGTTACTACTATTCAATAGAACTAATGCATAAAGTGATTAATTCATTGGATCCAATATAGAATTCATCATTCAATATACAATAATGAAGTGATAGAACAAATGATTATGAATTCTACCGTATGCTCATTAGTGACTAACTTCGTGAGGGAATTCTTGGAGTTCTAGTGAGAACCTATGACTAGTAAAGCTAATCCATGTCAGATAGAAACAGTTATATACTTTAGGCAATCGAAGATGATTACGAGATTTCGTGGGTTGGTTGAAGTTAGACATTCACACCGTCGGTCAAGCGTTCGCGCACGAGACTGATAGGTTCTGCGTTTGAATCTCCTATACGGAATCGTAGATATGTACTATTGAGGAGTCCCATACTCGAACGAAACAGCTATTCAATGCTTCCAAGTTTTCAATAGTGGTCTAACACCAATCGATTTATGATTTCAATCAAAAACTATGGAATTGTAATATTAGTCGAATGAATGAGTGTCATTTTAATAAGGGTTTATAATCTACTATTATTGGTTATTAACTACTGCTGTAATTGATCAAACTCCATTGTTATATGTTCATGTTCTGAGTGGATTAGATTCATTCAAAGTAGTGGAATTCAAATATTGTCCAATCATTAATTAAATATAATAAAGGTCACTTTAATCTTAACTTTTATAATTTTAAATTCACTTTTAAGAAAACTAAGAATGGCCATCAGACAAATCAAGAGCGGGAAAGCAGCGGGACCCGACAACATACCAGCTAAAGCACTGAAGTCATACATCGAAGTAACTACAAACATACTTTACCTTCTATTCCAAAAGATTTGGGAGCAGGAACTTATAATTTTCATGATTTTTAATGAATATCCAGTCATGGTTCAAGCTGAATAGAATTTCTATGAGAATTAGTAGTCATGAATTATGAAGCAAAGATAAAACTTCCAAATGGTTCAATAATGTGATAGGCATTAACATTATGAAATGATAAGAGTTAGATATTGATTAAAAATCAAGAAATAATGAGCAACTGCTTCGTCCTAGTATAAGATTCTTCAGTAGTAAACATTCATGAACTCACTACAGATAATTGAACCCAAGAAATTTGATCTCTATGTAAACACATAACTTTTATACCACTGACCCTAAATACAATCAGTTCATGATATTCCATTTTCTTGTGGGATTAATAACTTAACACTCTACAGATGATGGGTTCGGTCCTCAGTGCGGTTGTGTATACGCACTACAGAGAAGTATCACACTGGGATGAAGTAGATGACTAGTCTTCCCTGGTCTCCAATGGACGTACAACTGAGGTTGATTTGTAATATCAATCACATACAATAATATCTATAAACCTTTATATAAATGATGTTATAGTCAATGAAATAACAAATTACTTAGGATAGATCTTCGAGATTTTTTTAATGCATGCAAAAATCAAAGTTTGTGACCCCTGCTAACTACGATATAGAAGTCCAGTAGAAAACGTAAATAAAAAGCCACCGACAGAAGAAAAAACCGAACAAAACTGTCCTCAAATTGTCATAATATTCTTCGACCAATGAAACTTGAAAGCATATAAGACAGACACAAGTTTTTTAAGCAAAGATGGATAATGATTAGTAGTGGAATCCAGTTTGACGCGCGTTTCGTCCTACTTAGGAGTCGTCAGCTGGATTTACCTGCATCTCAGAGTTGATATTCACTCTGGGACTCGAACCCAGAACCGTTTGATTCCAACACCATCACGTTAACCACTTAGCTACTGAGTGATGATAGCCACTTGCTTGTGCAATGGAGTGAAGTCTAAATTCACTTGGTATTGTTTGAAGCGAACGGTACTGGGTTGGAATCCCAGAGTGAATATCAAATCTGAGATGTAGGTACATCCAACTGACGAGTTCAAATTAGAACTAAATTTGCATACTGGATTCAACTGCTCGCCACAATCGATCTATGCTTTAAAAACCTGTGACTTAAGACTATATCGAGGGGATCCGACCTGTATGCACATATGCCCGATAAGAGACTGATCAATTGCAGTCCTAAATAACAGTGGAAAGATACAAGCGCTGGAAGTGAATAGGATACCCATTGAGAAAAGCACCCAATTGCACTACTAGCCAAGCCTTCACCTAGAATACTCAAGGCCAAAGGAAGAGAAGAGGAAGACCAAAGAAGACATTTGTTATATCCCAATAAGAATAATGAATGGTAACTTTTGGGATCCATTTATGGACCAGTATTATGAGTATATTTTTATCGTATAACTGTTATGTAACTAAACTACACATATTCATGTCCCTGTTATTATGAGCTTTATTTTGACCTATGAATTATTATTATACGATTTTCCATTCTTGAATTACACTCTGTATATCAATTACAGTCTCCCTCATTCACAGCCACATTTGGCAAATTGTTGTACAAATGTTGTTTCCTAATTTATGATACGTTGTGGTCTGTCTGGTTGATATATAAACCGAGTATGCTTGAAATAAATGATTCATATTGCAGAGGCTGAGACTGGTGTTCTGGACTCTAACTGGTAGGACGAGACAGGGAGAAGGACCGATAGGTACTCTAGACTGCTCGCACGTGTTTTAAGCGTCATTGATTCGATCGATAATTCACTGTTCTCTAATTGGAGGTATCATTACATTACAAATTAACAGGGCACTCAGGTCACAAGTTATAACAAAATTACGTCGAGAAATGGAGACAAACATGAGAAGAATGAACAAGAATTGGATAAAACTATAAAGGAAGGTCGAGAACAGAGTGGATTGTAGAATGGTGGTCAGCGGCCTATGCTCCACTGGGTAGTAACAGGCATAAGTAAGTAAGTAAGTAAGTACCACTAAAGTGTTCATAAATAATCAATAAAGGTTTATATTCATACCATTTTGTTTTAGAAGACTTTCAAACATCCATGGTGATTTATTCCATCGCCTTTTATAAACTACCTAAAATGTACAAACATAAAACATTCTTCTGTATATAAGTTTTACAAGCAGATCATAAATAAGTAGATAAGTTATATACAAACTATTAGAATTTATGTTCGTTACTAGAAAATCTTTACAAACTGAAGAGTATTATGGGATTTGTAATGTTTTATATAGCCCCCGAAATGCCCTGATACGGTCGAGATTGGGGAGAGTCAGCTCTCCCTATCGAAATGCTCTCACATGGTCACGCGTATTCAGCCATTGCTAGGGAAGTCCTACTCAATGAGTTCTCGCGCCACGAGTGTTGTTTATGAAATTGAGAGAACAAAAAGCGAATATACGATGCTTTAACCAGGTTTGTAGGTATGGAGAATTCACCTAGAGGAGTTCGAAAACCCTGATTTCAAACCAATGGTGTACATTAGCCCCAGAATCCTGAAGGAACAAATGGTGTATGAACCAATTATTGATCACTATCTACTATGGGACTGCATCTGCTGACATCACTCCATTACCTTGTGGATCAGGCCTTTAGGTCGAAGGCTCTAGATGTGGCCCCCTAAGAAAACACCCCTTTTTCGGTTTGAGTATCTGAGCATAATACCTTTTACTTGAAATGGATGACTTACTTGTTTTTCCATTGGATACTGTTTTAATTCTTCAATCCATTCTTGTTCATTTTTATCAAAATGATAAATTGATATACTTTACGATAGATTTTATTATATTTTCCAATTTGTTGATAAATAAGTAAAATGAAAAATAAAATAGAACAATGAGAGAGAGAGGGGGGTTATACAACTAAAATAAAAAAAGTAAACTTCAATAGTTCAGCTAGACCAACAAGGAAAACTTGGAAGCACTAAACAAACGTTCCGCCTTATTGTGGGACTCTCACGTGGCAATGCACATCCACAATTCTGCCTAGCGAGATCCGAACAATGACAGGTAGAAGGTCAACAAGAACTAATCAACATCAAGGTTTACAGGACAAGCTATGAGCCATATATAGAGAAATTTTTGAACATTTCACTTCTACCTGAAGTTTATGCTACTGATAATGTTGTTCAGAATAATGATGAAAGCTCCATGATAAAACCATTCAGCTCAGAGAATAGAACTCCATCAACATAAAATAGAACAGAAATCTTAATCTTTCTTTAAATCCTTTTTAAATGAGAAAATATTGAGTATTTTCAAAGTATAAACATGGCAACAAAATGTGTTCTATTGATTGTTAACAAAGATAGTCAGTTTTCAGGTTAGTTCTCATATCAAACTGATGTCTATTCAAGAATTATTGAAAAATGAAAATGTGGTGAGACTAGAACATATGGATGAATCAATCAGATTGAAGATTACAGGTCTCGAATTTTGGCGCGAAATCTACTCATCCATTTGGTTAAATAGAGTTTTGGCATTATAGTTAATGTCAATTCGTGATGAAAAACCATAAATCTCATTGTCAACTTTAACCATCAACTGTAAATCATAATTCGGATTCCTTACACAGCTTTTTTATAACCTTCATTTGAACCTAATTATTAGGTAGACACACTGAAGGTCAGTCTAGTGTCGCTCTAAGGTCGTCCTTAAATTACGGTCTCAACAAAACAGTCTATTTCCCCTTGATTTGCTATTCTTTACCAGAGTGAACCTATGATCATACATCACATGGAAAATGAGACCATTCTATCTTATAGTGTACACGATAATTTTATGTCGGTTATCCAGAATTCATTGGTCCCAATCATGACGTTTAGTCGATTCTCGAGAACCCCTATCCCATTTCTTAGATGGTTCAACATGGTTAATTCATTATCTTGTACATTCTAATGAAGGATCGCAATGCAAATAGTTTGGAGAGGTTTGTTTTTAAAGTTTATGAGCTGTAGTGACTGGTCCTATGTCGAGCCCTCATAACTTATTTTAGCTTCTGCACAAACCAATTTATCCATTCTTCTCAAACTACATCTCGACCTTGTCAATTGTTTGTTTATCAAACATGACTGTTTTTATGTAGGCGTATGTATGTTCATTTCTGATCGTACTCATCGCTTATCTGTAGCTTATATTCATCTAGATATATATGTTGATTAATGCTTGATTAAATGGAGCTGGGCTCACACACCTCTACTGCGCGTCATTTCACTTCACTCTCTTCTATTCGCTTCATCCCACTCATTTTCTATCGAAATCAGTGAGTGTACAAAATATATATATTGAAAAATCTATTTCCGTATTTGACTTATTTAATTCCGTCATTCACCAATGTGGATTAAGTCGATGATTAAATACGAGAATAGTCAGGATGTCTAGTTCAACATCGATTAATTGATAGCAATCAGAAACGATCCAAATGGAGTCAGTTAGAGGGTCAGTAAACAGCTACTAATAACTCCGCCTGGAGTCCCTCCGGGGTCTACTGCCGGTCCCAAGCCCTGATAAAGGAGAAGAATTGGGCATGGGGTTAGCAACAATTTTAACTAAATACAAACTAACAAAAAACCCCTAAATACTTCATTCCGGAATCGAATGTATTTCAGTAGAAGATTGAGAGGGAAAGAACGGGAATGGAACACAATTGGTATCAAAATGCAAGAGCAATGAAATCTGAGACGATGGACTGATATCTGCAAAAAGAACCGTCAAGTTTAAGAGAATGAATTGATATTTTACAAATGAAGTATTCACTATATGGTTCTTAGATTTTAGTGAGTTATTCTATAATTTTGTGTTCGAATACATTCGATTATACCCCACTTGCGTTCTTGTTTACTAAAACAGTACTAGTTGATATTGTATCAGTCCTCATGTAAAGACTATCAGTTCTTAAATGATTTGTGTAATGAGTTAATGGTAAGATACTACTAATAAGTAAGAATGGTGAAAAGCATCTGTTTAACCATACTGTAACTGAATTTCGGGGAACTTGGGGTAAATCTTTAGGATTTTCCCCCCAATGTTGTAAGAAATATGGTAGTTTATTTTCCCAAATATTGGAAAATGTTTTTTTTTGGGGGGGGGGGAAACACTAAAATGTTATAAGATTCTGTGGAAATATTAGGGTAAACCCAAAATTTACTCAAACATTCTGGGGATTTTGTGCCATTTTCCCAAAATAGGGAGGTTGGGAAATTACTTTTTAATAACTTATCAATGATTAAATTCACTTGATATTGTTTACTTGAATCTTTCCATTGTTATTTAAGACTGCAATTGATCAATCTCATATCCATATTTGCTTATCGAGCTTGTGAACGAAAACAATAACATGATGCACATATGACAATATGAGATTGATCAATTGCAGTCCCAACTAATAATGGGAAGACACAAGTAAACAATACCAAGTGAATTTAAAACTTCACCCCATTGCACATGCAGGTCCTTATCAGGGTCTAGTAGTTAAGTGGGTAACGTAATGGCGTTTTGAATCTAACGGTTCCGGGTTCGAGTCCCGAAGTGAACACCAACTGATATACAGGTACATCCAACTGATGAGTCCCAAATAGGACGGAACGCTCGTCAAACTACATTTTACTACTAACCACTATTCATCTTTGCTTATCAATCGAACAAAACTTTCTAACGAAATTCATAAGAAGTAGCTGCTACGACAAAAAAATCATCTGAGTCTACACTAATGTCTTAACAACATTTTCCATGAATTTATTCAACATTCTTTTTTCATCTTAATAGATCTTGATCGGTGATTTATGGGTTTTCACTAAAACTCCAGAAAATGCATTTTGAATTCAGTCACTAGTGAGCAGATGATTATTATCAGAAGGGGTTTGGTGCATTGGATTGAAATTGGTTGAAGTTAGACATTAACACCGTTGCATGCCGGCCAGTCGGCTCAGTGATCTTATGGTTAACCGCTCGCTTGCACCCGAGACTGACGGGTCCTGGGTTCGAATGGCGCGAACAGCGGGATCATGAATGCGCATTGCCAGGGAGGAGTCCCATACTAAGACGAAACGGTCGTCCAGTGCTTCCAGGTTTTCCATGTTTCTCTAGCTTCAAGTGAATCATGATTTCAATCATTGAAATGACTAAACTCTTCACAAAACCCCTTCTGACAATAATTTATAAAATGAATTCAAACATCAACAACAACAACAAACAGGAACTCATCATTCAGTTATATAATAGATCATAACAAGACTATTACATAATGAAAATATAAATGTAATCTCACCAATCATAGTTGATTAATTTCTTTAAACTATCAGCAACATTTTCATATAAATTTCTATGATTCATAATACAACTAAGTCTTATTGTTTCTTTATGTAGAATCTATAAAAAGGTATAAAAAGGAATTTATATCTATTTTTGTATATAGATAGTAGGACAGTAGATGTATGAAGTTACATTCTCTTTTTAGGTGGGAAGTTTTGTAGACAATCCAACAATATCTCATAATATGAGAATAAGGCAAATGCTAGATTTTCTGAGTCATTCTTGATAGCAAAAACCCCAAATACCCTGGTATGACCGAGAGTGAGGACAGTCAGCTCCCATCTCTCTAAATACTCGCACATAGAAACGTGTATACAACCACTGCTTTCTCGCGCCACGGGTGTTTTTTTTTAATTGAGAGGACGAAAAGTGAATGTCCGACACTTTAACTGGGTTGGTGGACACAGAAGGTTCATTTTAGGGACTTGGAAAGCTTTGATTCCAAACCAATGGTGCCAATAGGCTTCAGTATCCTGAAGGAATAAATGGTGTATGAACAAATCGTTGGTCACCGGCTACCATGGGAGTGCATCTGCTGATGTTGCTCTACTGCCTTGTAGATGAGACCTTTAGGTCAAAAGCTACGGGTGTGGTCCCCTAATGACACCAACTTCTTCAGTTTGGACACCCGGGCAGTATCTCAGCCCTCACACAAATCGGATGATTTATGTGGCACATATCTGTTTGGTGCCTCCCTGTACCAATGTTTATGTGTCTAAATAAATAAATAAATAAATGCAAATAGTCATTGATTTTTAGATTTATCAAACTATATTTTATCATTAAAACAATGTTTTTAACCAGAAAAACTTAAAGTCTTACGATTAAGTACTATGTACTTTATTAATTGTACAAAGTCATAGTGTGATGTGTGCTACTGATATCGACAGATATTAGTAGTATGTATCATCACTCGAAAATGAAATGCCTGGCGACAGAAGGTTAAGAAGATCAAAGATAAAAGAACGAGAACATTGAATGAATGATATGAAAAAGAATGAACAATCAGGTCTGAGACGATTGATTGACATTTTGCAAATGATGTATTTATTGTATGGTTCTTAGAATTTACTCTATGCAAAATACTTCAGATCCGTTTACCCAGACACTATCAGCAACAACCTACTACTATGGGAGAGAACAAATCAGATTCCAGTGGAGAAAGAAATCAAGAAGAAGTGCTGGAAGCGGATAGGACACATATTGAGGAAAGCAACCGAGTCACAAGGAAACTCTTCACCTAGAATCCTCAACGCCAAAAGAGGAGAAGAGAATGACCAAAAAACATATTACTTCGAGAAATGGAGATAGACATGAGAAGAATGAACGAAAATTGGATAGAAGTGGAAAGGAAGGTAGAGGATAGAGTGGACGTTCTGTAATTCTATGTTCGAATACATTAGGTTGTCCCCTCACTGGTGTTCTCGTTTACTATTATGGTAATCTTACCAGTCATAGTGAATTCAGTTTATAAGATAAACTTCATATGAAAACTTTGTTTATTCTTTATAAAAGAATAATACAAATTTTAATCAGAATATGTTAATGAGCAAATTCACTTGATGTTGTTTACTAATCAATTGCAGTCCTAAACATCAATTCAAATAAACAATACCAAATGAGTTAAAAACTTCACCCGATTGCACAGGCAAACGACTATTAGGACTGAATAACTAAGTAGATAATATGATGGTGTTTTGAAGCGAACGGTACTGAGTTCAAGCCTTGAAGTGAACATCAACTCTGATATGTAGGCACCTCCAACTGATGAGTCTCAAATAGGACGAAACATGCATCAAACTGGATTACACTGTTAGCCACTATTCATTTTTGCTTATATTAATGAGTAGTTTAATCTAATTTCAATTGAATCAATAACACTTAGAATGATGGTTGATTAAAGTTTTACCATCAAAAGTTCTAGTTAAAAATAAAAAAAACTACTTTTGAGAAAACTTTTAATAGAAACCCACATTTTAAATATCTGACTAATATTTCCTTTTTGATTGAGATCATGAACCAACTGATGTTAGACCACCATTAAAAACCTAAAAACACTGGACACCCGTTTCGTCCTATTGTGGGACTCCTCAGCAATGCGTATCCACGATCCCGCTCTCGGGATTCGAACCCAGGGCCGGCTCCGTGGTCCAGTAGATTAAGCGTTCGTGCGCGAGACTGATAGGTCCTGGGTTCGAATCTCGTGAGGTGGGATCGTGGATGCGCACTATTGAGGAATCCCACAATCGGACGAGTTGGGCGTCCAGTGCTTCCAGGTTTTCAATTGTGGTGGTCTAACATCAATCGGTTCATGATCTCAATCATAAACTTAACAATCTCCACAACCCCGAAACTGATAATATTTTCTTATTAGATATTTTCCAAATTAATTAGTTTGTAATGAAATTTCTTTTTTTTTCAGGAATCATGGTAAAATGATATCTTTAATGGTTGAATTTATGAATTTGTTTAAGCTAGATCACGATGGAAAACCGTGAAGCACTGAACAGCTGTTTCGCTTTAGTATGGGACTCCATGATCCCGCACCCGGTATTCGAACTTAAAAATTTCGGTTTCGTAGGTGGACATTTAACCTTTAGACAAACTAAGCCGACATCCAATAGTGGCAATGTCCAACTTCAATCAATTGACGATATTGTGTGACCGATCTGACTGAATTGTTCATTCATAAATATTTATCATATATTTTATAGAATAAGCTTTAATGTCACATACTTCCAACCATTTAATATCAAAACATAATGGATAATCTATTAAATCAATTTGACTAGTGACTAAATTGAAACATGATCGATAAAATGTGATTAGTACAAGATTAGTAAATGTTCGAATAGTTTAGTGTTAGAAGCTGAGAATGTGAACAGGGTAATTGAAGTTCAAATCTTATGGGATGTAGAATTTCCCTCAATATTGAACGTACATTCAACTGACAAATATCAGTTGACCAACTTTCCTGAGACTAACATCAATCCAGTGTACTATATGTAGATATATAATTTATTTATTTTATTTATTTTAACACATAGATATTGGTACAAGGAGGCACCAAATACATATACGCCACACAAATCTCATTTGATATGTATTAGGGCTGTGATACTGCCCGGGTGTCCAAACCAAAGCAGGTGGTTTTCTTAGAGGGCCACTCCCCGAGCCTTCGACCCAAAGGTTTGATCCACAAGGCAGTGGAGAAAGGTAAGGAGATGCACTCCCATGGAAGCCGGTGACCAAAAGTTGGTTCATACGGCATTTGTTCCCTCAGGATACTGGAGTCCATGTGCATCATTGGTTTGGAATCTGGTTAAAGCGCCGGACATTCGGTTTTCGTCCTCTCATTTTTGTAAACAACACCCTCGCCACGAGAAGGCAATGAGTAGGATTTTCCTAGCATAAGCTATATACGCGTGGCCAAATGAGAGCATTTCGATAAGGAGTGCGAACTGTCCCCATTCTTGGCCGTACCAGGGCATTTTCGAGCAGATATATAATTGGTGTAAACATAATATAATTGATAATGAAATATTACACTTACGTCATTAAACAGTTTTAGTTCATAAAAATATTGAAGTTTGTACGTAATCAATAATTTTTCTTTGTATCTATCTATTAAATCAATAATTTCAGTATGGATTTTCTGAGAACTACAAAAAAAGAAGTCAATCAATAACTGACAAAGATCCTGTTTTAACAAAATGAACACCCTAATTAGATCAATAGTACGGCAAAAAAATCGGCGACACTATAATTTATGAACGAGGCAATCAGAAGCATTTGAAGGATTTCAAGATCACAGTGCCTATTTCAGTACTTGATACTCATGTACAATTGGTTCAAAGTGAATTTTAGAGAAAACGTCATAATTGAGCGGTTACGAAAAATTCCTTTACTTGTGATTGTAATAATCAAGTGACTTGTGGACCTTGTACAAACTACTGTGATAATGTTGTTTTTCGATGTAATATGTAGTAGAGGAAGAAGTCTGCTACAATAGGATCTTTTTCGCTCGATACAGATTGAGACTAAGGCAAATCATGACAGTTGTTGTGAGCTGCATAATAAAAGCATATGCAACACTAGCTGCAGCCGGGTACTATAATATTGATGAATGATTGGAGTTTGTACAAGTGTCTAAATAAACTTGGTTATGTGCATCGTGTCGTTATCCACAAGTAGCATTTTATGGACCCAACAATCAGAATGCACACAAACGATATTGAATCTATGTGCTCGAGACTGAAAGAGTTTTATCATAGCTCCAGAAGCCGACTATTATGAAGCCATATGAATGATTTTCTCTACCGCATGCATTACGATTTTAGACCCTCTGAACCGCTTGCTAACCTTGACCAGTTTTTGAACCATGTAAAATAAGTGTATCGATTTTGCATAATATATTGTTTTACTCTATACTAACTGTCCCCTGATTGACTGATACTTCTCAAGATCATATGAGATTCGTCCAAAAGCAGTCATTCATATAGTTTCGGTGTATTTATTTAAGACATTGAATTGTAGTCAACACAGTTAGTACATGAACTAATTATCATCTTTTTTTTAAAGTGTTGAAGTACACAACTCTTGAATTTCTCAAAAAGAAACTGAGTTTGTCTTATTTCACTATAACCGTTATGACTTATACGTTAGTGCTAAAAAAACGTACTAAAAGAAGACTCACAACGCTGACGAGTGTTGGGGAATGGTTAGAAGAAAGTTAGACGCGGACAAACCAAGATGTGACGTTACTCTATAAAGTCATTATTTTCTGTTCTGAGCCATGTTAGTAGGTGTAGACAACTTGGTTGGTATCCACGTGACTATCGTCACCAATGGTTGGAGACTCTAAGTGATATGGTTCCCAAACTGATCATAATGGTGTAAGTGTATACACTCCTGTAAGATACAGATTATGATCTCAATCAAAAACTGAATCATCTCCACAACCACCAATACTGTTAGTTAAATTCATTAAATTCACTTTACTCCTTATTTCTGAATGTTTCAATCATAACTATTTGGTGATTATATAATCGGAGAAAACGACCATTGTAGCAGCAGCCTCAGCAGCAGTAGCTCTCAATATATACAAAGGGAAAAACAAGGTTCCCCGATACAACACAGCATGCACCAACCCAATCACAATTGACGGAGAAGATTTGGAAGATGTAAAAACCTTTACATATTTGGGCAGCATCATTGATGAACAGGGTGGATCTGATGCAGATGTGAAGGCACGGATCGGCAAAGCAAGAGCAACATATTTACAACTGAGGAACATCTGGAACTCAAAGCAACTGTCAATCAACACCAAGGTCAGGATTTTCAATACAAATGTCAAGACATTTCTACTGTATGGTGCAGAAACCTGGAGAACTACGAAAGTCATCATCCAGAAAATACAGGTGTTTATTAACAATTGTCTACGTAAAATACTTTGGATCCGTTGACCAGACAATATCAGAAACAACCCACTACTGCGGGAGAGAACAAATCAGATTCTAGCGGAGGAAGAAATCAGGAAGAAGTGCTGGAAGTGGATAGGACACACATTGAGGAAAGCACCAAACTGCGTCATCATAAGACAAGCCCTCACATGGAATCCTCAAGGCCAAAGGAAAAGAGGAAGACCAAAGAACACAGTACGCCGAGAAATGGAAATAGACATGAGAAAATGGAACAAGAATTGGATGGAACTAGAAAAGAAGGCCCAGGACAGAGTGGGTTGGAGAATGTTGGTCGGCGGCCTATGCTCCATTAGGAGTAACAGGCGAAAGTATGTAAGTAAGTAAGTAAGTAAGTAAGTAAGTAAGTAAGTAAGTAAGTAAGTAAGTAAGTAAGTAAGTAAGTAAGTAAGTAAGTAAGTAAGTAAGTAAGTAAGTAAGTAAGTAAGTAAGTAAGTAAGTAAGTAAGTAAGTAAGTAAGTAAGTAAGTAAGCAAGTAAGTAAGTAAGTAAGTAAGTAAGTAAGTAAGTAAGTAAGTAAGTAAGTAAGTAAGTAAGTAAGTAAGTAAGTAAGTAAGTAAGTAAGTAAGTAAGTAAGTAAGTAAGTAAGTAAGTAAGTAAGTAAGTAAGTAAGTAAGTAAGTAAGTAAGTAAGTAAGTAAGTAAGTAAGTAAGTAAGTAAGTAAGTAAGTAAGTAGGTAAGTAAGTAAGTAAGTAAGTAAGTAAGTAAGTAAGTAAGTAAGTAAGTAAGTAAGTAAGTAAGTAAGTAAGTAAGTAAGTAAGTAAGTAAGTAAGTAAGTAAGTAAGTAAGTAGGTAAGTAAGTAAGTAAGTAAGTAAGTAAGTAAGTAAGTAAGTAAGTAGGTAAGTAAGTAAGTAAGTAAGTAAGTAAGTAAGTAAGTAAGTAAGTAAGTAAGTAAGTAAGTAAGTAAGTAAGTAAGTAAGTAAGTAAGTAAGTAAGTAAGTAAGTAAGTAAGTAAGTAAGTAAGTAAGTAAGTAAGTAAGTAAGTAAAGTAAGTAATAGAAACTATTTAAAGTAGTTAGATCACTTGAATACTTACCCAATAGTTAGGTCATTTTCATTAGTTAAATAATCTATGGAACATTTAGACCATAAACAAAGTATGATAGAAACATTTACAATAGGATTATTATCATCATTATCTATAGTTGTTGTATTGGATAGAATGGTATTCTCTTTAAGAAATGAGCCAAGATGATAGAAGATGAATTTCTTTTGATTAGATTGAAATAATAATTCTAATGGTTTATCATTGAATAGTCTTTGAATAATATCAATTATATGGATCTAAAAAATGTAATGAGAAAGATAGAAATACGATAATACAATATGTACTATTACTGTAGTGAAGAAGAACACCAGGGGTGGGACAATCGAATGTACTTACTCACTTGTCTTAAAATGACTCAGACTTCATTGTTTTTGCATTTTCATACAAATCGCATCCTGTTTCCATTCTTCGCGGTTCGATCCTCTTGTCTCTTTGCTGCCAGACCTGTTCACGACTAACATCATATACTACTTATGTCAATATAAGTAGCACACACCACACTACTACTACTACTACTACTACCACTACTACTACTACTGTGACCACTACTATTACTATCACTACCTGTATTATTTTATCAGATAAACACTAGCTAGTTCACCCAAACTTACTTACTTACGCCTTTTACTCCTCGTGAAGGAACATAGGCCGCTCACCAGCATTCTCCATCCAACCCTGTCCTGGGCAATCCTTTCTAGCTCCTTCCAGTTGTTATTCATCCTTTTCATATATGCTTCTATTTCCCGACGTAATGTGTTCTTTGGCCTTCCTCTTTTCCGCTCACATTCACGATTCCAAGTTAGGGCTTGCCTTGTGATGCAGTTTGACGATTTGCGTAAGGTATGTCCTATCTATTTCCATCGTCTTTTCTAATTTCCACGTCAGATGGAACCTGGTTTGTTCTCTCCCACAAAAGGCTGTTGCTGATGGTATCCGGTCAATGGATGTTGAGTATCTTGCGTAGACAACTAATTATAAATGCTTGCACCTTCTTGATGGTGGTTGTTGTAGTTCTCCAAGTTTCAGCTCCGTGAAGTAGAAATGTGTTGACGTTGGTATTGAAGATTGTGACTTTGATGTTGGTTGAAAGTTGTTTTGAGTTCCATATGTTCTTCAATTGTAGGAATACGGTCCTTGCTTTGCCAATCCTCGCCTTTACGTCTGCATCTGAACCTCCTTGTTCATTGATGATATAAGAATATGTAAGAACAATCTATGGGTGAACTTGAAGAAGTTCTAAGAAGATTTGAAAATGTTGAAGATATTCCATTCAATCATTTTTTTGGAAGAATATTCCAGAATCCTTACATAAAGCTTCCCTATTGAATAAATGCTCATAACAAACTGTATACAGATTGGAGAATTATAATGAGTATTCCATTTTTACTAAAAACTATAAATACTTGACAGTTTTGTACTATAATTGACACTGTTTGGAATAATATTCGTTTCACTTGTCTTATATTTTATCATTTGAGACTTATGAGTGTTCTAGAGTTCGAGTTCTGAAGTTATACGCAGTACATTAAGAATCTAAGCTCTAGATATAACAGAAATCAAGTAAATCTTTATGAGCTGATCAACCTAAGGATAATAAAATGTTTACAAAAGATTGAGTTTTAAATGGATTCCTGAAATTCTAGTGAATAGTTAAGACAGAGTATAGGATGTTGTTAAACAGAAAATTAACCATGTTTAGTATTAAAGTATTGTCATACTACACTATGAGATACTTAGAGGTACACTTTAGTGGTCCCATAGTCTCTCTCTCCAATTTGATCCTATAGTCTAAAACGGACTGGTGTATCCATTGAGCTGGCTTCGGCGAGTTTGTTCGTTGAAAGTATGGAATGCGGAAGTTTGTGTTAGGTTCTTCGTCGTCGACGATCTCATCACCTTTGTGGTTCTACACTTGACTCCAATTAGATCAAACGAATGATTGCTATCTGAATATACATATCGTCAATTCTCTTACATAATCATTGATTTAAATCGCATTAGTAAATAACAGAATTAAATAGGTTGAATACGAGAATGAAGTTTTAACTCCATGTATATTTCATACAATCGTTGATTAGAAAATGAAGCATGACAACATGATACTTAATTGAAGAAGGTGAATAAGTCAACTCAATTTCATCTATCTATAGTCAAGCCAAAGTAAATGAATAAATTGCAGACACGTAATGAATAAGGTAAGCAATGAACAGTCAAGATTGATAAACGAATAAGGTCAATATATGATTCAAGAAGAATCAATAAATTGACTTATTCGAACGTTATAATAAACTATATGAACATAATACATAGCAACTAATGTTTATTTGTTATTTCTCTTCATTATTCTCTTTATGAAAATTTGCCTAGTAACTATTTAAATTGTATTACTAAAGTTAAATAAAACAGAATGGGTTTTGTGGAGAGTTTTAGAAATTTCACAGGTTGAAATCATGAGTCAGTTGAAGCTAGATCACCATTGAAAACCTGGAAGCACTGGACGGCCGTTTCGTCCTGGTATGGGACTCCTCAGCAGTGCGCATCCACGATCCCGCACAACGCGGGGCTCGAACCCAGGACCTACTGGCTTCGCGCGCGAGCACCTAACCACTAGACCACTGGTGTACGGTGGCGCAACTTCGTGGATTGGTTGAAGTTAGACGTTAAATAAAACACTAATCAATTTATTGATCTACTTGATCAATATTGTTTTCTTTTTCCTGTTTTTTTTTCGAAATACATAGTCGCATTTCCGTTTTGGTTGCTTGGTATTGACAAAATTACTTTTCATAATCAATATTCATAAGAGAATCATTGAACAAAGTGTAAAATTTGAATATAAATATCATCAGAAAGGGTTTTGTGGAGATTGTAGTAATTTCAACAGTTGAGATCATGAGTCAATTGAAGCGAGGTGGGGTCGTGGATGTGCACTGATGAGAAGTCCCATAATAGGACGAAACGGCTGTCCAATGCTTCCAGGTTTTCCATGGTGGTCTAGCTTCAATTGACTCATGATCTCAACTGTTGAAATTATAAATAACCTATTGTAATTGATAGTTTCTAAGCCATTCGAAACCATGAACTTACATGGGACTGAATTAATCATCCTGAGATATATTTTGCAACAATGTGAATGACTTTTTCTGTCTCTCTTATTGTACGAATATTCCAGATATTTAAATTAATGGTTGCTCTGCTTGTCAGAAGGAATATCAGTCATGTGACTTCCGAAGGAAATCGGCTTTCATTATGAGGCATCATAACTGTTCTAAATGAAGACCTTCTAACTCACAGGGTAGAATTGAAATGGTTCTAATTAATTTTTCTGGGTAATGTTTTTTTGTTGTTGGTGAGTTAGTTTTCTACGAGATGGAGTCGTTAACCCCATGTCCTACCCTCCTTCTTTATCCAGGCTTGAGACAGGCAGTAGCTTCAAGGGGGACTATCTGTTCCTTATATTGAAATAGTTTTCCAGTGTTGCTATGTTGTTCTCTCTTGTTTTATAATTAATATTACAGTTTATTCTTAATATCAATTTATACATTCTATTTGTTATAATCAGTATTAGTATAGGTTTACAGAAACCGTGGAGTTTTAGGTGTACATCAGATGTTAATATTGATTAAACAACTATTGAAAACCAAGAGTTAGGGTAAAGCTATTTCATCAGAGTATAGGACCAGTTGGCAGTGTATATCCACGACTATACCATGAATTTAACTCATGATATTCAGACATCTTAAGGAGATATATTAAACTTCAAAAAATTATGTTCGAAACCTGCATTCACGTTCATAACTTCAGTTCATTGAACTTATCATGTAAATCGATCACTGATATTATTCAATCAATATCCACTTGGTAAGTATTCACTAATGACAAACATGGATAGTTAATACTGAAAGTAATTCTCCTTGATCTAAAAATAATAAAGGATTACTAAATTGTCATTAAATCATTCAATAGATTTGATGTCACTTCGAAAGGTTTCAACAAACATGATATGCATGGAAATTTCAGTCATGATAATGATGATGAATCTATAATTAGGAAGATCCTACCGACCTTACTTACTCCCAATGGAGTATAGGCCGTCTAACAGCATTTTTTAACATACTCTGTTCTCGGCCTTCCTTTCTAGTTTTATCCATTTCTTCTTCAATCTTCTCATGTCCGTCTCTATTTCTCGGTGTAATGTGTTCATCGGTCTTCCTCTTCTCCTTCTTAGACCTTGAGGATTCTTTTTGAAGGTTTGCCTTGTAATGACGCCGTTGGTTACTTTCCTCAATATGTGTTCTATCCACTTCCAGCAATTCTTCCTGATTATCTCCTCCACTGGAATCTGATTTGTTCTCTCCCATAGTAGTAGGTTGTTTCTGATAGTGTCTGGGTAAACGGATCCGAAGTGTTTTACGTAGCCAATTGTTAATGAACACTTCTATCCTCTGGATGATGGCTTTCGTAGTTCTCCAGGTTTCCGCTCCATGCAGTAGAACAGTCTTGAAATTTTTATTGAAAATTATGACCTTGGTTTTGGTTGTGAAGATTCAACTTATTATGATGTAAGATTACTACATGGTAACATGTCAGCCGCTACACTCGGTAATTTCACTTACATGCAGTTGGTGACATACCTTCCTGTAGAACTTTATTAAGAAATTCTCATATCTAGAGAAGACGAATTTAATTATGAGCAGAACCAGAATATATTCTATGAAACTCTCATTGATGAAGCATATAAATGGAGTATACTATATACATTTGAGATGGTGGAGAAGTTTTGTAGCTCAGGTGGATAATTTTGATGGAGTTTTGTTCTCTGAGCTGGATGGTTTAGTCTTGGAGCTCTCAGTGTTCTTCTGAACGACATCATCAGCATAGACTTCGGATAGAAGTAAAGTTTGTGCTGATGATATCGTTCAGAAGAACGATGAAAGTTCCACGACCAAACCATCCAGCTCAGAGAACTATAAACATTTGTTAAACAATATAAATGAAATAAAAAAATGGATGAATATAATAATATGAATGTTTGTTAAACGTACTAACCTGTTCAATTTCTTGTATGGTTGAATCATTGAATAAATGTGAATTATTTTCGAGTAGAGGTTTTTCAACCTAAGCACAATTAAAATAAGTGACATTAAAATGTAAGCTTATATTGTTCACCTACTCATGAGTAGTCTAAATAGTTTAAGTATTATTATCAGAGAGGGATTTTGTGAATATTATAGTAATTTAATAGTTGAATTCATGAGTCAATTGAAGCTAGACCACTATGGAAATCCTGGAAGCACTGAACGGCCATTTCATCCTGTTGTGGGACTCCTCAGCAGTGCGCATACACGATCCCTCTTCGCCAGATTCAAACCCAAGACATATCGATCTCGCGCGCGAACGCTTAACCATTAGACAACTGAGCCGGCCGGCCGGCATCTAACGGTGTTCATGTCTAACTTCAACTAATCCACGAAATTCAGCGACACACCCAAGATTGTTTTCGGTCAGTTACCATCTCAAAACAGACACAGCTGCACTCCACTGATCACTGCTTCTCACTAGAACTCCAGGATATACCTCGTGAAGCCAGTCACTAGTGAGCATATATTGATTAATATCAAATGGGTTTTGTGGATATTATAGTAATTTCAATGGTTAAGATCATGAGTGCTAGCATGGTGGTCTGGCTTCAACTGACTCATGATCTTAACCATTGAAATTACTATAATATTCACAAAACCTATTTGATATTATAATGAAGCTCAAACATTTCGGGATTTTACCACTGATCACTAATTAGATATGCTGATTTTCAAATTACCCTTAGATTTCTTCAATCTTTCCTTTAGTCTCTTTGGTTTATTTTAAAACTAAATTGAACCTTTGAGTCTCAAACTATAACTAATGTCTTTGAATTGCCTGGTGATAAAAATGATCCACTTCCGTTTATATTTCTGCTTTTGCTGGGATCAATTATATTAGCTGTACTTATGAAGGTTATCCAGTCAGTAATCGTTTGAATTATAAGGTGAATAAATATGTCTCATGTAATAACCTTTACTTCATATATTCGAACGGTTTGTTGATTTACCGGTCACTACTCATGATTATCAGTTCTTAACTAATTCATGTTATAATATAATACGTGATTATGCATTTCATATAATCATTCATTATATGATTGTTATTTCTGTTATCCCTGAATTGGGAACATTTATTTCGTCTATTCTTTCTTCTCTACTGTATGGAGCTGAAACATGGAGAACTAATACAACCGCCATCAAGAAAGTAGAAGTATTTATAAATAGTTGTCTACGCAAAATACTGAATGTCCGTTGGTCGGATACCATTAGCAACAACTTACTATGGGAGAAAACAAACCAGCTTCGACTGAAGAAGAAATGAGGAAAAAATGTTCGAAGTGGATATGACCATACATTGTGGAAACAATCAAACTGCACCATGAGGCAATTCCTAACTTGGAATGAGTGATAGTCTTCAATCGAGTTCCTTCAACAATGGTTTAGGGCAGTTAGATCTGTTTGAGTTCATCAATGAGTCGATTGTAGAGGCCTCCAAGTCAGACGATGTTTTTCCTTGTGTTTAAAGTTGATGTTTGCCAGAATTAGACAATTAACTGAGCATAATTTCAACAGATGACTGCCACTATCTGTTCGCTGGGCCGCAACACCGTAAGATCCACCTAAATGGTTTATTGTACCTACTCGAGCATTAAAATCACCTATCACTATTACTACATTAGAGCTTTTGGCTTTTTGTAAGTGGTAGGATAGCTTACCGTAAAATTCACCATTAACTTGGTCAGAGCTGCAACCAGTAGTAGCGTAGACAGAGACAAAAAAGGCCACGGCTTGTATCGCCATGTTTTCGGGCTGTTACTGTCCCGTCTAGTTGAACAGTGCACAAGTGGCTGTCTGTTGGAGAGCCTGTTCCGCTCTAGGACTTAATGTTATACCTACACCAGCGAGGCCACAGAAAGTAGAAGTGGGGTCTCTAGATATTCGAATTTTAAATCGTGCCGGTTCTTTATATTGACAAGACGAGCTCAAATGAATGACTGTATTTGGATTCTATAAGCGCCCTTCAGTGACGCAGCATACATTGATAGTGATAAATTCTAAAGTCCTAGCTAAATAAGCTAAATAAAACATGAGAAAAATGAACAAAAATTGAATAGAAGTGGAAAGGAAGGTCGAGGATAGAGTGTGTTAGAGATTGCTGGTCGGTGGCCTATGATCAATTGAAAGTAACAGGCGTAAGTAAGGGAGAAAATTATTAAGAGGTAAGGGAGAGATTTAACTGTCAACAAAATGATGGCAGCATAAGATGGTTGCACAGTGTCATTTTTTTATTATACATTTATATATAACTCTGTCCTATGAATCAGTGAACCAATTAAAGTTGCAGATTAGGTTTGGAGGTTGATTATAGTTAATTGTATTAGAATTCAGTAACCATTAAACATATGTAGAGTCATTTTAATAGTTGAGATCAAGAGTCAGTTGAAGCTAGACTACAATAAAAAACCTGGTAACACTGGATGACCGTTTCGTCCTACAATGAGACTCCTCAACCCTGCTCATCCTGCTATAATATCCACAAAAACTCCCTTTGTAATACATGTAGAATCATTGAAATAACAGAAAATGATTAAGGTATGCAGTTATAAGTAAAGATTTATTATAGAATAAGATTAGAAATTAATAATGAAATGGTAGAAAGCCATCATGATTCAAAAGAATTAAAATCATGAGGATATAAAACTATATTAAGTAGTATATATATATATATATAATTGTTGCATTCATGAGTCAAATAAATCTAGACCACTATGAGAAACCTGGAAACACTAGACGACCGTCTCATTTTAGTATGGGAATCCTCACCAGTGCGCATCCGAGAACCCGCTCCACGGGATTCGAACCCAGGACATATGGATCTCAAGCGTGAACGCTTAACCTCTAGACCACTGAGCTGGAATCCAGTGGTTTTATTGTCTAACTTCAACCAATCCACGCAGTCGCATCGTCGTTCACCATTGTCTTTACTGAGATACTATGTCACAACAGACCTAGTTGAACTCCACTGGTCACGGCTTCTCATTGCTGAGGAATCCCATACTAGGACTAAATGGCTGTCCATTGTTTCCAAGTTTTCTATAATTGACTCATGAATTCAACCATAAAATTTCTAATACTTTTATTGTATTCTTTCATTTTCATTAGAACTAATTTTTAAATCATAAGTTTTCTGTAACTTATAACATTGAATGGTAGTTTCCCAGGATAAGTTTCTTAGTTTTGTTGGCGAAACTGTACTTCAGAACTTTTGAGAAGCTTAAATAACTTTGTCATTTCTAAATTTTTTAATTGATCAATGAGTAAAGAGGGTCGAACACCCGGATGATAGGCTACCTGTTCTTACCATCAAGATATTTCAATAAGCTATCTGTTTTCTTGTTTATTTCAACAGATCATTACGTCAATTAATTGGCAATAACCTATTCAGGTGGGTTTGTGAATAGTTTACAATGTTTCGCTCACAAAATTTCCTAATCGGAGATATTATGATGGCTGGCAATATGCATCGAAAAGAATGAACATGATTCAGATGTCGATCCTTGAACTGCTACTATCTAACTGATGATCACTCAATACGTTATCGTCAGGATCGACGAAGAAGAAAGAAGTGGAGACCTGTTGAGGTTTAAATGTTAGAATTTAACTATAGATGATGATTGTACATAAATTCTGGGAGATGAAACCAACTGTTTTTGTGTAAGACAATAAAAGCTCATTCATCTTAGATTAGATAAGTATACATATGAGTAGTTTAACATACTATAAATACTTCGATAAACAAATTCATACAGTTTTCACAATGTTTATGTTCAAACTTGTCAACTTTCGATTGTTTCGATGTAGCCATTACGACATAAGTTTATATTAAAATAGATGGAATGTGACTGGAAATGAAATTCAGGACAAGTATTTCATCCTATTTTGAAGATATCAACTGAATATACTTGCATCCTGGAATTGATACTCGCTCTGGAACTAGGACTCAGTACTGTTTGTTTCCAACACTATCGTGTTATTCATTTAACTACTGAGTTGAAAGTGACACTCACTCAACATGATCGATAGCATTCGATCTGCACTAATAAGGACTAGACAAGCATGACATTGATCATCACCCAGTGATCAATCAATTGTGATTACATCTCAGTCCTACAGGAGGTTATTCACGACTCGGATAGTTCAGTGGTAACGTCTCTGACTGTGAAGCTGGGTGACACAAGATTGAATCCGCCAGGGAGCACCAGTTCCCTCAAGATTACAAGTACACCTTGCTGACGAGTGCCAAGTAGCACGAAACCCGGGTCCAGGGTTTCCTGTTGACTACATCCAACTACCATCTAATATCGACACTCACTTGTATAACAGTGATAAGATCTAATTCTATTTAAATTACTTTGTCTATTTAAACATGATAGTTAAGTGAATAACCCGATGACATTGAAAGTAAACAATACCAGATTCGAGTTCAGGAGTAAACATCAATACATATATACAATATAAATGCTCCCACCACCATCTAATCTCCATATATAGTGCACGCAGTGTCGAGTCACCTAGACTAATGGCCACATTGCAGCATGGTTGATAGCATTCGATCTGCACTAAATAAGGATTTGACACACATTACATTGAACCCCACCCAGTGATCAATCAATTGTGAGAAATAAAGAGTATTCAATAATGAAATCATTGATTTCTAGTTACTATAGAAGAATAGAATAGATTACATCATCAATTAATATAAAACTATTATTATTATTATTATTTTTATCAAATAAGGTTACCCCTTTCCTTAATTCTAATAGAATGTTAAATGATCATCTATTTTTTCTTTTTTTTCTAAAGGGTATATATACATATATATATATGCCCCCCTATGATAATTATTTATTCCATTTCTTTGTCACAATACAAAAAAAAACAAAAATAAAAACAAAATGGATGTTTTTTCTCTTTTTTCTTTTTTTTCTTTTTTCTCTTTTTTCTCTTTTTCGTTTTTCTTTCTTTTCATTTTAGCTTGAAATCTACTTTTATTTTGTTCATATAACAATTAGAATTGATAAATGAAACTTACCCTTAAGGTAAAACATTCACCCAGGGCAATAATAATAATAACAGTGCTTAGAAGAACTTTAATTTTTTTTTCTTTTTTCTTTTAATCTCTTACGTAAGAGTGTATCAAATACAAAATTATTATTATTACTATTATTATTACTGTTAGTTTATGTTTGTTCCGATATTCATTAAACGTGACTTTTACTTTACATAGAGATGATTTTCATAGTTGAGATTATCAGTTAATCAAAGCCAAATCACCATGGAAGACCTGGAAGCACTGGATGGTCGTTTCGTTCTAGTATGGTTCTGTTGTGACATATTCAGTTATTGAAGCCAATGCTGGATGTGTCATTCAGTTTTATGGATTAGTTGAAGTTAGACGTTAATACCGTTCGATGCCGGCCGGCCGGCTCAGTGGTCTAGAGGTTAGGCGTTCGTGCGCGAGACCAATATGTCCTGGGTTAGAATCTCGAGAGGCGGAATCATGGATGCGTACTACTGAGGAGTTTCAAACTAGAACGAAATGGCCGTACAGTGTTTCCAAGTCTTCCATAATGGTCTAGTTTCAATTGATTCATGATCCCAATTATTAAAATTACCATAATATCCACAAAGCTCCCCTTCAGAAATTATGGATTGTTTATGTAACATTAATTTCCATCTGAAATGATGTAACTTATTTTTTTCTTATTATCTCGCGGCCCGATTGAACATCTGGGCTACATGTTCCTCCGATCTACAGATCTCATGGTTCCTGGTAATATGAAGCAAAAACAATGTACATTATTTAGATATTGATTGACTGAACTACTAACATTTAACTGGCGGTCACTTAATACTTTATCATCACGATCGACTAACAAGTAACAAACGGAAACTTGTCGAAATTTATTGGTGTTGAGAATTCTATATTGTACTAAAAGTATAATATTGAATAAAGCAAATAATAATACCAGGGTCCGCTTTGAGATAGTAACGCATTGAAGACAAGGCTGTACATCTGGCTCAATTTTATGAATTAGTTGAAGTCAGACATTAATACCGTTGGATGTCGGCCGGCCGGCCGGCTCAGTGGTCTAGAGGTTAAGCTCTCACACACGATACTGATAAGTCCTGGATTTGAATCTCTCGAGGCGGGATCATGGATGCGTACTACTGAGGAGTTCCACACTAGGACGAAATGACCGTTCAGTGCTTCCAGGTTCTCCATAGTGATCTAGCTTCAATTCACTCATGATTTCAACTATTAAATAATAAAATATTTATTTATAAATATTACCATTGATAACTTACATCTATTTTCAATTGACCTGTAAATAACTCATCTGATGAAGCCTGTATATCATGAAAATATACAATAAAAAAAATGGTAAGTAAATGCATGAAGCTTGCTATAAAGTTTTAATGGTTATATCAAAGAACTACAACGGAATTCATTCATGATTTGAAAGTGCGAAAAAAGAAACGTTTGATCTTATTTGGGATCGTGATCATGATCATCATTAGATGTGAATGTTCTAAGGTGATTGTTATTCATTAAGGAGACCTGTTGAAGATCTGTTTAGATCCATAATGAATGTTGTCTACACTATATATATATATATAATTAAAGGATACTCGGTGAGATTATAATTTATGGACGAACTAATTAGATTTAGGATAACAGATCTTGGATTTTAATGCGAAATTCACTCAGCCATATGGTCAACTAATGTCTTGGCTTTTTAGTTAATGTCAGTCAGTTTATGATGAAAAACTGTAAATCTAATTCCAAACTTTAACCATTAACTGTGAATTATAAACCATATTCTTCAAACCGATTTACAACCCTCATTTAGTCTTATTAATTAAGTAACACATTACGTCGGGAAATAGAAGCAGATATGAAAAAGATGAATAACAACTGGAAGGAGCTGGAAACGATTGCCCAGGACACGGTTGGATGGAGAATGCTGGTGAATGGCCTATGCTCCTTCACGAGGAGTAACAGGCGTAAGTAAGTAAGTAAGTAAGTAAACACTTTCAAAGTCAATTTGGCTTTGCTGAAAAGTCGTTCATAAAATATCGTCTCATCGGATTATCTACACTTTTGACGAAAACCATAATGTATATACATGAAAGATTTTTCTACATCAATCGTTATTTATTCATTTAGTTGGATAAACTTGACTGGATGGACAAATGATAGGCATATCAAATCGAATTGAAGACATTGAGTGATGTATAAATGATAAGTCTTCGAATTGGACGTTAGATTTCCTTTCCCAAGCTCTTCTAATAACACCAAGGCTAAATCTAAACAGCAACTTGAATATGAGAGAAAAGATGAAGAAATATATGTAAGAAAACGCTTTACTCCAAACGTTCGTTTATGTACAGAAAATCTAGGGTTTTCATAGTATTCGAGATGGTCTTCGGTTTCCGGAAAGTTCTGGAACGCTACTAAACATAGTAGCAGTATAGATAACCATCCAATCAAAGACGTGACATATGACTTTTCACTTTCTAGATGCTCCTGGCAAAACGCCTATTGAATGCTGATTAGATAAGATGTTTTTCATTGTGTACAGACCCATTTTCTGCCTTTTTTCAATGGGAAGATTCAAGTAAACAATGGCAAGTGAATTTAAACTTCATCCAGTTGCACAAGCAAGTAGCTATCAGGACTCAGTAGCTAAGTGGATAACGCGATGGCGTTTGAATTGAACGGTACTAGGTTCGAGTCCCAGAGCGAAAATCAACTCCGAGATGCAGGTACATCCAGCTGGTGAGTCCCAAATAAGACGAAACGCGCGTCAAACTGGATTTCACCGCTAGCCACTATCCATCATTGTTTACGAAAAGCTTGTAACTAAAGGCAATATCGAGGTAATCCTCACTGGATGCACATATGCCAATAAGAGACTGATCGATCACAGTCCTGATCATCATTGGGAAGATTCATATAAACAATACCAAGTGAATTATTTTCTAACTAATAAGATCAGTATACACATATCTTTATTATGATTAAAAGATGATACTACTTACTATACATAATAACTGATTCGATTCATCTGTACTGAATATTAACACACAATTTGTATAATTCGTTTTCTCAATTATCTATGAACAAAAAGACAAAACGAAGATAATCGTTAGTAAATGAACTAAGAATAAAGTAAACAATTGAAGAGTTAAGTTTAATGAAAAACAATAAACAGTTTGGTGAATTGGTTAGGGTTGTTTTTAGTGAGTTCGTTTTCAACAGGATGTAGTCGCTAACTCCGTAGAGATGTGATGGGGCAGATTGGAAAAAAGCGAGAGTAGCATATCTACAGTTGCAGAACATGTGGAACTCAATACAACTGTCTGTTAACCAACATCAAAGTCAGAATTTTCAATACAAATGTCAAGATTGTTGTATTGTATGGAGAAGAAACCTGGAGAACTACGAAAGCCATCATCCACAAGATACAAGTGTTTATTAACAGTTATCTACACAAAATACTTCGGATCCATTGACCAGACAATATCAGCAACAACCTACTACTATGGGAGAGAACAAATCAGATCCTAATGAAGGAGGAAATCAGGAAGAAGTGCTGGAAATGGATAGGATACACAATAAGAAAAGCACCCAACTACGCTATCATAAGACACGCATTCACATGGAATCCTCAAGGCTAAAGAAGGAAAAGAGGAAGTGCAAAGAACACATTACATCGAGAAATGGAGACAGACATGAGAAGAATGAAGAAGAATTGGATAAAAGTGGAAAGGATGACCGAGGACAGAGTGTGTTGGAGAACGCTGGTTGTCAGCCGATGCTCCTCGACGAGAGGTAACAGGAGTAAGTAAGCAAGTAAGCAAGTTTAGTAAACTCATGAAATAGTCTGTAGTTAATGTTAATATTGTTTCTATATTTCATACAAAAAAAGAACGGATCTTTGTGAAATTTTCTCTGTTGACACTTTCTCTTATGAAATAGATGAACACTTGTAAACTAATGATAGAATGATATGATAAAGATCTTAATTATTAATTTCATATGATTAGGATCGGCAAAGCAAGGGCCGCTTTCCTACAATTGAAGAACATATGGAACTCAAAACAACTTTCAACCAATATCAAAGTAAGAATCTTCAATACGAACGTCAAGGCAGTTCTACTGTATGGAGCTGAAACTTGGAGAACTACAACAACCACAATCAAGAATGTACAAGTATTTATAAATAACTGTCTACGCAAGATACTCAACATCCATTGGCCGGATACCATGAGCAACAGCCAACTGTGGGAGAGAACAAACCAACTTCCAGCTGAAGAAGAAATTAGGAAAAGACGATGGAAATGGATAGGACATACATTACGCAAATCGTCAAACTGCATCACGAGGCAAGGCCTAACTTGGAATCCTGAAGGGAAGCGAAAAAGAGGAAGGCCAAAGAACACATTACGTCGGGAAATGGAAGCAGATATGAAAAGGATGAATAACAAATGGAAAGAGCTAGAAAGGATTGCCCAGGACAGGGTTGGATGGAGAATGCTGGTGAGCGGCCTATGCTCCTTCACGAGGAGTAACAGGCGTAAGTAAGTAAGTATGACTAGAAGTATATTAATAGCGTTAATACATAACTATTGTTACAGTTACGTTTTTTTGTTGTTGTTGAAACTATTTAAGTGACGTAAAAAAAGTTACTATGACAATACAACAATGTATTCCCTTCATAAATCAATGATATATAGACCAGATATTCTGAATAGTTATCAATGAAATTCATTTCTTTTTATTATAAATACTTCGAATCTGTTAGAAACTGTACTAAATACGTATAAGCAGAGATGGATAGTGGCTAACTGTGGAATGCAAAACACGCTTTTCGTTCTATTTGGGACTCATCAGCCAGATGTATCTGCAGCCCTTAAATGATGTCCATTCCGGGACTCGAATGTAGTACCGTTCGCTTCAAACAGCATCGCATTATCCATATAGCTATTGACACCTGATAGCCATTTTCTTGTGCAATGGAATGAACTTTCAACACATATTTGTATTGATTGTTTGAGTCTTCCAATTGATGTTTAGGACTGTAATTCATCAGTCTCATATTGGCATATATGTATCCTGCCTCGATATTGCATGTTCACTGGGACTTCCTGCGCTCAGACTGGGATAACATTTTTTCATGTAACCACTTACTTTGATCTGGCCACTCGAGTAGTATCACAGCTCAAAAACACAAATCAAGTAACTTCTGTGGCGCATATATATTCGATGCCCCTTTGTACTAATATTTATGTGTTCAAATCAATAATAAGTATATATTTATATTCTTCTTTTGTATAATAGTTTATCATTAATTGACCTTATTTATTAATCTACATTATTAATTATGTTATTGTTCTATTAAGGTTAATAACATGAGTTTTGTGTTTCTGTGTTTGTGTTTCTGTGTGTGTGTGTGTATGGGGGGGGGTGTCTTTATTTCACAGGGAAGAAACAACAAACAATTAACCTAAAGATAAATAACTTCTCTTTTCCTTCATGTTTACATACATTCCATTAGGAATAAATTAACTAAAGTGTAGATAAACATTCATTTAATCTAAACATATTCAGGAATTAAACTATTCGATATACATATGGTCTATAGGGATGTCATATTACAATAACAGTAATAGTAGTAATAATAATAGGAGTAGTAATAATAATAACCGTGATAAATGGGTTTCTTTTTTTTCTCTCTTCTTTATGTTTAATATATTTAGACTAATAATAAAATAGATTATGACCGTTCTGATGAAGTTTTGTTCTCTAAGGACGAAACTTTATCAAAATCATCCATTTGAGACACAAATCTTCTTCTTCTTCGCTTTCTTTTTCATGATTATTATTTCAGGTTATTATTATTATTATTATGATTATTTAATGGAATTAAAATAAATTAAGAAAATCTCTTTGAATCATCTTATTCAATTGGAATGAATGTTTATTCAATGATTGAACGGATTAAAATTGTATATCAATTCTATTCAAAGTTCAAGAAGAATTTCAAAAGATTCTATAATCATATATGAACTATATATATGTATATATTTAATCAATAAATTTGAGAGTTTCTACATGAGTAATTTTAATCTATAATAAGGGAGTTGAAAACAATGGTCTTAAGTTATCACTTCCCGGTTGCCCACACCGTGGAAGGGTTCTTCTGGAGGTACCTGAAAAGGAAATCGGATTAGAGGTGGTCTTGGTGACCTAAGAGTGTGACCGCAATACCCAAGGGACAATTTCTTGTAGTCGGTCACACACGACCATTTTATGAGTAAGTTTTGTATTAGCTCCGTACTTGTTGAGACCTTACCACCGGAGACGGATATCCGTGGGATAAGGCGAGGTGTGTATTTTTCGGGTCGACCCTTTCTAACCCCACCCCTCCTTGTGGGAAGGCAGCATCGCTGTCATGCTGCTTGTCTGAAGGAAACACCTTACTGCTGTCACACCTCTGTACAGTCAGCAGTACGACTTCGCCTTCGGACCTTGAGTTTGCTGCTTTTAGTCTTACCGCTCTTCAACCGACCTGTCTGACATGGTAGGACATTGAGGAACGGTTGTTCCAGCCAGGATAGCTCGGTTGGGTCATCACGATAGGCAAGCCGGACCACCACGTCAAAGTAGCAACAACGGTCGGGGTATGCTATGGCAACTTAGACCAATGCATATATGTGCCTGGTCCTACGTTGTAGCTGACTCACTAACTGAATCTATAATAAAGATTGAATTATAAATTTGGTTTTAAAAAAATGTAAAATGATTGAACTATTAGATTGTGAGGATGGTCCATGGGTGAACTCGAAGAAGCTGTAGAAAGCTCAGAAGGAGCTGAAGATATTCTATTCAATCACCTTTTGAAAGAATATTCTAGAATCTCTACGTGTAGCTTCCCGATTGGACAATTCTAATAACCCCCTGTGTGTGGATTGTTAGCTATAATGATGATTTCGCTTTTGATTAAGACTATAAATACCTGACAGTTTTGTACTTTAATTGACACTGTCTGGAATAACATTCCTTTCACTTGTCTTCTGTCTTCTCATTTGCGACTTGGAAGGGTTTTAGCTTTCAAGTGCTCAAGTTATACACAGCATATCAAGAATATAAGCTCTAGATATAACATATACATTGGATGATATTGAGTTTACTATGAAATTCAAAGATGATGGGTTGATAAGGCTATGTCCTGGAAGTTGTCGACAACAAACTATTGATCTAACTCGAGAGTTTGTGCCCCTGTCAATGTATAGGGTAGTGATATCGCCAACTAGAGAACAGTGAATTATCAACCGAACCAATGACGCATAAACTTGTACGAGCAGTCTAGAATACCTATCAGTCCTTCTCCCTGCCTAGTCCTACCTGTTAGAGTCCAGAACACCCATCTCAGCGTCTGCGATATGAATCATGTATTTCAAACATACTAGGCTTATATACCAACCAAACAAACCACGTCGTACCATAAAATATGAAACAACACTTGTACAAGATTTAGCCAAATGTGGCTGTGAATGAGGGAGATAGTGGTTAATAGACACAGCATAATTCAAGAAGTTGTTGATATTCTGGACTTAGTATGATTTGTCCCTTTTACTTTACAATATCAAAGTCACAACCTTCAATACGAACGTCAAGATCGGTTAATTCTACTGTACGGAGAACAAACCAGCATCTAACTGAAGAGGAAATTAGAAAAAAAAATGTTGGAAGCGCGTTGTTTGTTCACATTTAATTTGGTTAAGCCCTTTTGTTAACTTATTTAACAGGTAGAGTCATTCGTACGATAACAACGTATCTATATCATTGTACCTTTATTATTGTTGCACTTGTACGAATATGTATGCTTGAACATTGTGCTTATTGACTATGCATATATTCATTCTGCTAGCCTTAGTGTTAGTCGATTAATTGATTCGATGATTCATTCATTTCACTATGTATATATATGTTCATTTTAATCCTGTTCGCTGGACTCGCTCATTCGACTCTCACGTTCACTCGCTCGCTTGCTCTTCGGTATTAGCCTTTGATTCTTGTTTGGCGTGTCTGTAGTTTTGGTGATCTGTGCGTCGTGCAATAATAAACGTGATCAACACTTCGTACTTGTCTTCTGATGTATACACCGTTAGGACGTTGTTATCTAATGACGGTTATCAAGAAGAACTATCTACGAAGTTTAAGAATTGCATCGAATACCGACCACTTCAAATTTACAATACGAAAACTTGTTATTTATTTAAAATGTAAGTTATAGATGTCCGGTTCAGTTTTGTAAATCTACTATCTTCTTGATAAGACATAGAGATAGTGTAAAAATAATTAAATGTGTGGCGAGACTAAAATTTATGGACCAACCAATAAGGTATAAGATAACGAGTCTTTGATTTTGGCGCCAAAATTCATCCACCCATTTGGATTGAGTTTTAAATATACAGATTTAAAATATTATATAACAGTATGGTTTTCTGGAGTTCTACTGAAAACCCATGATCAATGGAGTCCGATTCGTATCGAGTAGAGACACGTATCTACCTCAAACAATGAATGAATGGTTACGCATCTATTTATGGATCGATAAAAGTTAGACATTAACGCTGTTGGATTCCAGCTCTGTGGTCTAGATGTTAAGCATCTGTATGCAAGACCTAAGATCTTGGGTTCGAATCCCAAGTGTGAGATCTTGGATGTATATTGTTGATGAGTCTCGTACTAGGATGAAACGGCCATTCAGTTTTTCCAGGTTTTTAATGGTGATCTAACCTAAGTGGACTCACGAATTAACTATTGATTATAAGAACGATCCGTAAAACATGATCTTATTCTATAATCAATAGAAGAGGTTATAATAAGAATAGATTAATAAAGAATATTAATAATTAACATTATAAGTTCATATATTATAAAATGAATAACTGATCCATTAATAGGTTATAATAACAGTTATTAATATTTAATAAGTGAGAAATAGGTATCAAATGTTTTCTTATTAATGAGTTCACCCTACACCCCACCCCCACCCCCCACCCCCCTACCTAAGTTTATGTGTTCTTTATTGTCAAATATTTATATTGAATTATTAGTGAAGTGAATAGTATTGTAATGAACTAGTAACTAAGCATGAAACATAATTAATTGAGTTCATCTTATATAATGAAATAAGATAAGATGTGTATCTATGACATTTTCAATTTCATAACGAAATATTAACACATTACCACTTAGTGATCAATCAATTGTGAATACATCTCAGTCCCACAGGAGGTCAGTCGTAGATCGGATAACCCAGTGGTAACATCTTTGATTGTGAGTCTGGGTAACACGAGATGGAATCCGTCAAGATTATAGGTACACCTTGAGTGTTAAATAGCACAAAACTCGGGTACAAGATTTCCTGTTAACTACTTCTAACCACCATCTTACATCAAGACATTTTTATTGTACAAACTTGAAAAACGTCTTTATACTACCCTGAAATAAAGCGTTTAATATAAATATTATTGATTAAATATATCAAGTCGAATATTTGAATAATACAAATCTTACCTGATGTAATAGATCCTTAGATAACGTAACTAAATTGGGATAGTTGAGTTCTGGAATTTACAAAGGAAAATTAAATAAAACACTTATCTTGTTTAAAAGTACTTATTATCTTTATCTGAACACATAAATATTGGTACAAAGGGGCATCGAATACACTTGTGTTTGCGCTGTGATACTACTCGAGTGGCCATACTGAAGCAAGTGATTTTCTTAGGGGGCTACACTCTGAGGCTTTGACCTAAAGGTCTGATCCATTAGGCAATGGAGCGACGTTAGTAGATGCAGTCACATGTTAGTCAATAACTAGCAATGGGTTTATACGCTATTTGTTCCTTCGGGATCCTGGAGCCCATGTTTACCATTGGTTTAGAGTAAGGATTTTCCCACTTCCTCAGGTGAACTCTCCATGTCCACTAACCCAGTTAAAGCGCAGGAAATTCACTTTTCGTCTTCTCAATTTCGTAAACAAAGCCGTTGCTGCGAGAAGGCAATGAGTAGGACTTACTTGGCAGTGTCTGTATACTTATGGCCATGTGAGAGTTTTTCGAGAGGGAGAGAGAGAGAGAGCTGACTCTCCACATTCTCGATCGTACCAGGGCATTTAGGGGCTAACTAGTTATTAGTAATCCATAAAAGATTTTTTCACTTTAATGAGATCATTGTTAGACTTTCAAAATACTAATTATGATAATTAAGAAGAATGAAAGCGAAACAAACGATTCAGTCAGATGAAAGACTTTGGTGTTTTCTCATTTGAAACGAATTGACTCCAATCCTGAGTGAATATTTCCACCTACAATGAATCTTGGGAATATATCGGCTAATATATAGTAAATAAATTCTCATGATAAAGATTCTGATTACATAAGTGTTCATATATTCACCAAATGAATGCATATAATATATAAATCTCTGTTCAATTAGCTTATACACTAACAAAGACAGATCAGATTATTCGTGAACACTATCAACAGAAAAATTCACAATATCACAATAGAATGATCAAATGTTGGTAAAATGGAGCTAATCCATGTTAAATTAAGACAGATATCTACTTCAGCACAATAGAAGATGGTCACACAATTTCGTGGATTAATTGAATTGAGTCATGAACATCAGTGAATACCAGCTCATTGGTCTAGATATTAAGCGTTTGCATACATAACCTTACGTCATGGGTTCGAATCCTACATGCAGGATCATTAGTAATGTTATAACTTGTGACCTGAGTGCCCTGCTAATGTATAGCGTAAAGGTACCGCGAATTAGAGAGCAGTGTATTATCGATCGGAACAATGACGCGTAAAGCCCATACGAGCAGTCTAGAGTACCTATCGGTCCTACTTCCTGCCTAGCTCAGCCAGTTAAGTCCACAACACCAATCTCAGTCTCTGCGATATGAATCATTTATTTCAAACATACTCGGTTTATATGCCACCAATCAGACAGACCACACCTTACCATAAAATAGGAAACAACATTTATACAACATTTGGCCAAATGTGGCTGTGAATGAGGAAGGTAGTGGTTAATAGACATGGCATAATTCAAGAATGGTAAATCGTTTAATAATAGTTCATATTGTCAAAATAAAGCTTAGAATAAGAGGAATATGAATATCAATAGTTTAGTTATTTAACAATTATACGATAGAAATATATGCATAGTATTGGTCCATATGTGGATCCCAACAGTTACCATTCATTATGCTTATCGGAACATATCAAGTACTCACTACTGAGGAGTTCCATACTGGTACTACTAGTTCTTCCAGGTTTCTAATAATGATCTAACATCCATCTAACCAATTCACTTCGGACGATTCAAAGAAATGCTATACATATTCATGCTTTCATTTCATCATAACGAATACTTAAAGCCGAATGTATCACAACTACCAATCATCAAATGTAACTACTTCAATGAATTGATTTTATTAAAACACAAGTTAAGATTTAGATGGTGGTTGGAGGTAGTCAACTGGAAACCCTGGACCCGGGTTTCGTGCTACTTGGCACTCGTCAGCAAGGTGTCCTTGTAATCTTAAGGGAACTGGTGCTCCCAGCTTCACAGTCAGAGACGTTACCACTGAGCTATCCGAGCGGCGACTGACCTCGAATGCTATCGATCATTCGATCTGCACTAATAAGGACTAGACAAGCATGACATTGATCACCACCCAGTGATCAATCAATTGTAAACACAAGTTAAACTTTTAAAATAATTTTTCAACTTTCAATTATTCTAATGAACAAACAAAAAATTTATGGACTATCTATTAAGAAAGAAAGAAAGAAGGAATGTAAATTTTAGGGAAGATCAAATTACACGCCATCTTTTTAAAATCATGCTACATATATCAAACAATACCGTTTACAATCTCTCTCCCTCTCTCTCTTTTCCCCATAGTTACATACGTACATACACACATGGCAACATATACAATCATACACAAAATATGCATTTTATTTTAATGTTACCAGCTTTGTGTGTGTGTGTGTGTGTGTGAGTGTGACGACAAAATGAATAAACTCGATCACAATGGGGTTTTGTGGATATTCAAATAATTTTTAATAGTCGAATTCATGAATCGATTAAAGCTAGACTACTATGGAAAACTTGGAAACATTGGATGGCTGTTTCGTCTTAGTATGGGACTCTTCAGTGGTGCACATGTACGATTCCACCCCATGGGACTCAAACCCAGAACCTTAGGTCTCGCAGGCGAACGCTCAAACTCCCATTCATATTTACTATCTACCTAAAATGATTTGTTCTCATAACATGTATTAAAAGTTCTGTTCTTAGATATTACAGAAATTTCATAAGGTTAAGCGTTCGCGCGCGTGACTGATAGGTCCTGTGTTCGAATCTCGCGGGGCATGATCGTGGGCGCGCTGCTGAGGAGTCCAGTGCTTTTAGGTTTTCAATGATGGTCTAACATCAATCGGTTCAAGATCTCAATCATAAACAATTGTAATAAATTCATTTCACCTACAATAGAATCTTTGTTTTATCTATGTACAGGTTATTTTGATCCTAGTTATTGGACGAAACCTCTGGACCTAGACTTCATATTAGTTGATACTACTCACCAAAATTTAAGATACTGATACTGAGTTCAATCATTGTCCAAATAACTCAATTATAGTAGTTCTAACTGCGAAACTGAATGAATTATGTTAGAATCTGACAGTAAGAATAAGCTCTCTTAAGATTACAGGTTTGCTTTGTTGATGATTGTTAACCAGTACGAAACCTTCATCGATAAAAGTTTGATACTCGATTGCATTCAGTCACTTAATAAGATCATTTATTTATTTTCAATTATGACTCTTAGTAATTATATGCTTACAATCTACTTTATATGACTGGATTTTCAAAGTATAAATGCTCATCAATCCTAAGCACTGTTTTTAATGTCGTATGTCAAACGTATGTACTGTCGGTTGCTATGTTGAACCCACATAACTTATTCTAGCTTCCAGATAAGGTAATTTATTCATTCTTGAGTTACATTTTGACCTTGTTAATTATTCGCTTATCAACCTTGATTGTTTTTATATGATCGTATATGTGCTAGTCGCTTACCCTATTCAATACGTGTCTGATATTAATTTTTTGAGGTAAGATGGTGGTTGAAGGTAGACAACAGGAAACGCAGGACCTACGTTCCGTGCTATTTGGTACTTGTCAGCAATGTGTACCTGTAATATTGAGGGAACTGATGCTTCTTGAAAGATTCGATCCCGTGTCACCTAGCTTCACAGTAAAAGATGTTACCACTGGGCTATCCGGGTTGCGACTGTCCTCCTATAGGACTGAGACGTAATTACGATTGGTTGATCACTGGGTGGTGATCAACGTCATGCGTATCAAGTCCTTCTTAGTGCGGATCAAATGCTATCGACCAAGTGAAGCTGGGTAATACGGGATCGAATCTATCAAGGAGTCCCAGTTCCCTCAAGTTTAAGGCTACACTTTGCTAACGAGTGCCAAATAACACGAAACCGGAGTTGATGACCTCCAACCACCATCTTATCTAAACAAAGTGCACACAATGTCGATTCACCTAGACTAGTGATCACATTGCAACTTGGTCGATACGAGAATTGGCCACATGTATATTTCAATAACAACTGAAATCAAATCTTCGGGTCACTAAACATTGTCTCATATTATGATTTTCTAACTAGTCCAAAACATCTTTCCAAAGTCTTCTAAAATAAAATTCATAAAATTTATATTCTTTAATAATTTATGACTCTTCATAACTTTGATAATGAAAAAAGAATGAAGTTTTAAAACAGAATAATCAATGAGTTTTGATTATGCAAATCGTTTTGTTTTAATCAACATCACCACCACCACCAACACGACTCCAACCATCACCAACACCGCCACAACCGACAACAAACAAAAGAGGCGTTTAAACGTTACATTATTTTTCCTAAATTTTGTTGTCAACTTATCATTTGTATCTATGGTATTCCCACATGGTTTACAATGGTTTTTTTATTAGTACAAAATAAACAATATTCAAATATTAAATTTTACATTTAATAATAACAATAATTTGGATGAAGTTCTGTTCTCTGAGCTGGATGGTTTGACCGTGGAGCTTTGATCGTTCTTCTGAACGATATCATCAGCACAAACTTTACTTCTATCTGAAGTCTATTCTGATGATGTCGTTCAGAAGAACGATTAAAGCTCCACGACAAAACCATCCAGCTCAGAGAACAGAACTCTATCTAAATCATCCACCTGAGCTACAAATCATCTCCACCATCTCAATAACAATAATTACCTGAGTCAGTTAAAAGGTATTTAATAAAACAAAAAAAATTCAATATAATTGAGTTACTAATGTTATTGTTCATTTATTTAGTTTTATGTCATTTTATTGATTATAAATAAAGATAGGTAATGAGTAATAGTGGAATCCAGGACATGCGTTTCATCCTATTTGATACTCGTCAACCGGATGTATCTATGTCTCAGAATTGATATTCACTTCGGGACTCGAACCCAGTATCGTTCACTTCAACATGGTATCACATTATCCATTTAGCTACTGAAATAACTACTAAAACGTTTCTTTTTTTTAAATATTTATACCACTCATTTAGTTTTGCTAAATTGAACACCATTACTTTAATGATCATCTAAATACAAACATTTTCATTCAGTAATGATATTCATTTTCTCTACAGTAAGAAAGAAGATATTTTCACAATTAAGGTTTAGAGTTAAATCAAAACGATTTCTGAAGTGATATTACTTACTTAATTACGCCTGTTACTCCTAATGGAGCATAGGCCGCCGATCAGCATTCTACAACTCACTCTGTCCTCGGCCTTCTTTTCTAGTTCCATCCAATTCTTGTTCATTTTTCCTATACCTGTCTCCATTTCCTGGCGTAATGTGTTCTTCGCACTTCCTCTTTTCCTTTGACCTTGAGGATTCCATGTGAGTGCTCGTCTAGTGACGCAGTTCGTTGCTTTTTTCAATATGTGTGTTATCCACCTCCAGCGCTTCGTCCTGGTTTCTTCCTCCACTGGAATCTGTTTCGTTCTCTCCTACGTTAGATTGTTACTGATAGTGTCTGGTCAACGAATTCGAAGTATTTCACGTAGACAACTGTTAATAAACACTTGTATCTTCTGAATAATGGCTTTCATAGTTCTCCAGGTTTCCGCCCATACAGTAGAATTGTCTTGACATTTGTATTGAAAATTCTGATCTTGGTGCTGGTTGACAGATAGTTGCAGTGAGTTCCAAATGTTATTCAGTTGTAAATATACTGCTCTCGCTTTATTGATCCGCGCTTTCACATCTGCACCAGATCCACCTTGTTCATCAATGATGCTGCCCAAATATGTAAAGGTTTTTACATCTTCCAAATCTTCTCCGTCAATTGTGATTGGATTGATGCATGCAGTTTTGCATCAGAGACTCTTGCTTTTCCTTTTGTGTATATTGAGACCTACTGCTGCTGAGTTTGCTGCTACACTGGTCGTCTTCTCCTGTATTTGTTGTTGCGTTTGCGATAGGACGGCTAGATCATCTGCAAAATCTAGATCGTCCAGCTGCATTCAAACTGTCCACTATATTCCATGCTTGCCCTCAGATGTTGATGTCTTGATGATCCAGTCGATCAACAGGAGAAAGAGAAAGGGTGAGAGTAAGGAACCTTGCCTGACACCGGTCTTTACCTCGAACGATTGTGTGACCTGTCCTCCATGCACGATTTTGCAGTGTAATCCATCATAGGAATTCTGTATGATATTGACTATCTTCTCATGTATGCCGTAGTATCGAAGAAGTTTTCATAATGTTGTTCTGTCCACGCTATCAAATGCTTTTTTGTAGTCAATGAAGTTGGTGTAGAGTGATGAATCTGAATTGATATTTATAGTAGAATATTCGTTTATAGTAATGAATATAACGGTGGGACTATAGTTCATGGAAGACCCTCAAGCGATGTCCAAAATGACCTTGAGAATGTCCATCTAATAACTAGTATCAAATGAGGGTTATAAACCATGGTGAGGAAATATAAATAAAATTTACTGTTGGTGGTTAAGGGCTTATGTTAGGGATGCAGAGGAATATATCAATATTTATCATGTTAAGTCTAATGGTGGCCTTGGACTTTAAATGTACACTCCCTATTGGTCAGTATTTATTTCACTTTTTAAATGTACAAATGTTGTTTTCTATTTTATGGTACGATGTGGTTTGTTTGGTTGGTATATAAACAGAGTATGTCTGAAATACAATGATTCATATCTCAGAGTCTAAGACTTGCGTTCTGGACTCAACTAGCTGGGCTAGACAGGGAAGCGGGACCAATCGAGACTCTAGGCCGTCCGTACGTGTTTTCCGTGTCACTAAAGTCATTGATAAAACGCTTCACTCTAATCTGCAGTCCACAAGTCACAACAGTTTATGAATTAGATTTAGAGTTTTTCATCATGAACTGACATCAACTAAAATGCCAAAAACGCTCTTTAAACAAAGGGCTGAATGAATTTGGCGCCAAGAGCCAACACCTTTTATCTTATATCTGATTGGTCCATCCATAAATTATGGTTTCGCAAATATAACCTTTTTCATTGTGAAGATCATGGAATGGCCTTAATTAGACAATCATTGAAAACTAGTAAGCACTAGAAATTTATATTGCCCTTATATCTGGCTACACATCAAGAATCAATCGGGTGACCTTTAAGATTCAACATTCTCTATAAAAACACTTCTGACTAAAAATCTCTATTGTTTCGAATCACCTCTTTTTATGACCAGAATGAAGTTTGTGGAGATTGAATTCATGAGTCGATCTAAGCTACACCATCAATGAAAACTGAAGTTTAAATTCACTTGGCGTTGTTTGAAGCGAACGGTACCCAAATACCCAAGTAGTAAATCTGTGAGTCACCATTCAATGGTACATAATTCTAATTTTAGTTAATACATCATATTAGGATGAAACTGTTGTCTAGATCGCCTTTGTTCTTAGTGCAATTGCTAGCTTATGTTAATCTATAACAAATATCATCTATAAATGATATAGATTTTTGAAGAAACACTTTGATTCAGATTTGTCACTTCTTTTAGGATTAATTTAGTTACAATTGAATTCAAGAGTCAAGTTAAGCTGGACGATCTTTTCATCCTAGTATGAGACTCCTGAATATTGCTCATCCACGATCCCATTCTAGTAATCATCATGTATTCACTAGTGACTAGCTTCAAGATGGATTGCTTGGAGTTCTAGTGAGAAGCCGTGATCAATGGAGTCTAATCCGTGTGGAGTGTGAGACAGTTATCCATCTCAGACAATGGATGAAAGATTTTACAAGATCACGGATCTACTGCAGTTAGACATTAATACCATTGAATTTCGACTCAGTGATCTAGAGGTTAGGCGTTATCATACAAGATCCTGGGATCGAATCCCACTTGTAGGATCTTGGATCCTCACTGTTGAGGAATCTCATAATATGACAAAACAGCTATCCAAGATTTCCGAGTTTTCTATGGTGATCTAGCTTAGATTGATCCACAAATTCCCATGCTAAATCAATTAATTAATTAAAATAAGCAAACATGATCTGCTAATAAATTACTATGTAAAATCAATTTTCTCAAAGTCTAATAACCTATCCAATATGCTCCTTGTTAATTAATCAACAGTGATGTTATGTTAATAGTAACAATGATGATGATGATGATGATAACAAAACTGTATTCTCTTATGAATTATCATCTTTTACTACTTATATTCACGATTATGTCCACAGCAGCAGCAATAACAACAACAACAACAACAACACAGACATTAATGAAAGAACAATGTTCTTGTTAAACCCGGTTTTTTTCTTTTTAGCTTTTAACAAAGAAGATTCCTGTAAAATATCTAATTACATCGGATGTAAAGTAAACAGGAAGTGGAAGAAGAACAAGGAGAAGAAGAAAAAGAAGAAGAGGAAGAGGAAGGAGAAGAAGGAAAAGAAGAAGAAGAGGAAGCAGAAGAAGAGGAAGGAGAAGAAAAAGAAGAAGAAAGGATGATGATGATGATGATGATGATGATGATGATGATGATGATGATGATGATGATGATGATGATGATGATGATGATGATGATGATGATGATGATGATGATGATGATGATGATGATGATGATGATGATGATGATGATGATGATGATGATGATGATGATGATGATGATGATGATGATGATGATGATGATGATGATGATGATGATGATGATGATGATGATGATGATGATGATGATGATGATGATGATGATGATGATGATGATGATGATGATGATGATGATGATGATGATGATGATGATGATGATGATGATGATGATGATGATGATGATGATGATGATGATGATGATGATGATGATGATGATGATGATGATGATGATGATGATGATGATGATGATGATGATGATGATGATGATGATGATGATGATGATGATGATGATGATGATGATGATGATGATGATGATGATGATGATGATGATGATGATGAAGTGGATCTCATTAAGAAGTGGTTATGTTAATAAGAAAAGGAGAAAACCAGCAATGTATACACGAGTGAATATGAATATAAAAGAATAGTATGAATAGAAAACAAACAAACAATAACACCATTGATGTTTAGTTATAAACATGTTATTCATGTAGATCATATATACATCCTGTATGGATTAATTCGATATTGACTGAAGTTACATGCATTATAAGCAAAGATGGATAGTGGCTAACAGTGGAATCTACGACGCGCGTTACATCATATTTGAGACTCGTCAACTGGATGTACCTAAATCTCACAGTTGATGTTCACCTTAGGACTCGAACCCACTACCGTTTGACTCAAGCAATATCAAGTGAATTGAAAACTTCATCCCATTGTACAATCAAGTGGTTATCAAGACTCAGTAGCTAAGCGGATGAAGCAATGACATTTTAAGCAAATGTTATTGGGTTAGAGTCTCGAAGTAAACATTAACTCTGTGATGCAGTTACATCTAGTTGATGAGACCTAAATAAGACGAAATGCACGTCCTGGATTCCACTATTAGAGACTATTAATCTTAGTTTCTAATTGTTACACTTAATCAATTGTCTCAAACTTCATTGTTCATTCATTTTCACACTAATCATTTAATTTTCATCGAACTTCTTAACCATCTGTTGTTAGATATTTCACTTTCGATTGATGATACATACTACTTATATTTGTTGACATCAGTAGTATACACCAAAGTTATACCATAGGATGTTTATTTTGTAACATGATTACATATATATTTTAGAGACAATAAGAAGAAGTTGAACATGAAAATATGAACAATGAAAATTCCAGCTGAAGAGGGAATTAGGAAAAGACGATGGAAATGGATAGGACATACATTACGCAAATCGTCAAACTGCATCACGAAGCAAGCCCTAACTTGGAATCCTGAAGGGAAGCGAAAAAGAGGAAGACCAAAGAACACATTGCGTCGGATAATAGAAGCAGATATGAAAACGATGAATTACAACTGGACGGAGCTAGAAAGAACTGCCCAGGACAGGGTTGGATGGAGAATGCTGGTGAGCGGCCTATGCTCCTTCACGAGGAGTAACAGGCGTAAGTAAGTAAGTATTAATCAGTTTGTCATTTTGGCCTGGTATTGTTATAATGAACGAGAACATAAATGGGGATAATCGAATGTTATTGAACACATCGATTACGTAACATCTTATTAAAATCTGAGAATGATACAATACAAATGTTAATCAATCATGTCAGACTTCATCAGATTCCCCCAGCGCCCCCCCCCCACTCCACAAAAAAACATTTTCCCTTTTTATTGATAAAAACAATACTGAACATTTTCTTAAGCTACCAGAAATCATAAATAACTACAAATAACCTTAAGGAAAGATATACATTGAAAAGAATAAGACTGATATTGTGGTGAGTGCTACTTATATTGATATAAGTAGTATATGACGCCAGTCAGGAATGTAATGTCTGGCGGCAGAAGATGGAGAAGATCAAGAAAGGAAGAACAGGAATAGAAAGCAATTAGTATGGAAATGCAAGAACAATGAAGTTCAAGACAATTATTGAACATTTTGCAAATTAAGTATTATAGTATGTTTTTTCTATTTTACCAAGTAAGTAGTATGAATCACCAGTCAAGAGTGAAATACCTGGTGGTAGAAAGTTAAGAAGATCGAACGAAAGAGAAAGAATACAGAAATTGATTGATGTAGAAACGCAGAAACAATGAAGTCTAAGACGATTGATTGACATTTTGCAAATGAAGTATTTACTGTATGATTCTCAAATTTTACCGAGTTGTTATGTCATTTTGTAGTGGAATACATTCGATTGTCTCCAAGTGTGTTCTCGTTCATTATGAATACTTACTATGTATAACAAGTAAATGAAAAAAATAATGTTTATTGAGGATTGAATTATTTGAATAGAAATTCCCTACGGAAATCCTAGAACTAATAAAAAGATCTAATCATGGGAAGTTTGTAATGATGTAAACAAGGATTCTATTGAATATGTATAGTCAGGAAGGGGTTTTGTGTATATTATAGTAATTTAATAGTTGAACTCATGAGTCAATTAAAGCTAGACCACCGTTGTAAACCTGGAAACACTGGACGACTGTTTCGTTCTAGTAAAGGACTCCTCAATAATGCGCATCTACGAGCTCAGTCGCGGGATTCGAACCCAGAACCTTCGGTCTCGCGCGCGAACACTTAACCTCCAGTTTACCGAACCAGCATCCGACGGTGTTAATGTTTAATTTCAACCAATCCACGAAATTGCAGTACTGTCTATAATTATCTTTAATAATTTACTCTCTCACAACAGACCCGGTTGAACTCCACTGATTACGTCTTCTCACTAGAACTCCAGGAAATACCTTTTGCATGAGCACTGCTGAGAAGTCTCATATTAGGACGAAATGGCCGTCCAGTGGTTCTAGATTTTCCATGGTGGTCTAGCTTTAATTGAATCATGAATTCAACTATTAAAATGAATATGTATTAGTTTTTTAAGGAGAAATTCGTGAGATGTTTTTTTGATTCACCGTAATAGCAGCATCTATACTATAACTATAACATATCACTTGAACTATCTGTTTTAACTTGTGAACCTGTGTGCCCTGTTTATTGTATAACGCAACGATACCGCCAATCAGAGAGCAATGAACTATCGATCGAACCAGTGATGCATAAAACACGTGCGAGCAGCCTAGAGTACCTATCGGTCCTGCTTCCTGTCTAGTCCCTCCTGTTAAGTCCAGAACACCAATCTCAGTCTCTGCATTATGAACGATGTATTTCAAACATACTAGGTTTATATACCGACCAGATAGACCACATCATACCAATAAAATAGGAAATAATAGTTGTACAACAATTAGCCAAAAGTGACTGTGAATGTGGGAGACTGTAATTAATAGACTGGGCATAATTCAAGAATGGTAAATCGTATAATAATGGTTAATAGGTCAAAATAAAGCTCATAATGAGCAGAAAACGAATATGAACAGTTTAGTTAGATAACAATTATACGATAAAAATACACTCATAATCTTGATCCATAAATGGATCCCAACAGTTACCATTCATTATTCATATAGGGATATAACACTATCAGTGATAATCAATAAACCAACTAAAGTTTCAAGACTTTCGCACATGAGGTTTACATGATGTATACTAAAAAAGGCATTTTTACTTGTATGAATGACATGTATAATGGATTGTATAAAAAATATTCATTGGATGGGACTATAATTTATGGACGACTTTTGAACGACGTTAGACTGACCTTCAGAGTGTTCACCTGAAGCCTAGAACTAAATAAGGATTATAAATCTGTGTGAAGACTTTGAATTATGAGTTACAGTCGATAGTTAAGGTCAGGTATTAGATTTAGGGTTTTCATCACGAACTGACTTCAGCTATAATGCCAAAACTCTATTTACCCAAATGGATGAGTGAACTTCGCGCCAAAATCCTAGATATGTTATCTTATACCTGATTGGTTTGTCCATATATTATAGTCTCGCTGTTCATTTTAATGGAACGAATGTTTTACAGTTAGAAATGAGGTAATTAATGGTAATCTATGGTACTTACGCTATTCCATGAACTAATCGAAGTTTAAAATGTAAACTATTGAATTCGAACTCGGTTGTTTAAATGTAGCGTAACTGTCAAACAACTTAAAAGTTTTGTGTTTTTTTTTAAAAAAAAGAAAGTCTCACATGGTTATGGTTATGAGTAGTGATTACTGATCCTACCGGAAGGACCTAGATGCTTTTTATTTTGAATGATTTTCAAGTTGAAGTCAATCCATAATAAAAATTATTACAATTACCAGTAAAGGGTTGTGGAGATTATTAAGTTTTTTGATTAAAATCATGAACCAGTTGATGTAAGACCACGGCTGAAAAACTGGAAACATTTGACGATCGTTTCGTCCTATTGTGGGACTCCTCCAGGAAAGAGATCTAGAATGCGCACTTCTGAGCAGTCCTACAATATTACAAGGATCTTAAAACCAACATTTGTTGGGATAGAAAGTATAATTTATGGTGTATGCTATTTATATATGTCGATATAAGTAGTATGTAACATCAATTGGAAATGAAAAGGATTGCTTGGGACATGGTTAAATAAAGAGTGTTGGTGGGCGGCCTATGCTTCTCCATGAGGAGTAACAGACGTATATATATTCTATCTTTATACTTACCTTCTAAAGGAATGGAATAATTATTTTGTAAGTTATATTGAAGTTCCATTGATGATTTCATCACATACTTCTTGATTACTTCATTGAGTGTCTTTAACTAAAATCAAAATCAAGAATAAATTAAGGTAATAACATTCGGTAGCATCTTTTATGGATTACATCACATTATAATTGACCTTTGTTTCAATGTTTTTAGATTAATCTCAGTGGACAAATATTAAAAGTTCTAAATGGTAATCAACAAGTGTATCGTTCAAGTTTGAAACGTCTCAGAATTGATTGATAAGTACCTCCCTGAGGAATATGATCGCAGAATTTCAAGATTTCCCAGACTTTTATTGACTTCTTAATTACAAATTGAACAAATATTTCTAAACTACTTATTTATGTTGGCACTTCTATCCCGTACACGAACAAATGCAGATGAAGACAACTAGTGTAACAGCAGCCTCTAGATCATTAGGCCTCAGTATACATAAAGAAAAAATCAAGATCCGCAAATACAACACGGAGAACACCAACCCAATCACAGTTGGCAGTGAAATTCTGGAAGATATGGAATATTTTACGTACTCAAGAATCATCATGAATGAACAAGGCAAAACAAGGATCACATTCGTACAGTTGAAGGAGATATGGAACCAAAAACAACTATCAACCAACATAAAACCCACAACCTTCAATACCAACGTCAAGACGGAGCTGAAACTTGCATAACAACTACTACAACCATCATCAAGAAGGTGCAAGTATTTATAAATAGTTGTCTACGCAAGATACTCAACATCCATTGGCCGGATACCATCAGCAACAGCCTTCTGTGGGAGAGGACAGATCAGCTTCCAGCTGAAGAGGAAATTAGGAAAAGACGTTGGAATTTGACAAAGTACACATTATGAAAATCATCAAACTGCATCACGAGGCAAGCTCTAACTTGGAATCCTGAAGGGAAACACGAAAATTAAATACATCATCATTGATCATAACTTCACTGTTATCGATGTATAGTAAAACACAGTAAAAGATGTTTCAGTAAATGATCTATGTGTCTGAAAGCTGTATAACCGATAATGTGAGAGGTTGAATTTTCTTCTAGCCAGAGTTTTGACATATATTTAGGTATCTGATTTTGAATATTTGTAGTGTTGGTTACTATGTTAAGCCCACATAACTTATTCTAGCTTCTCGGCAAACCAATTTATCAATTCTTCTCAAGCTACATCTTGACCTTGTTAATTGATCTCTTATCAGCCTTCACTGTTTTTATATAAGTGTATGTATGTCACAAATGATTGATCACTGAGTGGTGATCAATATCATGTTTATCGAGTCCTTCTTAGTATAGGTCAAATGCTCTCGACTAAGTTGCAATTGTGGCCAATAGTCTAGGTGACTCGACATTGCGTGCACTAGGTTGGGAGCACTAGTTCCGTCACGATTACAGGTACACCTTACTGATGAGTGCCAAGTAGTACGAATCACGGGGTCAGGGTTTCCTGCTGACTACCTCCAACCACCAGTGTATGTATGTGCACATCTTATCGTACTCATCACATATCTGTAGCTTATTTCTATCTGACTATAAATACTGATTAGGGCTTGATTAAATCGAGTTGGCTCATAAGCCATCTCCACCGCACGTCATTTCAACTGACTCTTTTTTCACTTCGCTTTGTATCTTCGAAAGTTTGTCTGGATCAACGATTGTATGAAATACACGTATTCGTAATTCATTCTTGTATTTGACTTATTGAATTTCATTATACACTAACGCGATTTAAGTCGATGATTATATACAAGGGTTGGTGACAAGTATATTTCAATAACAATCATTTATCCAATCTAATTGGAGTCAGATATAGGGCCACTAAAATCCATTTCAGTAGCCATATGTTTGGTCTTCACAAGTTACAAATATCCAATATAATATCCAGTACTTACATTAAGGTTAAGCAATCACTTGTGAGCAAATGTTTCAAGTTACTATATTTGCTAAGTGATCATCTACTAGTTTAATCATTAATACCTTTTATATCTCTGTCAAACAACACCAAATTCAGAATTTTTAATACAAATGACAAGACAGTTCTACTGTATGGAGAGGAAACCTGGAGAACTACGGAAGCCATCATTCAGAAGATACAAGTGTTTATTAACAACTGTCTACGCAAAATACTTCGGATTCGTTTACCTAGACACTATCAGCAACAACCTTTGGTAGGAGAGAACAAACCAGATCACAGCGGAGGAAGAAATCAGGAAGAAGCGCTGGAGGTGGATAACACACATATTGAAGAAAGCACCCAACTACGTCACTAGACGAGCCCTCACATGGAATCCTCAAGGCCAAAGGAGGAGAGAAAAACCCAAGAACACATTACTCCGGGAAGTGGAGATAGACATGAGAAGAATGAACAAAAATTAGATAAAACCATAAAGGAAGGCTCAGGACAGAGTGGGTTGTAGAATGCTGATCGGTGGCCTATGATCGATTGGGAGTAACAGGCGTTAGTAAATAAGTAAATCTTATATCTGGCTAACGATATTTCTATTCTCTTGACTATATTGAGCCTGAAATATTATATATATAGGCAAGACTATAATTTATGGACAGACCAATCAGATTTACGATAACAGGTCTTGAATTTCGGCACCAATTTAATTCACACATTTGGTTAAATGGAGTTTTAGCAGTATAGCTGATATCAGTTCATGATGATAACCTTAAATCTAAATCTTTATCCTAACTATCAACTGTAAATATTAATGGTAATTCTTCGCCTTGGTTTCTAATCATCATTTAGCCGTAGTATGTATACGGACATTCTCAAGATCTTTTATGCATCTCTCAAAGGTCGTCCATAAACTATAGGTCTCACCATGTACAACATTGCTCATTAAAAGAAAAAAAACTAGTTTTTATGCTCATGGTATTGCTTACCTTAACAGTAAACATTTCCAATGATTTTCTATCATTGTCCAAAAATGTTTTAACAATAAACTAGATATTATGTAATAATATGAGAAAAACAAAATATCAGATAGGTTTTGTGGATATTATAGTAATTTCGACGGGTAAGATCATGAGTCAGTTAAAGCTAGACCATCATAGAAAACCTGGAAGCACTGGACGGCCGTTTCGTCCTAGTATGGGACTCCTCAGTAGTGCGCATCCACGACCTCGCCCCCTGGAAGATTCGAACCCAGGACCTACTGGTTTTGCGCGCGAGCACTTAACCACTAGACCACTGAGCCGGCATCCAACGGAGGAGTCCCACAATAAGAAGAAATGGCCGTCCAGTGCTTCCAGGTTTTCCATGGTGGTCTAGCTTCAACTGACTAATGATCTTAACCGTTGAAAAAACAAAATATGTTCAATAAGAAATTAGATTACGTAACGATCAAGAAATAAGATAAGTGATTTTCATAAAATGATGATACGATTAAAGTTAGATCACTATGAAAAACCTGAAAGTAATAAATGTTTGTTTTATTCTAGTATGGGACTCTTTAAGCAGTGTGTATCCAAGATCTCGCTCACGAGATTCAAACCCATACTAGGATGAAATAACAGTTGAGTGCTTTCAGGTTTTCCATTCTAGTTTAGCTTTAATTTAGCTTTAATTGAATTTAAAGTGATGTTTCTTTTCAGATTTTCTCAATGATACTGTACACACTCCTGTTATCCCTCATGAAAGAACATGAACCTCCCACTAGCATTCTTTATCCAATTCTGTCCCAAGAGATCCTTCCCAGTTGTTTCCAATTGCTATTCATCCTTTTCATGTCTGCTTGCAATTCACAAAGCAGTGTGTTCTTTGGTTTTCCTCTTTTCCGTTACCTTTCAGGATCCCACGTTACTTCTTGCTTCGTGATGCAGTTTGATCATTCCCATAATGTATGTCCTATCCACTTCCAACGTCTCTTCTTAATCTCCTCTTTAGCCAATGACACTATATTATGGTGTAAATGTATGGTTTCTACCTAATTTCATCACTCAGAACTTTTATTACGGTAACGTCTTTGATATCAGTCTAGGAAAGTCATATTTTTTAATAATATCAGTATAGGGCTGTGGAGATTGTTGAGTTTAGATTGATATCATAAATAAATGAATGTTAGACCACCATTGAAAACCTGAAATCACTGGATGCCCATCTCGTCTTAGTATGGAACTCACACACGATTTCGCACACACCATTCAAACCCAAGGCCTTCGGTCTTGCAAGCAAACCCTTATTCTCTAGACCAATGAGCCAGCACACAGAGGTGTTAATGTCTACTTTCAACCAATCCACGATATTGTGTGACTATCCACTACTGTCTACATTGATTAACTGCCTCTACAACAGACACGATTGAACTCTACGGATTACGGCTTCTCACTAGAACTCCAAGAAACTCATCTTGAAATCAGTCACTAGTAAGCACATGATAGAAAATTAGTGTCCTCTTTCTAATATTATCTAATCTAAACTAGGTATAATGTCAAGGCAAATCTTTTAAGCAGAACAATCAATAAAATTTTTGCGCAGACTATTTAGAACAGAATTTAAATAACAATACATATACTACTTAAATAAAGATTCTCCTTCAATTAAAGTTATAAATTACGTAAGGATTATAAATTATTGATGCATCAACGATAATTTCAAAAAGAAATTAGACAATGAAGAGAAGTTTATTGATAAATTGTTACGTCAACAATATTTGGATTAGTATCAAAAGGGGTTTGGTGGAGATTGTAGTAATTTCAACCCCTTTTGATACTAAACAACATATGCTCACTAGTGACTGGCTTCAAGACATATATCCTGGAGTTCTAGTGAGAAGCAGTGACAAGTGGAGTTCAACCGGGTCAGTTGTGAGGTTGTAACTCACTGATGATAATGGTGGATGTGTCACTCAATTTCGTGAATTAGTTGAAGTTAGACATTAACACTGTTAGATGCTGGCCAATTCAGTGGTCTAGTTGGATAAGCGCTTCGCGCGAGACTGGTATGTCCTCGGTTAGAATTCCGCGAGACGGGGTCGTGTTTGCCCACTGCTGAGGAGTCCAACAATAGGACGAAACGTCTGTCCAGTGCTTCCAGGTTTTCCATGGTGGTCTAGGTTCAATTGACTCATGATCTTAACTGTTGAAAATATTTGGATTGTTTACAATGTCATATCCTTTCAATAAAATTACATAATCATGTTTTTATAGATAGTTATCATCTTTTGTAATTAGATTGTTACGTAAAGATGGATAGTGATTAGCAGTGGAATCTAAATTAAGTATTTGAGACTCATTAGATAGATGTACCTAAATCTCAGAGTTGATGTTCACTCTGAGACTCGAATCAAGTAACATTCGCTTTATCCACTTAGCTACTGAATCCTGATAGCTATTAGCTTGTGCAATGTGATGAAGTTTAAATCAGGTACATTCAGCTGATGAGTTACAAATAAGACGAAACGCGTGTTAAACTGAATTCTACTGTTATCCACTATTCATCTTTGCTTAGAATGCTTTTGAAGTAAGTCAATATTAAAGCAATACTCATAGTATGCAAATATACCAAAAAGAAATTGATCAACTACAGTCTTAAATGTCAATGGTAAGATTCAAGCAAACAATATCAAGTAAGTTGATATTGTGTTTTATTACTTATAAACTTATAAACAAAATAAGAAGTGAGAAAAACTACGGTTCATGGTAGTTTATCAATGAATTGATTATGTTGTCGAATGTAATTCTAAGATGATACGGAAAATTTATCGTTCAGAATGAGATTATTAGAAGAGAAGGAAGAAATCAAGAAGAAGCGGATAGGATACACAATGAGAAAAGCACCCAGCTGAGTCATCACATGGCAAGCCCTTACATGGGATCCTCAAGGCCAAAGGAGGAGAGGAAGACCAGAGAACACATTACTCCGGGAAATGGAGATAGACATGAGTAAAATGGACAAGAATTGGATGGAACTAGAAAGGAAGACCTAGGACAGAGTGGGTTGTAAGATGCTGGTCGGCGGCCTATGCTTCATTAGAAGTAACAGGCGTAAGTAAGTAAGTAAATAAGTATGGTTTATAAGTTAAAGGGTAACATTTTCATTGTCGTTCTGAACAGTGTTATCAGGAAGTATTTCAAAGAGAAATGAGCTATTAACACTTTGATACAATTCATAGTTGCTTGTTCTATTCATCTAGAATATGGTTGGTTGTTATTCATAACTGTAAAGTTGATCTCAACTGATCTGACCTTACAATAATAAATCATTATTCCTATTACATTATAAGCTTATTTGATTTTGATGTTTATATTGATTGATGCTTGATTAGGGTGTTAGATTTCTAGAAATTCATTGAATTCCTTTGCGTTTCTTTGTTCAACCAAATAAATCAGCTTAGAGTTCATAAAACTAACATTTATTGAGGCTGATCTAAGTGATAGGGTTGTTGATGAGAAATCCTGTAATGTTTCATATTAAGACAAAATCATTGTCCAGTACTTTCAGACTTTTAATAATTGTCCAAATTAGATCAATTCATAATCTCAATAAAATTCAACAATCACCACAACCTTCATACTGGTAATTGTGTTTTCAATTGTCCGACTGTGAAAATGTTTTACATATATTTAAACAACAATTCGTGTTGGGTAAAGACAGGTATCTACCTCAGTATAATGGAAAATGGTCGCGCAATTTCGTGGATTAATTAAGGTTAGACATCAACACCGATGAATGCTGTCTCAGTAGTTTAAATATTAAGCATTCGCGCACGAGACTAAAGACCCAGGGTTCAAATCCCGCAAGAGGGATCGTGAATCTGCACTTCTAAGAAGTCCTACAATAGGACGAGTTGGCCGTCCAGTGCTTCCAAGTTTTCAATAGTGGTCTATCATCATTCGATTCATGATCTCAATCAAAAAAGTTATGAATTTCTTATTTGTTGGTAATCAGTGTATTAATCAATTCAGTCATAACATATGAAATTTCAATTAGGTTTAAGACATTTAAATAAAATAAAACATCAACTCACCGATATTAGAATCCCATTCATTGAATTACCATTTTCATATATTATGCAAATAACCACTGTGAATCAACAAGATAAAGTAACATGCTTCACAGTGTAACTATATTCCACATCAAGCCAATATATTAAAAAGTCAATAGATAGGATTTCAAGTATTTTGCAGACTTCTTTTTTATTAATATGAAGTGTTCACAGTTCTGCTTGCATCTACTGGGATCACCGGGTAAGTAATAATGAGGTTAGACGAAAGGTATTAGGGAATGACAGTAAATCAGTTGATGAGGTTGTGAATCTTCGTCAATTAAGATGGTTGAGCCACATATTGCGTATGCCCGGACACCAAGTACCACGATGTGCAATGCTGACTAGCGTTGGAGACTGGTGCAAGAAAGTTAGGGGCGGCAAAACCAAAACGTTGCACCAGTCCACAAAGTCACTGACTTTTGGTTTTAGCCATGTTGGTAGATACAGATTACTTGGTTGGGGTCCGCGTGACTATCGTAATCAATGGTTGGAGACTCTTGGTGACATGGCTCAGAATCGATCACAATGGCGTCGGTGTATACATTCTCTATCTCTCCTTAAACTAAGAGATTAAAATTGCTTCTTATCTTTCTTTCTACGAACTAATTCTTTCTTCCTGTATTATATCCTTATATGCAATCTTTCCTTTATATATTACACCACTGAGTTAACTGCTTCTATGAATTCGGTGTTCGTTATGTTGTGCTAATGATCAAGATTTAGCAACTTGGACCGATGCATATATGTGCCTGATCTTGCGTTGTGGCTGACTGACTGACTCATAGTTTTATGAAGGTTCTCACTAGGTACAGGACTCCAATCATTTTAGGTTATTATTAAAACAAAATACCATGACACACATAAATGAACAAAGAATATTATTCTCCAATAAGTTCTCATCAGATACTTCAATTACTATACATCGAAATTAATTGGTATAAATGAATAGCCAAGTTTAAGATAATCAAATTGTTTAAAATTATATCATATGAATTTAAGATTATTGGGAAACTGTTTAGTATGAGAACGGAGTTTCGTGAATAGTTTTAGTAATTTAATAGTTGAATTCATGAGCCGATTAAAGCTGGATCACCACAGAAAACCCAGAAGCACTGGACGGGACATTTCATCCTAGTATGTGATTCTTCAGCAGTGAACATCCACTATCTCGTCCCACAAGATTCGAACCCATGACCTATCGGCCTTGCGCACGAACACTGAATATCTAGGCCGTTGAGACGACAGCCAACAGTGTGAATGTCTATCTTCAACTAATCCACGATATTGTGCGACCGTCCATCATTGTGTTCAGTGAGTTACTATCTCACAACAGACCTGGTTGAACTCCACTGGTCACGACTTCTCATTTCTGAGGAGTCCCATCCTAGGACGAAACGGCTGTCCAGTTCTTCTAGGCTTTCAATAATGGTCTAGATTAAATTCACTCATTAATTCAACTATTAAAGTTTTTACTGTTAAATTAACCATTGTACAATGGTAACTTATATTAGTTTAGGTGTTTAATGAAATCATAAAATGAAGAAACAGAATAAATCTAAACATACATAAACTAAGAGAAACAATTATGTAATCAACAGATCAGATCAAATATTTGATCAATGATTACTAAGCCTATGAAATGATCTGAATTCTGTAACCATTAATAAAGTAAGGTAATATCAACGAACATTCTAATGATCTTATTCTGAGTATTGATTATATTACATCTTAGTCAAAGGTGACAGATATGAAAGGATTTAATCAATGAATTGTAGTAACAGAATGCTGTGTTGAAAACTATTGGCTTGTATTCATATTTCAATGTTTATATATTCATGTAAGAGAGCCTCGTTTGAATAGGGATACTTAACATCATTTTTGATATGATAAAGCCGTAATAGGGCTAACAATTAGGTCATCATTCATTAGAGCGAGAGAGTGTGTGAGTAACACACATAACTGATCCCCTCCAGTTGCCTATACCATTTAATTACATTGTTTTTTCCCTAGCATTTTGTGTATAATCATGTTATTTTGTTAGAGAAGAAAATTATTCTTCTAACTGGAGACCATCCAGTGCTTCTATGTTTGCCATGGTTGCCTCGCTTCAATTGACTCATGATGTCAACTATTAAAATTACTATAATATTCACAAATAACCCCTTGTGATAGAGCTCTTTTCTTTAAAATCATTTCTTTAGCATGTTTGAATCGGTAATCCGGTCAAAGAAGAGATTATCAATTGGTCACATCACATCATTGTACTTTATTTATTCATTCATCGATCTATCTATTTATGTATATATCGGCATTTTATAGATTCATTTTAACAATTCAGAGTTAATATCAAAAGGGGTTTTGTGGAGATTGTAGTAATTTCAACAGTTCAGATCATGAATCGATTGATGTTAGACCACCATGGAATACCTGGAAGCAGTGGACGGCCAACTCATCGTATTGTGGGATTCCTCAACAGGGCTCATCCACAATCCCACCTCGCGAGATTCGAACTCAGGACATATCAGTCTCGCGTGCGAGCGAGCGCTTAACCATTAGACCACTGAACTGGCCGGCATCCAACGGTTTTAATGTCTTACTCCAACCAATCCACGAGATTACGCGATTATCTACCATTGTCTTCAATGAGTGACTGTCTCATACTATCCCATACTAGGACGAAATGACCATCCAGTGCTTCCAGGTTTTTAATGTTGTTATAGCATTCATCCATTCATGATATCAATCTAAACTCAACAGTCTCTACAACACCATATGGATAGCTTCATTTAGTCAGTGAATTTATCAAGATTATCTTAAGACAGACCGTATTAACTGAAAAACTCCATTACTTCCTTAGAAGGTCAGTATATTTTTAAATCGTTTATCAAGAAACAATTACTTCTATGAAGTGTTTCTTATGGTATTTACAATGTTAGAACAACGTGAATAAAATACCTAGTCACTATAATTAGTTTGTACGATTGATTGTTATTTAAATTCTAGTAATGACATAAATTTACTATAAAAATTGCTTATAGATTAATGAATCTCCTGACTGAACGCTTGAATCGGTTTCTTAAACTCTTCGAATAACCCCAGGCTAATTCACTGTATACGATAATTTGAAAACCAAAATATGGAAAGAACACTTTACTTTACGGTTAGTTTATGCACATGAAATTGAGGCTTATCATAACATTTCAGATGGCCTTCAACATCTTGAAGGTTCTGGAACCTTACTAAACACAATAGAAGGATAGTTAATAATGACACATGACTCTTCACTTTCTAGATGTTTCTGAGACATTTCAATTCAATGCTGATTAGGTGAAATGTTTCTCAGAGTTTTTAGTGTCTCTTTGAACTTTTTCTAAGGAATATATTAGGTATCCCTAACATTAATTACTTAGAAATGCCTATTTTACATGAAATATTTAGTTAAGAAAACAATGTAATATATTTCTACACTTGTGAAATGGATAGTTAGATTGTATTCCATAAAACTATCCATGAACTTTTAGTTATTCTGTACTATCTTTATAAAGAATGTAAGTATCATTTGTATTATTGATTGTGAACCTTTGAATAAACTGTTCAAACAACTCGTCAGCAACTGAAGAGTCCTATACTAAGACGAAACGATCAACCAATACTTCCAGGCTTTCAATAGTAGTCTAACATTCATCCATTCATAATATCAATCATTATCTAACATTTAATGACATTCTATTTAAATAAGATTAAACTCTAAATGATTAGATACAAATGATATTTCAGTGAATGATACAATGAGAGAATAAAGAGATCACTTTAACAAGTCGTGATATGATTTAAAGCTAATCAAGGTTTAACCTATATGATCCATTGAAATAAATTTTCAAATGAATAGCTCCATTCCTTCTGATCCATTACAATCTCTTACATTTGTATTTCATCATAAACTTTTAATGAAATCACGTATTTCTATATGTAGTATCTAATAAGTTAAATGAAAACATACATATTTCATTGTGTATAATGACAATGGTACTTCTACTATAATGATCAGTATGAACATTAGTTAAATGGATAATTAATACATATAACTATATGTTATTTATAAGCAAAGATGAATGGTGACTAGTAGTGGAATCCAGGATGCATGTTTCGTCCTATTTGAGACTCATCAGCTGGATGTACCTACATCTCTTGGGTGGAATTCGAATCGATTACTATTCACTTCAAACGCCATTGTATTATCTAATTAGCTACTAGTTTGTGCAATGGGATGAAGTTTAAATCAGATATATTCAGCTGATGAGTTACAAATAAGACAAAACGCGTATCGTGGTTTGTGCTACTAGCCACCATCGATCACTGCTTATAATGCTTGTGACTTCAGACAATATCGAGGCAATCATTTATTTTATACTTGGAGTGATCCAGAAAATTGCTTGTAAAAGACAAGCAAGAATCAGGAAACACCAAGAAGCGTTTCATTCAATCAGCGTTCACTTGAAGTTTTAGCCAAAAATATCAAGGAAGTAAAACGTCACATTCAGAGGTTCTGGTTGGCTGATTGCTACATTGCTACTATGTTTAGTAGCATTCCAGAATCTTCTAGCAACCCAAGGACATCTAAAAATATTATAAAAACCCTATATTTTCTGTGTTAAAATGAACCTTGGAGTAAAGTACTTCTCGCATACTTTGCGTCTTCTCTCTCGTTGTTCAGGTCGCTGTACAGTTCTAGCTTGGGGGTTACAGAATAGCTTAGGAACCGAATACAGCGTTCAATTTGCAAGACTTATCAAAATTGATCATTGATAAGTGATAATATGAGTAGAAATGTTTAAATTCAGGAATATAAGATCATATTACAAAGATTTTAATAATAATAATAAGGCTCTAAACTGAGCTTCAACTCCGCCTGGAGTCCCTCCGAGGGCTACTGCCGGTCCCAAACCCGGATAAGGGAGGAGGGTTGGGCATGGGGTTAGCGACTCCATCCCGTAGAAAACTAACTCGCTAAAAAAACGCTAACCAGAAAAAAATTATTCAAACCTTAAACTGAGCTTCAATCATTCAAACATTCGACAAATGATTCCTTGATATCACTTGATACTATACAAAAGTTTTCTTATGATTATGAGAAAGAACAGCTATATCAATCAAAATAGGACACTTTGGAACTTGTAATAAAAATAAGTATTGTTATTATTACTATTTTGTTAACAGAATCATTGTTAATCAAATGGTATTGAATAGATGGTTTATTCTCAGTAATATTCACTCAGCCTCTAAATGCCCTAGTATAGCCGAGAGTCGGGTGGGCCTGCCCTCCCTCTCAAAATGCTCTCACACGGCCACACGTATACAGCCTCTGCCAACGAAGTCCTACTCACTGCCTTCTCGTGGCGCGGTTGTTGCTTACGAAAATGAGAGGACGAAAAGTGAATGTCCGGTGCTTTAACCGGATTCCAAACCAATGGTGCACATGGGCTCCAGTATCCTGAGGGAAAAAATAGCGTATGAACCAATTGTTGGTCACCGACTACCACGGGACTGCATCCCCTCACGATGCTCCACTGCCTTGTGGATCAGACCTTAAGGTCAAAAGCTCGGGGTGTGGTCTCCTAAGAAAACCACCTGCTTCGGTCTGAGCATCCGGGCAGTATCACAGCCTTCACACAAATCGAATGATTTATGTGGCGCACATGTATTTGGTGCCTCCTTGTACCAATGGTTGTGTGTTTAAATAAATAAATAAATAAAATATTCACTCATGAACCTTCCAGGGATTAAATCATTGACTTTTAAGTTTAGTAATGAGTGATTGAACTTGAAATTATTGATTTTACATTTTCAACTTTAATCAATTTGCGATATATAGATTGATTATCCTTCAATTTCATTAGTGATCTAAGTATCATTCTTGATATATAACAAACATACTACTTATAAAGGATATAATCTCTTGTAATACATTACGTAATCATATGTACAATAATAGTCAGGGGAGGAAGAGGAGGAGGTGCCTGAAAAGTAAATTGGATTAGAGGTGGTATTAGTGACCTGAGAGCGTGACCGCAATGCTCAAGGGACAACTGCTTGAGGTTGGTCACACATGACCATTTTATGAGTAATTCTTGTATTAGCTCCGTACTTGTCTAGACCTTACAGCTGGAGACGGATATCTGTGGGATAAGGCGAGGTGTGTATTTTTAGAGTCAACCTTTTCTAACACCACCCCTCCTTGTGAGAAGGCAGCATCGCTGTTATGCTGCTTGTCTGAAGGAAACACCTTACTGCTGTCACACCTCTGTACACTCAGCAGTACAACTTCGCCTTCGGACATTGAGTTTGTTGCTTTTAGTCTTACCGCTCTTCAACCGACCTGTCTGACATGGTAGGACCTTAAGGAACGGTTGTTCCAGCCAGTATAGCTCGGTTGAGTCATCACGATAGGCAAGCCGTACCATCACGTCAAAGTAACGACAACGAACGGGATATACAATAATCAGTCCTATTGAAGTATTACATTTAGAAATAACCAAAAAACATTAACTATTCAATAATACATTTTTTTACTTACCATAGTTTTCTTTTTTAATTGTATCTTTATTGAGTAATAATAAATTACGTAATTGTGCATTTTTGATATGATTTACCTTGACTACAAAACTTTTCACACTATAACCAAATAAATAACAATAACGATTAGTCAATTCTTTATTCACATTTTAAAGAAAGTAATACATTACAAATTCATGAATGTTCTCTTATGACATTCATTCTACAACACATGGATAATTCATGCATATTAATTACTTACGTCGGTTACTCTTCATTGAGGAGTATAGACCGCTCACTAGCACTCTCTATTCAACCCTGTCTCAAGTAGTTTGTTCCAGTTGACTTGTAATATGCCGATGACATAGTTCTATTTGGTGAAGACGCTGACAAAATGCAGAGTCTTATGACCACTCTAAGCAACAATGCAAGCATGTTCGGCATGCGATTCTACCCCTCGAAATGCAAAATGTTACTTCAGGATTGGGTTTCATCGACACCTGAACTAATGATAGGGAGTGAAGTAGTTGAGCGTGTCGATCGCTTCACTTATCTTGGAAGTCTCATCAGCCATTGTGGACTAGTGTGTGACGAAATCTCAGTACGGATACAGAAGTCTCGACTAGTTTGCTTTTGCCAACTTGCGTCATTTATGGCGTAGGCGAGATATCTGTCTACCAACCAAAGGACGCGTTTACTGCACAACAATTCGTTCCGTCCTACTTTGAGGCAGTGAATCATGGCCGGTAAGAGTAGAGGATATTCGTAGGTTACTCGTATTTGATCATAGGTGTCTTCGAAATCCTGGGACCATTGATTAAGTTATGTAGTTGTTCGGAAACGGGTATTAGATAAGGATGGCAAATCAATTGATGAATTAGTGAAACTTCATCAGTTGAGATGACTGGGACATGTGTTACATATGCCCAACCACCGACTGCCTCGACGTGCGATGTTTTATGGTGTAGGAGCAGGTTGGAAGAAAGCTAGTGGAGGCCAGACCAAAACATGGCACAAGTCCATGAAGTCACTGACAAGTGGACTGACTCGGTAGATGTAGACTACCTTGCTGGGATCCGCGAGATGATAGCAACCGATGGTTAGAGACGTTGAATGACATGGCTCAAAATCGTTTGCAAAGGAGCAGGTGCATCCACTCTTTGTGTTCTCCCAAATTCTAATTTTCTGAACTCTTCATGTCCTTTTTCTTTTCCTCCTTCCAAATTTATTTCACTGGATTATACTCTTTGAATAACATCTTCAAACCCTAATCTTCCTGACTACTGCTTATACTCTTACCGCCTCTACCACTACGGGATTTGAATCGACAATTGAATCTCTTGCTAGTGTGGTGTGGCAACGTACGTACGTACGTACGAAGTTCTACGTTGTTACTGACTGACTGACTTCCCAGTTGTTATTCATTCTTTTCATATCTGCTTCCAATTCCTGACTCAGTGTGTTCATCAGCCTTCCTCTTTTGTGTTTCCCTTCAGGATTCTAAGTTAGTGCTTGTCTTGTAATGTAGTTTGATAATTTCCTCAATGTATGTCCTGTCCATCGTCTTCTCCTAATTTACTCCTCAGCTGGAAGCTGATTTGTTGTCTCCCACAAAGTTTTGTTGCTGATGGTTTCCTACCAGTGGATGCTGAGTATGTTGCGTAGACAACTATTTATAAATACTTACACCTTCTTGATGATGTTTGTAGTAGTTGATATGCAGGTTTCAGCTCCATACAATAGAACTATCTTGACGTTTGTATTGAAAATTCTGACTTTGGTGTTGGTTGACAATTGTTTTGATTTTCATATGTTGTTCAATTGTAGAAATATGGCTCTCGTTTTTTCAATCATCACCTTTACGTCTGAATCAGATCCTCCTTGTTTATTGATGATGCTTACCGGGTACGTGATTAGAATTTATACAGATATACTTGTGTAAAACATTCATTTTAAGATGTTAAAGATACACCATTGAGTGCTTTACTTCGTTGTGCTCAATAAGTGTTTAACTTGGCTTAATGAAATTTTACTTCTAATTAATAGATTCTAAGCACTATTTATTATCAATTTTATATGCTTTTTTCTAATGGTTAGAAGATATTTATCTCTTCAACACTTCTCAATCAATACTGGATCAAAATTTATAGTCCAGTGATCAATCTACCTAAATTAATGGTTGCTCTAGTTGTCAGAAGGGGCATCAGTCTCGTGACTTTCGAAGGACCTCGGCATTCATCATAAGACGTCACATCTCTTCTAAATGAAGATTTTCTAACTCCCAGGGCAGAGTTTAAATATTTCGAATTATTTTTTCTGGTTAGCGTCTTATAGCTACTTAGTTTTCTACGGCATGTAATCGCTAACCCCTTTCTCAACCCTGTTTCTTTATCCGGGCTTAGGAACGACAACAGCCCCAGAGGGCTCCAAGCGGAGTTTTATCCATTAATTACCATCTTCAAATTAAACAAACGAATAAATATATACTTACTTATTACCATATGATATTGCCTCATTACTCAAGTTGAAGACAATACAATTATGTGTTTTATTATGAATAGATTTTGTACTAGATTTTCCTGTAGAATGTGTTTTCCATTCATTTCGATGCTGATGATCAATTGTGAAAGTTCCAATATTATTTATTAATTCCAACTTTAATGAATCCAATTGTTGAATCGATACAAAACGCTGAAAAATGATCAGAGACAAACAAAATGAATGAACAATATGGGATTGTGGAGATTAATCGCTATTTGATTGAAAGATCAACGCTGATTACCTGGAAACACTGGACGGCCAAGTCGTCCTATTGTAGGACACCTCAGCAGTGCACATCCACGATCCAGCTTGCAGAATTCTAACCCAGAGCCTTTGATCTCGCGCGCAAACGCTTAACATCTAGACCACTGAACCGACATTCAACAATGTTAATTTTTAACCTCAACCAATCCACGACATTGCTCGATCATCTTCCATTGTACTGAAGTAGATACCTGTCTCTACTAGATACGGATTAGCTCCACTGGAGATAATAAGACGAAACAGCCGTCCAATGCTTCCAGGTTTTCAATGGTGGTCTCACATCAATCGGTTCATGATCTCAATCAAAAATGAATTAAATATTAAACTACATTAAAAAGTATAATATACTAACAATATGCAATGAGAAATTGAATTTAAGATGTTGCTTGAGCTAAATAAAAAACGTACCTTTTCCTTAGGCAGAATGTCTATTAAAATAGATAGTATTTTCCCATTCTAATCCTTGATTTTAATCCCAACCAAGAGTTTCATAAGTTTGTAAAAAGAAGGGTGACAAAGAATGGCATTGTAGGGGGTATCAGTTCGTGATGAAACCTTTGACACTCATATTGTAAATCAATCTTATAATTTCAGCTTAACTGTTAATATCTAACCTCAACCCTCTTGCATTATCGTTAGCATTAGTTGTTGAGGAAAACTATGGGTTGATCATCCTAACTCACAACACTAACCTAAATCCTAATCTGCTAAATTAACCTTTTACTTTTACTACAAAGTATAATTCAGCATGTAAGAGTTGATTATTCAGATCAAAGCTATTATTCTATTGTTATTATATTGCTTTGTCGGTGTTCATACTTTTGTAACTAGACAAGGTTTCCCAAATGGCTGATAAGTAGCTCAAGATCATCGGTATATTATACGTTTACCTAAACTACAGTGAAAATAGAAATTGAACAATCATCAAATGTTTCTGTGGTTGTGAAGCCATAGAAAAGACATTATTCCGTTTCTTTAAAAACAATTTACTTTATAAAGTATGGAGGACTTGTAGAGACTGTAGCATTTTCATAGTTGAAATGACAAGTCGATCTAAGCAAAACCGCCATTAAAAACTTGAAAGCACTGGATGGCCAGCGAATGCAATTCATTTTCAGTGTGAGACAGTCGTTCACTACAGTCAATAGATGAAGGGTTGCACAAAGTTGTGGATTGATTGAAGTTAGACAATAATATCGCTGAGTGCTAGTTCAGTGGTCTAGAAGTTAAAGATTCTCGCACAAATTCAAAAGTCCTAGGTTCGAGTTCCACGTCAGGGATTGTGAATGTGCATTGTTGAGGAGTCCCATACTAGAATGAAACTGCCATTCAACGCTTTCAAGTTTTCAATAGTATCATACCTTAAATCGACTCATGTTTTCAATTGTGAAAAGTTGTTTTAATCTTACAATTAACCAATGACATAATAATAGTAAAATGATGTGATATTATACAGATAATAGTAAAATGTTCCAGATAAACTAATCTACAGATTGGTCTCATGGATAAGATTTATGCCAAACCAGATAATACATATAATCTTGATTATTTCGATTATAAATCACTGGTACTTATCATAATCGGTTTATTTCTATCTTCATCTAATCTTTACCTAATATGATTACTTTATTGATATTGAACAAAATCTAAAAAGGAGATTCATCATAAACTGATATAGATAAGATTAAAGTATGGGTCAAATTAGACATGTTAATAAAAGATGAATGAGTTTTGTGGAGATTTTAGTAAATTTCACAGGTTGAAATCATGAGTCAGTTGAAGCGCACTGCTGAGGAGTCCCATACTAGGATGAAACGGCCGTCCAGTGCTTCCAGGTTTTCAATGGTGGTCTAGCTTCAACTGACTCATGATTTCAACCTGTGAAATTTACTAAAATCTCCACAAAACTCATTCTGATAATAATCAACTGCTCACTAGTGACTGACTTCAGGAGACACTTCTGGAGTTCTAGTGGGAAGCCGTCACCAGTGGAGTTCAACCAGGTCTGTTGTGAGATATCAGCTCACTGAAGACATTGGTGTTCGATGGCGCAACTTCGTGGATTGGTTGAAGTTAGACATTAACACCGTTGGATGCCGGCTCAGTGGTCTAATGGTTAAGTGCTCACGCACGAAGCCAGTAGGTCCTGGGTTCGAATCCCGCAGGGGGCGGGTTCGTGGATGCGCACTGCTGAGGAGTCCCATACTAAGATGAAACGGCCGTCCAGTGCTTCCAGGTTTTCAATGGTGGTCTAGCTTCAACTGACTCATGATTTCAACCTGTGAAATAAAAGATGACTTCAAGGTTACAAGACAGGTTTGGATGGCGAATGCTAATGGTCGGCCTATGCTCCTCCACGAGGAGTAACAAGCGTTAGTAAGTAAGTAAGTCAAGGTTACAACATATAACTGAGAGAAGAATACTGATTATCAATTAGATACTAATCACATTCAAAGATAATATAATGATGACAAATTTATAGGATTATGGATTACTGAGTAAAAGACAAGTAGTAATTCTAAAAGAGTTTAAAGACAATAACGAAAAGAAGCTATTCATTGTTGACTGATTGTAAGTTAACTCTTACATGTTACTCAAGGAATCATAGAAACCAATATAGCTGTACTGGAAAATTTAAGTGTAGTAATAGCAGTTGAGTTATATGTGAAGGCGTGCAGCAGCATATCTACAATTGAAGAACATGTGGGACTCAATGCAACTGTCTGTTAACCAACACCAAAGTCAAAATTTTTAATACAAATGACAATACAGTTCTACTCTATGGATAGGAAACCTGGAGAACTACGAAAGCCATCATCCATAAGATACAAGTGTTTATTAACTGTTGTCTATGCAAAATACTTCGGATCTGTTGGCCACACACTATCAGCAACAACCTACTGTGGAAAACAACAAATCAGATCCTAGCGGACGAAGAAATCAGGAAGAAGCGCTGGAAGTGGATAGGACACACAATGAGAAAAGCACTCAACTGCATCATCATAAGACAAGCCCTCACATAGAATCCTCAAGGCCAAAGGAGGAGAAGAGAAAGTACGAAGAACATATTACGTCAATAAATGGAGACAGACATGAGAAGAATGAAGAAGAATTGAATAGAACTGGATAGGAAGGCCGACGACAGAGTGGGTTGTAGAATGTTGGTCGACGGCCTATGCTCCACTGGGGGGAGGGGGATAACAGGCATAATAAGTAAGTAATAGCAGTGGAGTATTTTTAATACTGTGGAGATTTATAATCGTAACTTATGACAGAAACATTATTATCTATGTGAGAGAAAATTCATACTATCAAATGAAATAGTCATATGAAATTAGAAGTATAACAAGTTTCTTAGCTTGTTTAAACGTTCAGAAGATTGACTTATTCGAAGTTGTGCTTTATCAAAGTTCCTTTAATGAGAAGACCCTAGAAATATTTAACTCATCATTGTAGTTATATTGAAACTCGCTCAATTCTCCACCAAACCGTTTAGCTTTATCATATACAACATTGAATTGAAGACCTTCAATTACAATTTAGAAACTTGAATGGGTAAATAGATCGTGGTCATAAATTTCCATTATACACTTTGAGATTATTCATTTCGAATATAACATAATGAACAAGAACATAAATGGGGATAATCGAATAGTTTACAGAACATCTAAGATCCATACAGTAAATAGTTCATCTTTAAAATCTTAATCAATCGTCTTAAACTTTATTGATCTTACATTTCCACATCAGTCCTTGTTTGTTCTTTTTCTCTTCTCCTTGATCTTCATCATCATCATTTATCACCAGGTATTTCATTTTCAATTATTAATGATACATACATACTTACTTACTTACTTACACCTGTTACTCCCAATGGAGCATAGGCCGCCGATCAGCATTCTCCAACCCACTCTATCCTGGGCCTTCTTTTCTAGTTCCATCCAATTCTCGTTCCATTTTCTCATGTTTATCTCCATTTCTCGGCGTAATGTGTTCTTTGGTCTTCCTCTTTTCCTTCTTTGGCCTGGAGGATTCCATGTGAGGCTCTGCCTTGTGACACAGTTGGTTGCCTTCCTCAATGTGTGTCCTATCCACTTCCAGCACTTCTTCCTGATTTATTCCTCCACTGGAATCTGGTTTGTTCTCTCCCACAGTTGGTTGTTGCTAATAGTGTCCGGCCAACGGATCCGAAGTATTTTGCATAGACAACTGTTAATAAACACCTGTATTTTCTGGATGATGGCTTTCGTATTTCTCCAGGTTTCTGCCCCATACAGTAGAATTGTCTTGACATTTGTATTGAAAATCCTGACCTTGGTGTTGGTTGACAGACAGTTGTTTTGAGTTCCAGATGTTCCTCAGTTGTAAATATGCTGCTCTTGATTTGCCGATCCGCGCCTTCACATATTAATGATACATACTACTTATACTTGTCGATATCAGTAATACACACCACAATAGTTATTAGTGATTACATTGAGAAACTATTTGGATTATAAACACCCTCATAAACAAAAACCAAACATTGAATGATTGAATAATCTTAGTCTATTGACCTCTTAAGTTTATTTAGTCTGATATAACAATAATAATAATAATACTGAATAAATTGAAATATTCCATTGAACATTCCTTCATTTTTGGGTTACAATTCAATGAAGGTGTATTTCATTAAGTTATGTCACAATCAATAGTTCTTACACTTGTATTGAATAATTGATGAATCACTTCAGTTAGGATACAGTATAGTTGATCGGGATCAATGTTATCTAATAAGTTCAATGTAGACTGTAATAAAAAAAAGAAGAAACAAAACAAAATAAAGTGAATATAGAAATGTATATATCTACCTGAAGTACATGTTAACTAGACTTACTTACTTACTTATTCACTCACTCATGCCTGTTACCCTCAATATTGTATAGGTCGTTGACCAGCATTCTCAAATACACTCTCTGTCCTCGGTCTTCCTTTCTACATCTATCCAATTCATGTTCATTCTTCTTATGTCAGTCTCCATTTCTTTTATCTTCCTCTTCTCCTTCTTTGGCCTTGAGGATTCTATGTGAGGGCTTGTCTTATGATGATCCAGTTGGGTGCTTTCCTCAATGTGTGTCTGTGGTGTTTAAATTAACTAATGATTCTTTTGTACATGTTGCATGCTCGATTTCGAATTCTAAATACAGTACATTCGTTCGTGCTTGTGTCGTAATTCTTGATTCAATTGTTTTAATTCTGGGATTCCTAGTTCATACGATAATTTGAGTACTTTCAAATATTATAGTGTCCTATTCACTTCCAGTGATTCTTCTTGATTTCTTCCTCCACTGGAATTTGGTTTGTTCTCTCCCACAGTAGTAGGTTGTTGTTGATAATGTCTGGTTAAATGTAACTCCTCATTTCTGCAGCAATTTGGAAGGCTCTCCCGGTGTCCCACATTGTACGAACACTCCATGTACCTAAATAAATGGTTGCTCTGGTTGTCAAAAGGGGCATCGGCCTCGTAACTTCTGAAAGAATTCGGCTTTCATCATGATGTGTCATAGTTCTTCTAAATGAAGACCTTCTGACTCCCAAGGCAGAGTTTAAAAGGTTTGAGTAATTTTTTCTGGTTAGCGTTTTTTTAGCCAGTTGGTTTTCTACGGGATGGGGTCGGTAACCCCATGCTCAACCCTCCTCCTTTATCCGGGCTTGGGACCGGTGGTAGCCCCCGGAGGGACTCCAGGCGGAGTTGTCTGGGTAAATGGATGTGAGATATTTTGCGTCGACAACTGTTAATAAACACTTGTATCTTTTAGATGATAGTTTTTTGTATTCATTGTAAAAATGTTTACTACACTAAGAGATCATCATGGAGGTTATCGAATTTCATTGAAATCATGAACTGATCATAGTTAGACAATCATTAAAAACGCGAACGCACAAGATGGAAATTTAGTCGTAATATGGAACTCATCAGTAATACAGTTCCACGGCCTCATCAACAAATAATCAAAGTTATGAAATTCGGATTCGTACAAGGACGCTTAACCTCTAGACCACTGAATTAGATTTCAATGGTGTACAAGTATGATTCGAATCAATCTACGGTATTACGCTATCGAATTCCATTGTCCTCGGTGGGTAACTGTCTCATACAATACACAGTTAAACTTTACTGGTCACGCCTTTTTACTAGTAATCCGAAAATTTCTTTTCGAAGCTAGTCGCTAGTGAGTACATGATAATGAACACTATAAGATTGCGCAGCTTGTTCAACTTCATTTCAGGCCAAAGATCCTGGATGGGATTCTCATATGCGGGGTCATGAGTGCCCACTGGTGAAGAGTCTTACACTACAATGGGACGGTCGTCCACTACTTCCAGGTTTTCAATGGTGATCTGACTTGGATCGGTTCATGATTTCAATAATATTATCTTGCATAGATTGACGGTTTTTTGACATTAAGTTGTTTTTGAAGACAGTTTTTGTTGTGGACTGATCTAACTAGAAAATCCGGGAGTTTTGAATGTTGAACTTTAAAATGAATACAAGTATGAACTGTCAAATCGTTGGATTTAAAATTAATGAAATAAAGGTATTGTGCTAACGAAGTATTTACTAACAATTGTCTAAGCAAGATACTCAATATTCGTTGGCCGGATACCATCAGTAACAACCTACTGTGGGAGAGAAAAAACCAGCATCCAGTTGAAGAGGAAATTAGAAAAATATGATGGAACTGGATAGGACATACATTGAGGAAATCATCAAACTGCATCACGAGGCAAATACTTACTTGAAATCCTTAAGGGAAACAGAAAAGAGGAAGACCAAAACTTACAGTGGACAGGGAATTAAAGGCAGATATCAAAAGAATAAATAGCAGCTGGAAACAACTGGATAGGTTTGTCCAGGACATAGTTGAATTGAGACTGTTGTTAGGTGGCAAAATAATTCAGGTCAACATTTTAATAACGGTTGAAATGAACTTATCTAATTATTTATTAGTTTGAATGGTGCCAAATCAACAAACGATGGAGTTATACCTTGATAATCATATATTAAAATACAAAAGATTAGAATCTTGTAAAATAACAGTCTGTTGCCTAAGAAGATAGAAATGAACAAAGTTTAAACAATAAATAAGTTATCAGAAGGGGTTTTGTGGAGATTTTAGTCATTTCAATAGTTGAAATCATGAACCAATTGAAGCTAGACCAACATCGAAAACCTGGATACATTGGATGTCCGTTTCGTTCTAGTACGGGACACCTCAGCAGTGCACATCCACGATCCCACCTCACGAGACTCGAACCCAGGACCTATCAGTCTTGTGCACCAACGCTTAACCTCTAGACCACTGAGCTGGCCGGCCGGCATCCAACGGTGTTAATGTCTAACTCCAACCAATTGCAAACTAATTGTTCCATAGAAACATATTAATTCACTCATTCTTATTTGTTAATTAACAGACAGTGATTTGAAAAATGAATAACCATATCACCATACTTCATAGGAAATCAATAAATCTATTTGTAAAGTAGTTTTATAGAAGTTATTTTGGATTACTAATAGTATTTGTTGCGGACTAACATCAGCTTGAAAATCAACGAATAGTTGTATTTGTTCTTGAATGGAACTTTTCAGAAGTACTATGCCATGAGTCCACAAGAAGTCAAAGTGATAAATTACCGTTCTCATACTTGATACTTTAGAATTCAGAATCCTATAGATATAAATTCATCAGATTAACACCATAAGGCACACTACTGAAGTGCTTAAAAACGCGATGAAACAACTATCCAGTACCATTTGGCTTAGATTGCTTATCCAGTTGATATCAGTATCCACTTGTTGACTTAGAATATGCCGATGACATAGTTCTATTTGGTGAAGACGCTGACAAAATGCAGAGTCTTCTGATCACTATAAGCAACAATCCAAACATGTTCGGCATGAGATTCTACCCATCGAAATGCAAAATGTTACTTCAGCATTGGGTTGCATCAACACTCGAACTAATGATAAGGAGTGAAGTAGTTGAGCGAGTCTACCGATTCAATAATCTTGGAAGTCTCATCAGCCCTTGTGGTCTAGTGTGTAACGAAATCTCAGTACGGATACAGAAGGCTCGACTAGCTCTTACCAATTTGCGTTATTTATGGCGTAGGCGAGATATCCGTCTATCAACCAAAGGACGTGTTTACTGCACAACAGTTCGTTCCTTCCTACTTTATGGCAGTGAAACATGGCCGATAAGAGTAGAGGATATCCGTAGTTTACTAATATTTGATCATAGATATCTTCGAGACATTGCTCGTATATCCTGAGACCATCGAGTAAGTAATGCAGTTGTTCAGAAACGCGTATTAGGTAAGGATGGCAAATCAATTGATGAATTAGTGAAACTTCATCAGTTGAGATGACTGGAACATGTGTTACATATGCCTCTACAAACCTTACTTTACGTCTGTAGTGATCACGTACATATTAATGATTGACTTTAAAATATATAATTGATTTTCTGGGAGGGTATCTCGACTACTATAGTTTAATCACATTGTAAATGAGTTAACTATTTATCGAACTTATCAGACGATCATCATGGAATATCATTAGTTGAAAACAAAAGCTTGAAATATAAACGAAAACTGAACTGATCTATGATATCTGCCACTTATTGTGTATTTAAAGTTTCTAAAGTATTATGAAACCTGAAAGTCATTCACATTCTATTCATGACGAAATTGTTGGTGAGTATTGTTATGATGACCACCATTCAAAATCTGAAAGCCCCAGATGGCCATTTCGTCCTAGCTTGGGACTCTTCAGATGTGTTTGGTAGAGTTCAATCCGTGTCGGGTAAAGATAGGTATTTACCTTAGACAATGAATGAATGGTTGTGCAGCTATGCATAGATCAATGAAAGTTAGACATTAACACTGTCGGATGCTGACTCAGTGGTTTAGAAGTTAATGGTTCGAGATCAACGATCCTGGGTTCGAATCTCGCTTGCGGGATTGTGAATAACCACTGCTAAGGAGTCTCATACTAGGACGAAGAGGCTGCCTAGTGTTTCCAAGTTTTCAATAATGGTCTAACATAAATCAATTCACGATCTCAATCAAAAACTTGACAATCTCTACAACCCCATACTAATATATGAATTGAGTAAAACATATACCCTTTTCATATACAATACTTTGTTACTCCTACTTTGTAAACATTTTCCATCAGAATAAAATGAAGAAATTATGGTTTATATTCACTTGATATTGTTTTACATGAATCTTCCCATGGATGCTTAACACTACAATTGATCAATCTGTTATTGACATTTGTGTATACTGTGTGCATTGCCTGGATATTGCTTTAATTCACCCAATCCCATAAGTAAGTGTCTATCAGGACTCAGTAACTAATTGGATAACGTGATGAAGTTTGAAATCAAACGGTACTGGATTAGAGTCTCAGAATGAATATCAACTCTTAGATACAGGTACATCCAGCTGACGAGTCCCAAATAGGATGAAACGTATATCCTGGATTCCACTGCTAACCACTATAATTTATACTTAAAACATTAAACTTTTTATAACGTTTTTGAGAATAATTTCTTGAAAGAAACAAAGGTTCCATTCAAATAAAAAATTCTCAGTTGAAGAGATAAAGGAAGTAATAAATATGAAGGTTATTCATAGTATATAAACAAATGAATTGGTTCATGATGTAATTGCATAATCATCTTATGTTTCAATTCATAATCACAAATAATAGTTATATCGGATTCAGTAAAAGTGTCAACCACTGACAGGGAAGTCCTACTCATTGCCTTCTCGCCTGTTACTCCCAATGGAGCATAGGCCGCCGATCAGCATTCTCCAACCCACTCTGTCCTGGGCCTTCTTTTCTAGTTCCATCCAATTCTTGTTCCATTTCTCGGCGTCATGTGTTCTTTGGTCTTCCTCTTTTCCTTTGGCCTTGAGGATTCCATGTGAGGGCTTGTCTCGTGACACAGCTGGGTGCTTTCCTCAATGTGCGTCCTATCCACTTGCAGCGCTTCTTCCTGATTTCTTCCTCCGCTGCGATCTGGTTTGTTCTTTCCCACAGTACGTTGTTGCTAATAGTGTCCGGCCAATGGATCTGAAGTATTTTGCATAGACAACTGTTAATAAACACCTGTATTTTCTGGATGATGGCTTTCGTAGTTCTCCAGGTTTCTGCCCCATACAGTAAAACTGTCTTGACATTTGTATTGAAAATCCTGACCTTGGTGTTGGTTGACAGTTGCTTTGAGTTCCAGATGTTCCTCAGTTGTAAATATGCTGCTCTTGCTTTGCCGATCCACGCCTCTACATCTGCATCAGATCCACACTGTTCATCAATGATGCTGCCCAAATATGTAAAGGTTTTTACATCTTCCAAATCTTCTCCGTCAATTGTGATTGAATTGCGTGGCACCGGTGTTGTTTATAAAATTGAGAGGACGAAAAGTGAATGTCCAGTGTTTTAACCTGGTAGGTGGATATAGAAGATCCACCTAGAGGAGTTGAAAAACCCTGATTCCAAACCAATGGTGTATATAAACTCCAGAATTCTGAGAAAAAAATGGCGTATGAACCAACTATTAGGGACCGACTACCATGGAACTGCATATCCTTACGATGCCTTACTACCTTGTGAATCAGACCTTTAGGTAGAAGATTTCGAGTGTGGCCCCCTAAGAAAACCACCTGTTTTGGTTTGGTCATCTGGGCAGCATCCCATCCCTTACACAAATCAAACGATTTAGGGATTACTAAATACTAATTATATTAAGTATATCATTACCAGAATAAGTCTAAAATAATGCGATTTGGTAAACTAGTAGTACAATATCGATTATTCTGAATGATTAATTTAAAACAAATTCTAAACATTAATAAGTTCTCAGTTATCTGTATCCATAAAGATCAATTTCTGTTGATAATCATTGATAACACTCAAAGAGGGGGAAGTGGTCTAGTGGTTAAGCGTGAGCAAAACTGATTGGTCTTGGGTTCGAATCCCAAGAGGTGGGGTCATGAATACACATTGTTGAGGAGTCCCACAATAAGACGAAACGACGGTTCAATGTTTTCAAGTTTTTCCATGGTGATTTAGCTTCAATTGACTCTAGTTAGAATTTATTGATTTTCTAAGTATTACATTAGTTTTAAGTGAATAAACTTAATATTCAATCGAAAGTAATTCAACTCTTTAAGATGGTTTTATATTAGCTGATTATTAGTTGCCATCGAAACAATTTGTTGAAATATGCGAACTCATTAGAAAAAGGCATTGCATTGGATTCATGTATTGGTAGGTTTAATGAATTAGGTGTTGGATATTGTTTCAATACAATTCAGTTCAAGCATTTGATATGGTATCTAATAGAATAAATAATTGTGTTTTTCTGGTTAGCGTTTTTTTAGCGAGTTAGTTTTCTGTGGGATGGGGTCGCTAACCCCATGCCCAACCCTCCTCCTTTATCCAGGCTTGGGTCCGTCAGTAACCTCCGAAGGGACTCCATGCGGAGTTTTATCTAATAGATGATGTATGTTATTCAGTAGACAATTTGAAGTATTAACTTGATTAACCATTGATTGTCAGAGTATGTACGACACCATTAAAACAAATTTCAGGTAGAAGTGAAGTGTTCGAATTTCTTCACATATGACTCATAACTTGTCCTGCAGACCTCGATGTCGATTAGTACTTGTTAACCTTAAACCTGTCATTGTTTACTTCTTGGTTTTGGTTATATCCCCTATTGGTTTAACTTTAACGTGAAGTTTCTGTTGATGATGTCGTTCAGGAGAACGATGAAAGTTCCACAAAACAACGATCCAGCTCAGAGGACAAAACTCCATCGAAATATAACCATAGATTATCATTTTATTCATTGAAAATAATAATAAAATATGTAAAAGCACCTTCAGCCTGTATATTTATAGGTTTAATCAAACGTAATTGTAAATCAACAAACGAATTAACCCAACTAACTATAACTATAATAGATCGTTTTTACTAGTATTCATCTTCTGTTATCATTTTGAAATGAATTAGGTCTCTTATCTTGTAAATATTAAGCTAATACCTGAAGTCAATCAATTACAACATAGGATCAGGCACATATATGCATCAGTCCAACTTGCCACACTTTACTCATTAGCACAACATAACGAACACTGGATTCATAGAAGCAGTTAACTCAATGGTGTAATATATAAAGGGAAGATTGCATATAAGGAAAGAGGAATTAGTTCGTAGAAAGAAAAATATCAAGCGATTTTAATCGCACAGTTTAAGGGAAGACAGAGAGTGTATACACTGACGACAATGTGATCGATTCTGAGCCATGTCACCAAGAGTCTCCAACCATTGGTAATCATAGTTGCGCGGACCCCAACCAAGTAATCTGCACCTACCAATATGGCTAAGACTAGAAGTTAGTAACTTCAAGGACTGATGCCATGTTTTGGATTGGCCGCCCCTAACTTTCTTCCAATCATCCCCAACACTAGTCTTACATTACACATCATGATAATCAGTGTTCAAGTATACATTAACCGTGACCTAATCATCTTAGTCGATGAAATACTTAAGGTAATATGATGAATAACCTGAATAGAAAAGAAACGGGAAAAACACACACACACACAGAATGAATACGTACCTCTATTTGTAATTGTTCCGTGAATTGTAGTGTGATTTTCTTCTTAGAACATTCTTTATATTTATGATTAGTACATGAAAATAACCATGATGAATTGTCGAATCGAAATTTTCTTAAAAAATCTTTACGATATTGTGAATTATTTTTAGTTGTTAATGAATTTTCACAATTAATCATAATTACTTGATGAGGAGGATAATATGGAGGATGAGGAGGTGGAGGAGGAGGAGGAGGAGGATAAGGTGAAGGCGGATGATCATTCGTTGATAGCCCAGATATTGAATAAGTTACTGATGAAGTTGTAAACGGCACATCACATGAACCTGATCTTGATAAAGATGTTGATGATGAAGAAGGTGATAATGACAAAGATTTTCTACATCAACATAAACTGTCTTCGTTTAATATATCCTAATTCATTTAAAGGATTATGTTGTTGTTGTTCTTTATCATGAATATTGAATTGTTTCAAATGAATTCTGTTTAACTCTTTAATTTGTTCTATACATGACAACAATTCGAATGATTATTCTTCACATGAATCATTTATTTTAATACATTTAAACTAGAATAATGGATTAAAACTATAGTCAATCTCTTCGTTTACTATAGATGACATGTAACTAAGTAGGTAGGTAAGTAGGTAAGTATAGGTAGGTAGTTTAATGCTGAAAGACCTCCTTAATAAAATGTAATGAATATACACCTATTTGATCATCTTCAAAAATGATTTTGTTACTAAGGGATACACATACATACTTACATACTTACATAGATATATGTACGTCTGTATGTATGTATGTGTGTGTGTGAGTTTACATGTTTGTTGATCAGTTTTCGCATAGAGATGGTTATTGATTGATTCTAAGTGAGAAAATGATGATGATGATGATTCTATGAAAGTGAATAAATTGTCGAATAGACAGACATATAGTAAGACATACTTATTCATGATGCTCTATCTACAATATAATACTGATTGTATGTTTTTATGTTTAAAGAGCATAAAGGTAAATGAATAGATTAATAATAATTTAAAGAAGAAATGATGTCAAGAAGTAAGTAATTGAAATTCTAAGAATTTAACACCGCCTGGAACTCCTTACCCCTCCCCGGTGGTTACAGCCGGTTTCAAGACCGGTTAAAGGAGTAGGATTTGACATGGGGGTTTACTGACCGTATCTCGTAGAAAATCCTAATCAGAAAAAAAGAATAATTCAAATTGAGACTTTAATCAGTGAAAACCATAGATGATTTCATAACCGTTGGAAATATAAATTATTGAATACTCATTCAGTGATTTGATGGTTAAGCACTTTTTACGAAGGGATCTTTGAAATAAAAAAACAGCACATGTCTAGTACATTCTGGTTTATAGTGATTATCTTTATTTATTTATTTATTTATTTGAACACATAAATATTCTTATAAAGGGGCATGGGATACATATGTGTGTGTGTGTGGACTATGTTACTGCTCAGGTGACCAAACCAAAGCAGGTGGTTGTTTTAGGAGGCCACACTAGGATTAGACCTTCAATTTAAAGGTCTAATACATTAGACAGTAGAGCAACGTTAGGAGATGCAGTTTCATGGTAGCGGATAACCAATAATTGGTTCATACACCATGTACCCATGTGCACCATTAGTTTGGAATCAGGGTTTTCCAACTGCCCTAGGTGGATCTTCTGTATCTACCTACCGGATTAGAACGCTGGACATTCGCTTTTGGTCCTCTCAATTTTATAAACAACACCGGTGCCGCGAGAAGGCAATGAATAAGACTTCCTTGGCAGTGGCTGTATACTCGTGGTCATATGAGAGCATTCGGAGAAAGGGAGCTGATTCTCCCCACCTTAGGTCGTACCAGGGTATTTAGGGGCTATTGATTATCTAACCATAATCAGTCAATGATGTAAAATACTACGTTCAAAAATCTTCCTAAACATTACAATAATCAGAATGAGTTTTGTGGAGATTTTAGGAAATTTCACAGGTTGAGATCATGAGTCAGTTGAAGCTAGACCAGTAGGTCCTAAGTTCGAATCCCGCGGGGGGCGGGTTCGTAAATGCACACTGCTGAGGAGTCCCATACCAGGACGAAACGGCCGTCCAGTGCTTCCAGGTATTCAATGGTGGTCTAGCTTCAACTGACTCATGATTTCAACCTATGACATTACAACAAGTTAAAGTTTTCTGGAAATATTGATCATTAAAGACTGATAAAAATAATCTAATGAATGTTTTCTAAATAAACAACGAAAAAGAAAGAAAATTAGTCACCGGATGTGAAGTGAATTTTTAGAAACGTTTCATTATATAGTATCATAATAAATGAATGTCAGTAGGGGTTTTGTGAAGATTATAGTAATCTTAATAGTTGAGATTATGAGTCAAGTGAAGCTAGACAACCATGGAAAACCTGGAAGCACTGGAAGGCCGTTTCGTCCTAGTATAGGCCTCCTCAGCAGTTCAAAACTAATGTTAACATTAAATTGTGTCGTATGCTATATTGAGAAGTGAATACTATCATACTAAAAAGTATGATTACTTCAAAATGAACTAGCATAATATTACGGATTAGTTTATTTAGAAATATTCTATGGAAGAATTCAATATCTTTCTAATGGAATATAGTTTTCCCTGGAAGTATACATTCACATTTATTCCATGAGACAAAGTAGTTAACAATTGTTGCTATGATAACTAGAAATGTAATGTTTAGTAAAAAAAAAAAAAGTCAAAGATCAAATATCTATCTCAGTTAGAAATCAATAGCTAAGTAGATAACGTGATGGCTTTTGGAATGAACGGTACTGGGTTAAAGTCCTAGAGTGAATAATAACTTTGAAATGTAGGTACATCCATCTGACGAGTCTTGAATAGGACGAAACGAACGTTAAACTGGATTCCACTGCTAGTCACTATCTATTACAGTTAATGAAAATAAATAACATTTGTACTTTCAGAATAAAATGAATGAAGTTAATGATTGTGAATGATTGTATTCAGGAGGTGTTAAGTTTATCTAGTCTAAATACGACGTATTTATTGTCTCTCTAGACAACATCAAATGTATGATAAATTCACATTGACTGAAGAACCATTAAAAATGATATAAACTTAGACAATAGTTAATCATCAATAATACTAAATAGTAATTTGGTTTTACTGTGAACAGTAGTAGGGTAGGCAGGGCCCTATTTTCTGACGAACAGTACTTGAATAGTATCCTTAAGGAGACTGTAACAACTATTCAATATGCCCCATATTCCCTGGTTTAAATAAATTGATTGAAGAATACTAGTTGATGATTAGAACCATTTTCACATTTTGAATAAGGTAAGGCTGGTGAATTTAGTGATATGGCACGGCCATGCATTGTCTAGTTATTGAATTATTGATGGTAAACTACTTATCTGTATTCAGTTAAACAATAAGTAAATATCAGAAGGGGTTTTGTGAAGATTTTAGAAATTTCACTGGTTGAAATCATGAGTCAATTGAAGATAGACCATCATGGAAAACCTAGATGCACTGGACGGCCGTTTCTTCCTAGTATAGGACTCCTCAGCCGTTACCAGTGGAGTTCAGCCAGGTCTGTTGTGAGACATCAACTCAGTGAAGACAATGGTGGACATTGGTGCAACTTTGTGGATTGATTGAAGTTAGACATTAAAACCGTTGGATGCCGGCCGTGCGGGCTCAGTGGTCTAATGGTCAAGCGCTCGCTCGCACGCGAGACTGATAGGTCCTCGGTTCGAATCTCGCGGGGGGTGGAGTCGTAGATGAGCACTGCTGAGGTGTCCCATACTAGGACGAAGCGGCTGTCCAGTGTTTCCAGGTTTTCCATTATGGTCCAGCTTCAATTGACTCATGATTTCAACCAGTGAGATAAGTAAATAATAAATACATCAATTAGTCACCGTTTAATGAATAATGTCGTTCTTCTATGATCTATAAGACTAACCAGATTCAACTAAACAAGTCGCAAATGAGTCCACCACTCTGAGTTACTTGACATTCAGCCCACTATGTTTTCAAATCAGGTGTCTGGAAATAGTCATGAAGAAACCCTTTATAATATCGGTTTCATACTACTTACTATTCAGCAATATGGCATACTTCAATCTTAAAGAAACTAATATTTAAACTACTTAGGCTTCTAGGACTTTGATTGACCTCTAGTAAGGCAGAAAATAGCTCATTAGTAATGTTACAGACTATAAAACTGAGTTACATTAGTTCAAGTTTCATGGAGTACATGAATTCCTCAAGATTATAAATTCACCTTGCTGATGAAATAAAATGACAAAGTTGGATCGTCTCTTCCATCCTCCCATACTAATAATATCATACTCATTAATGAGAAATTCCCATTACCCAAGTGACATGTTCTGATAAATGGTATCCAACTACATTAACAATGAAACGGATTCCACAATTTGACAGTCTTACAATATTTCAAACTGGTTAAATCTGAATCACAAATAACACTTTTGGATCCCAACACATACAAATCTGAGAACTATACAGTAAATACTTCATTTACAAAATGTAAATCAATGGTCTCAGAATTGAATGTTACTTCATTTCCACACCAATCATTCTTTGTTCTTGTTCTTTTTTCTTCGGTCTTCTCAACTTTGGGCTGACAGGCATTTCACTTTCGATTAATGATACATACTACTTATATCTGTCGATATCAGTAGCACACACCACAATGTCAGTAGCATATTTATATTAACAAAACTGTTCAACTTTGGATAGTTTTTTCTTAAGAAATATTATTTTCCTGATTGTAGATAGGAACTTTCTATCATTGAATAATCTTTGTAATCCTGAGTTTTCAGTGCAATTAATAATACATAACATCATATTAAAAATCATTTATTTATTATTTATTTTAACACATAGATATTGGCACAACGAGGCACCAAATACGTATACGCCACACAAATCTCATTTGATATGTGTGAGGGCCGGGATACTGCCCTGGTGGCCAGACCGAAGCAGGTGGTTTTCTTAGGGGAGTACACCCAGAGCCTTCAACATGAAGGTCTGATCCATAAGGCAGTGGAGAAAGGTAAGGAGATGCAGTCCCATGGTAGCCGGTGACCAACGATTGGTTCATACACCATTTGTTCCTTTAGGATACTTGAGCCCATGTGTACCATC